TGCACAGTGGGTTGTTGGGGGTGGGTATATTTTCTTCTATGTAGGCACAGTGTAAAAAATCAATAAATCAGTTTTTGGAGTTAAAAAAGTGAATATAACATGGAAAGACAGTGAGGACAGTTGTCTTTTCTTTGTTGTGGAGGTAAAGGCATGAAGTCTTGAGGACCAGTGACAGGGAGGGACAGCTGTGTCCTCTGTCCCCTCTCTCTCCTGCTGGGACAGGACTATTTTAACAGGACAGTACCATTGTCTTCTCCCAAAACAAGCACAGACTTCAGGCTATTGTAGTAAAGTAAAGGCTACTGGGAGGGCATCAGGCTTGGTCATTCACACATCTCTTATAATGCCTCAGTAGAAGATATGGTGAATTTATGTGGGGAAAACTGACAAAAGATGAACCTTTTACACGCTCTGTAAGTGTATAATAACCCTAGTCAGGCTGGCGCCACTTAGTGCCTCCACTCAATTTAATTTCTCTCCAGTGACTAGGTCAGGAATCGGAATACACTAGACGGTTTGCAAGAACCCCCGAAGTGTGAGTCCGGGCACCAGCCAATCAGCGAAGAGCCATACATTCTGTGTTGTCAACGATTCCCGAGATAGAGGATGTAAAGCCGGAACAGAGAATGTTTGGTGAATTTTATCAAGGGAAAGACATTATTGCCCTTCTTCCTATGGGTTTTGGGAAAAGGTTAATATACCAGTTAGTCCTGTTAGTGGCACATTACATACATCATGACCAAATAGAGCGATTTGTTAAATAAAAAAAGTACCTGCCCACCGTCGACCAAACAAATTCTAATGCTGGGAGGTCAGACAGTTTCCACGAATTGAAACCGGTTGATGAATCAGTCTATAATAACCCTGCTTTGCAAGTAAGAAAGTCAGACATAAACTTGTTTCATAATAACTCTCAATTTCACGATTTAGCAATTTTTCAAAATCTAGATTATGAAAACTTCAAATTAATCAAATTGATTAGAGTAGAAGTAACAATATTCTCCTCAACTTTTTCATTAGCAGTCTCTCAGGCAAGGACTAAGAAATGTAATTATGATTAGACTAATTCATATTTAACTTATTATACTTTGATTTTAACTGTATAATTAGAGATGGATTATTCAAATTAATTTCAAGAGTGGATTTTGAGAGGACTTTGTGAACAAAAAGGAAGGACAGAATGAATAATACCATAAAACTGTGCCACCACAAAAAAAAAAAAAAAAAAAAAAAAAAGAAAGAATTACAAATAGTTTATACTGATGTCATTCAACACATTTATTCAAACCTTCCTAAGTGTTCCCATCAGAGCCATATTCTGTCACCACATCTTCCTCCACCTTTTGTCAGAATCCTGATACTGAAAAGGAGCTAAGAATGAGTGTATTGTCTTTTCTGCACTAACTCCTCTCTGGGGCATACATGAGCTGGAACACAGTTACATTCATATAACAGAGAGGCTGTGGGGTCAGACTGTTTAAAGTGAAGTCATCCAGTGGGAGGCCAGTGCACCAGCGATGCCCGGGTAACATGAACACAAAGGGCACAATATTTTTGTCCAAAGCATGAGGTAGCAACAGGGGCTAGCCTGTTTTGTATGCTGCTTTGTGTTACTATTGATACTCTGCAGTGACATTGCGCTAGGGGTCTGTATGTGGTTAAGGTGAAAGCCTGAAAACTCAAGAACACATACAAAATGGATTTAAACAGCACATTTTCATTGATCAATACGAGCGTTTATGGTCCTGTTTAGGTGTGAAAGTGGCAAACTGAAAAAGACTCACAAGCCTCAGATAGAGCAGTGCTTACAGTTAGCATCACACCCCTAGACAATATTGTGGGTCTACATCCGATCACAAGGTTGGTAATTGGATTACCTCTGCCTCAAGTGAAGGAGTTTAAGTATATCTGGGTCTTGTTCACGAATGAGGGGAGGATGGAGCATGAGATTGACAGGTGGATCAGTGCAGCGTCTGCACTGATGCAGGCACTGTATCGGACTGTTGTGGTGAAGAGGGAGCCGAGGCGAAAGGCAAAGCTCTCAAGTTACCTCTCAGTCTACCTACTTACCCTCACCTATGATCATAAGCTTTTGATAATGACCGAAAGGACAAGATTGCTGATACAAGCGCTTGAAATGAGTTTCCTCCACAGAGTGGCTGGGTGCTCCCTTAGAGATAGGGTGAGGAGCTCGGCCACACAGGAGGAGCTTGGAGTAGAGCCGCTGCTCCTCCACGTCGAGAGGAGCAGCTGAGGTGGCTCAGGTGTCTGTTCCGAGTGCCTCCTGAGCGCCTTCCTCAGGAGGTGTTCTGGGCATGTCTCACCAGAAGGAGCCCCTGAAGAAGACTCAGGACACACTATGTCTCACGTCTGGCCTGGGAACACCTCAAAGTCCTCCCAGTGGAGCTGGAGGAAGTGTCCGGGGTGAAGGAAGTCTGGGATTCCCTGCTTAGACTGCTGTCCCCATGACCCAGCCCTGGATAAGCAGAGGAAAATGGATGGATAGTTAGATTACTATTGTATAGTTGTTAATGATGGTCATGGCTCAGACTGATATTTTTACAATTAACTTAATTTAAAGGTACACTCTGTAATTTTTCTAACGGAAGATTCACCACCTTTTTATCTCCACTGATGTGTTACAGTTTTGTCAGGAATGTTCCACACTACGACATTAAACCAGTCTCTCAGGCACTTACTAAATTTTATATGTTCTATTGCTCAAGACTTGGCCAGGTGCTACACTATGAACCAAGACAGTCAGACAGAAATAACAACTCCATGGAGACAAGTTGGCAAAGGACCTTTTGCTAGAAAAAGTTACATAGTGCATCTTTAAACAACCAAGCCCAAAGACACAACAAAAGGGCACTTTCAACCTTCATTCTTTTTAGAGAAGTGGTAATTTAATGGTCCAGTAAAGTTCTTCCCAAGTGCTACTGCTATCATGACTACTATATTTTTAGGACATCTTAAATAAAAATGATAAAATTGTATTGTATTTAGAAAATCAAAGCTAATTATCTGGATGGCAATTACATAAAAGATGCTCTTAAAAGCAATGTAATGTGGGGACGATACTAAGTGATAAGTGTGCGATTTCAAATTGACAAAATTGTGTCAGATTATTGGTTAAATTGCATAATGTGTCTCCATGGGACCAGAGTAGCCTGTTTAAACCTGGTTATGTGAACATTATAGCAGCTGTATCTCACCTCACTAACCTCATCATTGTCCTGGGGATGACAGCAGGAGGACATGGCCAGCACACATTCAAACTCCCACAATCCACTTTGGCCTGAAATAAAGATTTAAGTGTTTAACTGGACCAGCCGCCATTTTGGGAAGAATGTAGCAAATATAATAAGACTAATATGTAGGTTAAAGGTGCACTAAGTTATTCCTTTGTGGAGGGTCTGCCACTCGCTTGAAGATGTTTATTATTCCTTTACCTGGAATAATAGCATGGAATTAAACTATTCTATCTTGCATTTATGCCATTACCAGTATTTTATTGCTCAGAAACACCTTGAAAATTGCATTCTTACTGTGCATGGGCTTGCCTCTCCACAGATCTAACCTGTAACTTGGCCTGGAGGGGGTTTACATTTTGTTTTTCTTAATAATAACTAGTGGAGATGAACAGAGAATATTTCATTTTTGTGTTAAATATTGTGCAGTACTGTTGTATGTTCATAAAAAGAATTAGACTGGATTGGATTTGTGGTTTAGTGAAATAAAGGGAAAAAAAAACAACAATTCAAATTTTAGTCTGTAAAAAGAGGGTACTACTAGTACTACCAGAGTAATTATGCTACAACACAGCTCACTAAAAAGGTCAATAATAGTAGTAATTTTGACAAAAGTAAAAATAGGATAGAAGAGTGGATGTACTGACTGCAGTTTTTGTGACACTGGGGATAAAATTATTTGAATTAATCTAACAAAATGTGAAATTTAATTGACTAAAGCAGGGTAGTATTTTTTTTTAGTTCTACACATTGATAGGTTTGTTTGTTTGTTGAATTTGAAAGCCTAAGTAATATAGTATAGTATTGTATCTTATAGTACAACTGGGATTAATCTTACAAAATGTGAAATTTAACTGACTGACATCAAAGCACTCTTTTAAGTTTTATATATTGATAATTTTTGTCTGTTTTGAATTTGAAAACATACATAATATAGTAGTGTAGTATTGTATAGTATAGTACAGAGCAATATATGACATAAATCAAGCTTAATTTGAGTGAACCCTGGGGTCGTATGATCCAACGGCCACTCTAGCCAAACTTAACCCTTGCCTGCCTGGGAAAGCCATACGCTGCCTGTGTGTCCAGTGGAGTTGGAGGGGGGGGCTCGTCTCTCCTGATGGCTCACTCACTCCAGAGCGGACAGTTGGAACATGACCTTTGACCTTTTTACGTCAAGGTCTTCCAAACTAGACAGAGGACGCGCTGACCCCGTTGGTTTGTCTCCGGCCAGTTGATGTGACAAATGACCCCAAGAAACAACAAGGCTGTCATTTGTGGGGTCATGTAACAACAGAGGGTAAACTGTCAAGTCAATATTATTCAATTAGCGACTTATAGCTCCTATATTACACAAAAGGGATTCTTGTGAGCTTTAAATCATGTTATAAAGTTGTTATCTCCTCAAAAACATACCTGGAGTCTCCAATCTTGTGACAGCTACCTTTATACATCTAGTTCAGTAGGGACAGGCAAGTAAAGAGTTAAAGTGAGTAGAGATAGGCAAGTAAAGAGCATCAAAATTAATCTAATGAAGATGTATTGCGTTTAAAAACACAGTGGAGCACTTCCTGTAATACTACATGCCATCACAACGTGTAGAAAACAGCCTGAATATGCAGTATTTGTGTGTTAAACATGTGTGAATGAAAAAAAATACAACTCCAGGTATATTTGTGATGAGAAAACAACATAATAACACAAATCAGAAAATAGAGAACATTATAACTTTAAAATTAATAACTGGCAAACCGTTTAGAAACACTGATTTATTTTATCAGTCTATTATATTTTATTTTTTATTTTATTTTATTATATTTTTACTAAAAGTAGATTTACAAAACAGACAGAATAAACACTTAAATACATATATGTACAGAGCTGTGTTTAAAAAGCACAGCCTCAAGGTAAGACTTGAAGACTTGGGATAATGGGCAGAGCTGATATACAATAGAAAAGTCAGTTCAAGAGCACCGCCTAGAGGACGCATACAGAACTGCAAGTATAGCTGCAACATTGACAGGTTGACATTTACGTGTTTTCATTAACAAAGTAAACTACTGTGGATGGTTTTGATGATCCCTGTCAGGTATTTCTGTCCTGGAGTGAAAGAAGCAACAATTTCTTCAATGTTCTGTGACCTATAAAATAAAATAAAAATATGTCAAGTTGTGTGCTTCTTTTAAGAGAAGAGGATGATCAGACATGTTGTATGATGGATAGCACTCACGTTGTGTCTCCGATTATGTTTTTGAAACTTTTCAGCTCAAGTGCACAATGTTGGTTGTTCAAGCTGACAGAGAAGACCACCTCAAACTTTCGGAATGTCCTGAGACTGCTGAAGGTAATGTGGATTCTGAAAAGATGCAGGTAAATAAATTAATACATGGGGCTTTATGTAAACAACACCAAGTAACACAACCTACAAAACAGTTCCAAAAGGTATCAAAGCAATAACTACAAACCAATTATTTTCTTAGGGGGTATTTACTTCAGTAATGCTGTGACCATTTTTTACATTGCAGTTCTAATTAGAGCTGCTGCTACAACTATTTCTACATTTGTATATTGAGATTTGCAAAACAATTTGTTAACCAAATAAAAGTTCACATATGGTAACTGAAAATTTCTATTATAATTTATTAATGTCTTTCTTACAAAACATTTTTAGACATGTGTTTTGAGTTTGTTTTGAGTCCATATCAAGATTATCAAAACTTTATTATGATTAATTTAGTAGTGAACATTCACAGTTGTTCCAGTTAATTATTGCAGCCCTTGCTCAAATGTTTATTCTTGAGAAAAGGAAGTGTTCAATATACTCAAAATAGATCTTGTTTGAATAACTTTAAATGCAACACAGCAGTGTTGTCATGATACTAAAATTTCAAACTTGTTTTCAATACTAAGCAATAGGCTCGATACCCAGAGGAGGAACACTTTTGGCTCTTCCTCTCCTCAAACTGACACAACCCTGCTGACCCTCCCTGACCTTTGACTAAGGCACAAAAGCCGCTGAGACTCACAGTGGAAATGTTGCTGTAATACTGCAACAGTTTGCTGCAGCAAAACATGAATTTCCTCCGGATCAATAAAGTATCTCTCTCTCAATAATGATTTCGATACCACAATACCACAATTTATTTAGACAAGAGAATGTGTTTTAAACATTAAACATCAGTATTTTCTTCTACATTATCATGTGGCCATATATCTGTGTAATCCCTCAGTGTTCCAAGTAGTCTCCAAAGAGGTCCATGGGCATATACTAGTCTATGTGCTCTTATACTTGTGAGCTCAATTTAATTCTAAAGCTATTCAAAAAAGGTTCATTTCTTTCCAGTGAATGCGACTTTTTTAGTATTGATACCAGCTCAAATGACTGTCTAGTTTCAGTACTAGTTCTAGTATTGATTTGTATCTGATTTTTGATACTTTTAACAACCCTAAATACATCAACATTGACATTTCTTGGAGCATTTTTGGTTCATTGTAATTTAGAGTAAGCAGTCAACATCAGTACCAAACCCTTTAAATACCCTTTAAAGTGAACTAAATTAGCCCCTGGGTATAGCCCAGGGTTGACTTCTTACTCAGAGTGCAAACAATGGATGTCCAGGATGTCTAAGCGCAGACTGCCCCAGGATTTGAGTCTCCGCAGCTCCTCTCCCAGCTGCCGACAGCGAGTCACCACCAGGCTAACGTCATGGAGCAGCTGATGACACACATATGCTCTAACATTACCATCAAAGAAGCTATTTGCATTGTGAAGAAGTTTGTGTTACAATCTCCAGTCATCCACAGTGTACTTGCCTCAGGGACGTGTTTGCTGGTGGAGTATTTCCTTGTCAAACTCTTATCTTGTGTGAACTGAGAGACCAGAGTGTGAACGAGGTGGGCGTGACACTCTGAGTTCTCATCTACAGAACAAAATCAGTAAATGAGTAAACAAAAACATATCAATTCCATCCATATAGAACTTAAGAAATACTTTAATTTGTTTTACCAAGCAAATGTTTAAAGGAGATGTCAACTATTTTTCTGTCTTCATCGTTTCCTACCAAAAGCAAAAACAAATTCAGCCTACATCTGTATATAATTATATAATCTGTATAAGTAGAAAGATGTATGTACTTTTAATGCTGCTTCTACAACTATTACTGTTATTTTTTATTAGTAATTCAGCTAAAAGTGACTGTAAACAGAGAAGTGGCTTTGACAGAACAAGCACTCCATATTCAAGAATTTCTTTGTTTTATTTGTAATTGATTGGAGCATTTATTTAGGTAATAATTTAAATCATTATAATTAAAAATATGCATGTACTTTTAAATTATATGTGTATATATTTTATCAATTTACTGTTTAAAAGTGACTGTAGATAGGCAAGTGGCTTTGAGAGCAGCTTTATTGTAATTCTGACTGAAGCAATAATGGTATCACTATAAAAATGTGACCACCGGTAAATCTTTCTGTGTAAGAAAAAGGAGGAAAATTTACCTTCTGACTCTTCAAAGATCAACTCCAAGTGCAAAGTTTCATAGAGAAAAGTGTAGATCGCATTGCTGGTTGTGATTTCCACCAGCTTCCATTCATTTATGCTGTGACAACAAAAACATAAATCAAAAACCCAGAATCATTAGTAATAAAACTACACTATGAGCAGACATCACATGAAGCTAAACCAAAGATTTAACCGTACGTGTGCAGCATGGTGAGGTGTCTGTCCAGGTTCTTGGTCTCGTCTTTCACTCTTCTCAACTTGTTTAGGCTCTGTTTTTTCTGGATTTCCAACTCTGATACAGATCTAAGGAGGTACAACGCGGTACAATTAGATAAAATTAAAAAATAAAAAACAAAACAAAGATATCTGCTGTTTAAATGTACTTACTTTTCATTGTTACTCGTGGCCTCTTTGACGTTATTCAGTTCTGTGAAAACAATGTGGTCACTTCGACTGCCGTTTTAATGTTTTAGAAGGGTAGATTGTGAACAAAAAACGGACTTACCTTCTTGATGAGATTTGACGTCGCTTTCAATGGTTGCCAGCTCTGTAAAAAAAAAAACTTGAAACACATAATTCATAATAAATTGGAAATGCATTAGCAGTATACAGTACCTGTTTCTAAATCTGCAATACAGTCATCAAGGCTTTTGAGCATAGCATCCGCTTTCTCAATTGATCCACTCAGCTTCTTTTGCTCCTCCTGGAAAAAGGTAAAATTTTTAAAACAGTCCCCCCCCAAAATATTAAACGTAAAATATTTTGTGCATTAAACCTACCACATTGGCCTGAATTAGATTTGCATACAGGGCCTCCTTCATTTCATGTGACTTTGCCTTGCTCATTTTTCTGTAGAAGTTGTGTCTTTCTTTGAGTTTGGTGCCAAAAGATTTGAACTGTGGAGAATAGGTGAGAAGAGATTTACTGATGTGGTAGAAGTCTTGAAATTAGTAGGTATGGAGGGATATTAGGACTGGGAATCACATGGTTCCTCTCAACTAGATACACAAAACATTGCTCACAATACAATATCATAACTTTGCAATACTGTAATAACGTGAGAATCCATTATACTCTGCAATATATCACCATTTTTTATTAACTTAATACATTAGAACAATAGTATTTCTTTGTTAAGCCACTATTTACACAAATATATGAAATACAATAATCTTAAAAGCATCAAAGCAGTGAATATGTGAAATGTATTGCATAGAAAAGTGTCCTCTCACAAGAAAATAACAAAAGTATACTAAATAAATACTCTTTGTTGTATTGATACAGCAGCCCACAAATTTAATATCAATATTTTTGCGCAGCCTCTAAGGAAAATAACCTCAAAAACAATGTTAGATAAGAGGTATGTAATGAGTTTTCTTTATTTACCTCTTGCTCTGAAAAGTCTTCAATCTCTTCCCATACAGTCCTATTAACCAGTGTCAACGGTTTTTCCAGGTCACGCATTCGAACTTTGAGCCTGTGTGAAAGGAAAACACCAATTAATATGATGCCTAAATGTTAAGAAAGGTTCATACAAACACTTTAAAATGACTCCATATTGATTATAACATACCCTTCGACCTGCTCTGTCAAGCTGCGCACATCAGCCTCATAAACCAGCTGTTTGGGTAAGCTAATGTGTCTATCATGGGACAAATCCATCAGGGTGCTCTCTGCATCTGACGAAACCTGGGAATCAAGACATGACTTTATTTTGTAGATATTATAATCGCATTTGAAGTTAAAACTGAAGATGCACTTACTCTCCGAGGAGCCACACTCTGTCGGGGATTATGAATGACAAAGTCTATGTGAAACAGTTTTAAGAACTCCATCATGGTGAGAGTGCCCTCGTCATATTTCTGCAAAACAAAAAATTTTTTATGTTGAAAACAAAAGTCAGATACTAATCGATATGAAAACTTATTAAAACTACATACTTATTTGAACAGGTATTGATACTAAATCACATTCATAAGACAGAAGTGAAGCTTTCCTGAATAGATTTAGAATGAGCTGCATCCAAACACGTATAAGAGCACATACACAGACTAATATGGACTAATGCATTGTTTCTCAAAAACTGGGTCGTGGCCCTCAGGTGGATCACAAGAGATTTTTTTGGGTCGCCTTGTCACAATCTGCATGTAGGTCTGCAATATACAGTTCTGACACATGAGAGAGCTAGTGAGTCAGCGAATACATTATCGTCATTCTGGATAAGCATTTCGTCAAAATATCCTCAGTAGGGCCAGTATTTCTGTTCTTATTCCTTTCACTACTACATATATGTGTGAATTGTGCTCACAAAAATGCAGACAAAGCACAGAAACAGACTCAATGCTGCGCCTGATCTGCTGCTACGCTCTCCTCCTGCACCCCAGACTGAAACGCGCTACAAAAACAGAGACAGGCCCACCCATCTCATTAGAAATGTTAAGACATGTTTTGTATCATTTCTAATGTTTTTGTAATTATTTTGCTGGCTATTTTGTTTCCGATATTGCTGGCTCAATTGAATGTTGAAAAGAAAAAGAAATGGGCTACATTTAATGTCCAAACAGGCGACTTATGGATTCTTTCATTGCTGGTTCAATTACAGTTTTTCATGGATTAAAACTTGTGTAATACTAATTGTTCAGAGAGACATGATCGGTCAGTCAACAATAAAATATCCTCATTAATGTTCAATAATGGTCAAATCCTCCTTTATTTTGTAATTAACAAATAATGTCTATTGACTTGGGTTGCAAAGATTGTGACTTTTAAAATATGGGTCCCCAGAAAAAGTTTGGTAAACACTGCATTAATGGACCACTAGGGAACCTCAACCCCTGAAGTACTAAACAGATATAAGGTTGCATGGTAATATAAAAAAGTACTATGATTTAACATTGACATTTTATTGTAAAAAGAAAGTGAATCGGTAATGAGAATCGAGTCTATTCCTCAATATAGAAATCAAGTTTTAAATTTTAGTATAAAGGTATAAGGATTAGTTAGCGTATACAAGTACCCTCTGAATGTCATTGGCATAGTCTTCAAGCTGAGATTCATATAGGCTTTGTTTGAAAGCTGAAAAACAAAGAAGAAAATTATGAAAAATTATAAGAACACTTTAGCAATAAACATGTCAGACTGACAAAACTCACTTGTGGACTCAAATGTGGAATCATATTTAAGGCTGGCTGTGTGGCTGCAATTAGAAGAATTTGTCGTTTGTGTGTTTGCAGCAGTAGTAATGTTATCGTCACACTCCAAAGTACAAGCCTGGGAATCCTGGAGAAAAAAGAGGGATAAAAAACTATAAAAACACAAATTCAACTAATAATTGGGCATTAAAGAGCCTGTATTACGTAATTTTCTGATGTTTCCTCCTCAAAAACATAGCCGGACCTTGTGATGTCATGTGGAAATACAGGAAGTGATCCACTTTTTAAACTCCATACACCTTCACCAGAATCATTTGGATGATTGGATGGTAAAAAGGGAGCTGTTAACTTAAAAACTACAATTTCATGACATCACAAGGTGGAACAGAGCCTTTTGAGCTTCAGAGATGTAGACAAACTAATAATAAAGGTTTACTCAAACATGAAAGAATGCAACTAAATACAACTCTGACTATGTGTTTTTGAGAAGGTAACAACATTCTTACATGGATTAAAACCCACAATAGTCAATTTTGCCTACCAATATTATCGTGTCATTGGATCTCTTCAGTCTCTTCTCATTCTCTGTGATATACTCTTCATCAAGTGGGCGCTTCTTTTCATTGACGAGCTCACGCTCCTCTTCGAACACTTCATCTTGCAGTTCCTGGTCCAGATCAAACTCATGATATGAAGTAACCATTTCCGGCTCATTGTCCAGACTTTTTGTGTCCAGGGTTTCTGACACATCTTCGTAACTCCCGAGCTCTTCATCGTTAATATCGCTAACGTTTAGATCAATGTTGCCTGTTTGGTTTTGCCCTTGAATATTTTGCGTCTTGGTAGGTTCGCCTGCAGCCTGACTGACATCTACTGTTTTAATCTCCTCACTTTTGCTTCTCTTGGTGAGTTTTGGTTTGAAGCCCACCACGGACAATCTGGACATGAGCTGTTTGGTCTCCAGTTTGAATGGAGTGGTTGGAGCACAAAATGGTTCTTCCAGGGCATCTGACTTATTTTCGTTCTTCTCCAAATCAACTTGCTCATCTGCTTGAAGTAATTTGGGTTTATCTGCTTCCAGTTTGGGTTCCAGATCTGGGAATGGCATGGGAATGTTGACATTGTATACAACATCGTCATCAGTAGGTGCATTTAACTTTTGACTGATGCGTCTTATTTTGGACTGGATGTCAGCTAAACTCATTCTACAGCTTTTGCGTGAACTGATTTCTTCGTTATCTTTTTCCATAGATCTGGGGAAGCACTCTGATTTACCTACAACTTCTTGCTCATAATCATTTTTTGTATTACTTTGAGGGGAACCCGGGAGGATTTTTATTTTCAATTCACACTTGGAAACAGGATCTTCAGTGGTCTGCTGCTCTGCACTTGGGGCCAGATCTTTTAGAGGTGATTCTAAGCTGCTATTTTTCTGTATTTGAACAGGTAGCGCTTCTGTTATGTTCATTTCCATACTGTTATCTAGACATTTTTCCTTTAGTGAAACTTCAGCTATAGACTTCTCCTCAATCACTGACAGAATGCCCATGTTTCCATTCTGAGTACCAGTTTTTGTGGGTTTAACAAAGTCCTCATCATCAGTTCCAGGAGTTGGAGCTGCTTGAGTAAGAGGATTGCTCCGGGGGACACTTTTCCTTACATTGAGGGCTGCGTTTAAACCTTGTCTGCCCAAAGATTTGCACCTCCGATTACTGTAAATACTGGGTAAATACTGGGCTCCCTCTTCTTCAGAGCAGGCGGCATGTCCGTGGTGATGCTGGAGGGTACAGGGCTTAGATCTGAACAGGATGCCTCAGTTTCAACTCCAATATTAGAAGTAAGACATTGTGTGACCTCCATCCCGCCCTCATCTGAGCTGAACTTTACAGTCTTGTCCTCATGCGGAGTGAGTGTGTCCCAGCCCCGAATCACCTGTGGTGCCACATCTATCACCATGGTGTGAGATTTGGTCACATCCATGTTTGCATCATCAACACTGAACCTCAGAGTCTTTTCTCCTGATGTGGGGTAACTGTTCTGATCCGTCCGGGGCTCGGGGTCAGCCGCACACATCTGTGTAAGACTCAAACAGGGTTTTGGTCTAATTTCTGTGGCGATGTTTACTGTGAGACACTGGGTTTCATCCATAGCAGTGTTAATTCTCTCGGTTTTCTCTCCATATTTAGGTAAACTGTTAAAATTTTCATTTGGCTCATAGCCAATATTCACAGTCTGGCTTCTTGTCATGTCCATAGTGGCATCGTCAGCGTTGAAGCGAACAGTTTTCTCTCCATATTTAGGTAAAAGACCCAAATTGTCATCATGAAGACATGGGTCAAAATCTTTTGCAATGTTGACTGTGTGGCACTGGGTAACGTCCATTGCTGCATCATTCACATCAAAGCGAATGGTCTTCTCTGAACATGGGAGATCTGGTTTGAAGTCTGTAGAAATGTGAACTGTGTGACAGCTGGTCACATCCATAAGAGCCTCATCTGCTGCAAAGCGCACTGTTCTCTCTCTACAGGGCTCTTCAGCTTCAAAAGCCACCTGCAATCAAGTCACGATTAAAGGTTAAGACTCAGTGTGATAATGACAACATTCAAAAACTCAAGTTTACATTTGAGGAGCTATCTGTGACTACCAGAGGTGCACAAAAAACAAACTCATAATTTCATGTATCTTTATCAGTATATTACTATATTTAGAAAGTTTTGTCACTGGTTCAAAAGTTGTAAGCAGCTGACAGTAGGATAAAGAGATATAAAATGGTGCTCACCGGATGCTTTTGTATTTGAGACTTTTGAGAGCTTTCAGTTCCTAAACAAGGAATACAAATGAGAGATGTCACAATATTACAATTAAAAGTATTCTATTAATCTAGTACAACAGTGTAGCTAACCTTTTATTGGAAGTGTTCCAAGTACGCTCCTTTGCTGTTGATGTTTTTTTCCTGTTTGAACCACATTATGATAAAGGTTTTCATCCCCAGATATGCGTCCTGTATGAGCTTTGGTAATGTCCATGTTTACAGTGTCGCCTGCACCTGTACAAACTATTTCAAATGGTGCTCCAGTTATTTTAGAGTTATTCACTGATGCATTATTTTGCGTTTTCACTTTCGGATTTTGCCCAGAAAGGGATGCAAAAAAGTTTTCAAATTCTAAATCAACACTTTGGCCAGGCAGAGACGTGACTGCCTCTTGTTGTGGCCCTGTAGTTGAATTGGGAAGCAGATCTCTGGTGATATTAACAGTCAGACACTGAGTCATGTCCATCCTTGCATCATGTGTGGAGAATCGTACGGTCTTCTCTCCACCCAGAGGTAGACTCTCCAGTTCCCCTTGCAGGTGGAGGTCAGAGGAGATCTTGACTGTGTGGCTCCTGGTCACATCCATACACGCTTCATCTGAGGAGAACCGCAGAGTTTTCTCTTGACTCTCTTCTTCTGAGCCAACCATTATCTGAAGAAAAAAAATTGAGAATCTGTCAGTATTAGTATTAACGTGAAATTAAACATAAATTCAGCTAACATAAAAAGGATAGTGTAGTATCATTTACCTGGTGTCTTGGCGTGTTCAAAGTTTTCAAAGTTGTCTCCAAGCCTTAAAAAGACAAATAAAGATATGATTTTAGAAGACCCCAAATTCATTGTGTTTTGCCACAACTGCAACCTCAGTTTTCAAAAATACAAAGCAGTGATTTTTTTAATCAAACCAAAATCAAAAAAATTTTTTTTACACCTGATGAAGAAAGAACATAAAATACAAAATCAAAAGACTAGGCTGTACAAAATATACTCTACTGTATGCCAGATTCAACGACGAGTACTTTTACTAATTGTTGTATTTGTTGCTGTATTGCTTGATTTATTTACCTTTATGGCTCGATTCTTGGTGAAGTTTGCTGTCCTTGTGTAGAGCTCTCTCTTGTAAAGGAAACAGACACTGAAGAGGATCATCGTGTCTTTCTGAAGCCAATGTAGAGAGGCCAGTGGTGATGCTTTTTTTTTCTTTTAAATCATTAATTTCCAGACCAGAGGAGGCCGATGGAGCCACTACAATGTTACTGGTGTAATTCTGAGTGATGTCCATGAACCCTCCATCAGAGAAAACAATCGTTTTCTCACTCCTGACATTGTCTTTTGAGTTAGAGTTGACCTAAAACAATAAATAGCTAAAATAAACTTGGGTTTTCATTTTGCAGAATATTACAAAATTGGTGCATTTAACTCACGGTTAATCTTTGCTTGGAATCATTTTCAATAGAATCACTAGTGAATTTTTTGTCTGCAAATGGAAAAAAAAAAAACATCATTATCAACAAAACTAAACAAAAATAATGAAACAGGAGGAATAATTTGATACCTGTAGAGGTGGGTTGAGATTTCCGTTTTTCAGGTTCAGCGAAGATCTCTTGTGGGAATAAACACTGAAGCGGATTGTCTTCAGGCATGACCATTTCATCTTTGAAACTAACATTAGGCTCTCCCATCTTTTTAATTGTGGATTTGTTCAACTTTGGTACATAATTTTCTTTATCAGTGTTATCATAAGAAAAGAACTGTGAACCGGGAGTCATCTGAGAAGTAAAAGGAAATGCCCTTGGGGTTGTTGGTTTACTTGAGAATGACATGTCTTGGTCACAGATCATGTTTAAAGTTTGGCTCAGAGTCATGTCCATGGATCGGTCAAACATCACAGTTTTGTCTCCGTGCAAGAGGCCGTGGGACGTGTCCAGAAAGTTTTCGTCATTTGTGATTCTGACGGTATGACACTGGGTCATGTCCAGATCGTCAGAAGGAAAGATCATTGTTTTCTCTCCACAGATTCCTACAAGAAATAAAATGTTTAAACAGAAAAGGATGTATTTTTGCAATAAAGTTTGTTATTTACCAGTAAACTGTTGGTCTTGAGTGACTTTCATCTGGACCCTTGTTCAGTAGAAAACAATTTTATATTAAGAAAATGACACAAAGAAATTAACATTAACAATTAACAATTTTGAGATCTCTGGTGTACCCTACAAATGATCTCACCTATTTTGTGTGGCACTGCCTGCTGTAGAAAAAACAAACAAACGATTAAATTAAAGAAATACAGTTTAAAATAAAAATAAATCTATAAAAATCTTACCAGACAACTGCAGAGGACTTTTTAAAGGTGAGGGATTTTTGGCCTCTCTGTAAAAATTAATTTGTAATGTTAAATTGGCTGTTAAAGGTTCTTAATTGAACACTTAAAATTCTATGGTAAAATGTGTGTTTTACTTGGAGAATAAAAGCACATCATTGGCTGGAGCAAAACTGACTCTTCTTGAAATCCTCTTATCTGAAAGCTTTGCACATTCCACCTGTAAAAGAAACAAAGACATGTTAAGAATTTCCCCTATTAATCAGATACAAATGATAAAAATGTACTATAAATTAGTAAAGACCAACCACATGTTCTTGTTGCTCCACTTCCGCAGATATTATGGATTTCCGTGGCATCTTTAAAATCTGGGAATAACACACAGAAATATATAAGTTGCTAAATACACAATCAGATATAACTTTGAATCAATAGTATATATTTTTTTTATTATAATGAAATGATTTGTTTGCATCATTGTCTGATTTTATATGTGTTTGTATTCAATATTTTTTTGTATTGTTCTTTCAGCTTGTTCAGCACTTTGTAAACCTGATTTTTAAAAGTGCTTTATAAATAAAGACTTAATATAATGATAAAATAGAACAATACTGACCGAAGTGCGTCGCTTGGAATAGCCACTGCTCTCCCTGCAGAAACACAAAAATGAAATTATCTTGTTCTGAGGATCAGATGACATCTGCAACAAAACACTTTTACTTACTCATTTCTGACAGGATCAAAAGGGTCCATCTTTGTCTGAAATTTGAAAAGATCCAGCTGAGTTAATGACAAAATTTATCAAAACAACATTTAACTTTGTTTTTGTTGTGCATGTTGTGTTTTTATTTTTAAATGCCTGATGTACCCAGGCTTGGCAACACTTTGAATAGTGATGAATTACAAAATTTAAACGCCATTTGAGCTGTCACAATAATCTTTGAGTATTCTGTGGTGGAAATGTCAGATTGCAACAATTTGAATTTACTGTTTTATGGTTAATATCTGTTATTACTAAGCCTATCCACATGTAACAAAAATGACACAAAGCTCAATGTCTTCACTGTCAACACAGATAAGCAAAAGTTAAATATATGCAAAAAAGCTTTAAAAGTGATGCGACATTCCACCCTAAAGAAGTGATTATTGCAATTTCAGCCATAAGATTAATATGGCAAGTTTGTGGAGCCAATCTCTAGCAAATAATGATAAAATTCACCATTTTTAGATCAGAAGTTTGGATATTTCATTCAAAAAACTGCGAGTCTCCCATAAACTGAACTACATAGCCCTATTTTTAATTAAGACGCTATCATATTATCAAATTCTGCATACTATTAAATATTTACCTTTTATGTTCTTTGCATTCAGTCTCCAAAATGCTAAAACTTGCAATGTAAAAAGGATTTGCAGTAAAGTATTAGTATAAAGTCTATGGTGCTAACGTTGGCCCTGTCTCGACAACATAAGGAACGAAACAAATGCCACACAAGTGACTTTCCATGCAGACCTGGTGCGCGTAACTCCGTCCAAGTTCGTGCAAATCTACTGTTATGATCCTGTTATTGCCAAAAGTATCGATTGTGTGATTTTCATTCCTGTTTTAGCTGTAAACGGAGTGAAAGAGAAGCTATCAGACGACGCTAGATGCTAACGTCCTGAGTTTGAATTTGGCCGCCCTCACGCATGCGCAGTGTAATTTCGTCAAGTATTTCTTATTTTATCGCTAAATAGTCACTGTTGAGCATATGGTAGAGCAAAGCCAAATACAAATATATATAAACGCTTGATTTATTACAATATTATAACATATATCTGCAGCAACAGCGTTTAAAAGCATTTAGAAGGATTTGTTTACAGCGGAAGTAGTTAACGTCAACGCGGAAGTGACGTCAGGGAGGGCGGGTAGTTTCAAAATCGGTGTGGCCCTTTTCGGTTTTGAACAAACATCTCAAACTCAAAATTATTTCATCAAGGTAAGATTTTACAACATATAACTATATGTGTTTTGCAATGTATTCAGAAGCCATTTTTAATTAGGAAAAAGTTACAAAGCTTTTTCGATTTGATCTCTGCTAGTTTTTGTGCTAGCCTTAAGAAGTAGACCTAGTGTGTCAATTCATAAATTATTGACCTTACCTCTTGCCAAATAAACCCACTTCATTATCCGTTTTAAAAGTTACATTTATTTACAGAAGCCCATAGAGATCGTGCTGCGTGCTGTCAAAGATGTCAAAAATTCCAAGAGGTAATCAATTCCTATAATAATTTGAACATTTTACAAGGTTAGTATAGGGTGACCAGAGTTTCCCATTTCAAAACTGGGACACACCCGGGTTGGGATGGTTTTGGATAAATAAAACTGTGAAAAGAGTGCGTTACATTGTCCTTTCTCGACTCACTTGTGGGTAGGCCTGTATCGATAACCGATAAATCAATTAATTGCATGATAACTTTTAACAAGCTTGATAACTTTTCACGTCTTTTTCTTTGTTTTTGGTTGTCTTGCAGTTTCTGTTCCTGTGTTAAATGTTCTTTATAAAGTTATGTTTATTTATCTTCAAAAGGGCGTGTTTGCATTTTTTTATTCCATTGTCATTAGATTAGTTGAAAATGGTCTCAAATTGTCATTATTATCGTATTGCAATAATTTCTTGGTCAATTAATCGACCAGCAAAATCTGTTATCGTTACAGGCCTACTTGTGTGTCAGTCATAATCTGAGGGACTTCTGTTGGTGCATTTTTCTGCCTTATGGTCATTTTCAAGCTGTTTTCGGTATTTTAGTTAAACAAACCACAATATGTGCCTCTGTTTACTGTTGGCAGGGATCAAATTGGTCCAAAATAGGGACACCCGGAACATTTCTTGTATAAAACTGGGACAAATCAGTGGTTTCGGATAAATCTGCTGGGACAGGGAACACAGGGCTCAAAACTGGGACTGTCCCGGGGAAATGGGGACGTCTGGTTACCCTGGGTTAGTAGTAATACAGAATGTTATGAAATGAGAAATCGGTATTTTCTGTAGGTTTCCCTCCTGAGAAGAAAACTGGACATAAACCAGATGATGAACACCACAAGGAAAACATACCAAGGTAGGAAAATAAAATGTACATGTATTTTTGACAACATAGTGACAATTTATTTCACTGTTTTGCCAATCTACCTAGCAGAAAGAATGGTGTCTCTAAAACGGTTAAAGGGTAAGCCGCAATTGTATATAATATTATCAGTTTCACAGTAAAAAGTTCACATCAATAATAAAATTTTTGTCTTGTCACTTGTAGCGTATCCACAAGGTATGGACAGGAAGCTGAGCTGAGGGAACAGAACCAGAATCTACGTGTTGCAAATGATGATCTGCAGAAAAACCTAACTCAGACACAAGTACAAAATCTCTACTGCATGCGTTAATCTATTAGTATTATATGACTAATGTTTGAAATTGACCAATATATGTATTATTCTTGCAGCAAAAAGTCACAGAACTACAGCAGCAATACAGCGATCTTGAAAAGGAAAAACTGGAGACTGAGAAACATCTGAAGGACTGTCATGCACTTTTAGTTTCAGCGAAAATTGATCCAGGTAATAATATTTAATGTTATATCAAATAATATAATGTTTTTATTTTCCCTTTCTATGGATTTCTTTGTTGACCAAATTTCTGTTTTGTGTCTAGTGTTGGGAGAAAGAGTTGGAGAAGCCGCACAAGAAAATGAAGAGCAAAGAAAGGAAGTAATGGTACATATTTATTTTTATTTAAGTTGTATACATAAAATCTTCTGGTAATATCTATAAATACTACTAAATATCAAACTGTGTACTTGAAAATCAAAACAAACCTTTTCATTCAGTTCATTCTGTCTACATTAATATAGCACGTCCTGTTAATTTAATCAGTTAATTTGTAGATTCTGCAAGTAATTTTCAGTTTTCACCCACAATGTCTTTTTTTTAATTAGAGATCGACTGATACAGGTTTTTTCATTGCAAATACCGATATTCATATGTTACTGACAAAGTTGATAATCCAGGCATTTTTAGAATGTTTTTCGGCAAAATAGGAAATAGATGTTTTATCTACTTTGCCTAGGCATTGTATGGGATGCCAATTGTCCTCTAGGTAAAGTTCAGTTTGACTGTTTATTTCATAAAAGGCAAGATTTTTGTTAGATTGGAACATCAACATATTCATATTTGTTAACATACTCCTAATGGCAAGAACCTCTGACCAAGACTAAATTTAACCTGTACTACAGGGATGGGATGAGAGATAATTTCCACAAAATGAGACAAGACATGACATTGCGATTACAAGAAGAAATTTTTTTGACATTTAGAGTACATAAATTATACAGTTAAATTTTGACTTCACCAATTTTGATTTACTTTAGTATTTTTCTGTCATGGTAGCACTGCTTTTAGGATCTAAAGCTTCCCAAGAAACGTAACACTACTTAGGGCCTGTTTACATGGGAAAGCTTACCAGTAAAAACAACAAAATATTTTATCGGAAGAGCCTTTTGTTTAGATGGTGATGGTGATTTTGGGGCTTAAAAATGCAAAAATCTAAAACCACCCTCCAGAGTGGAAAAGTTGAATACGCTCCGCCATAGCATTTCTGTCTACACTGCCCAAGACGCAAAACTCTGGTCAGATCTGCTCAGGTCGCGTGCGCGTTTACGTCACATACATACAGTACACAGAAATGAACATGTCGAATGGCATGCATGTCCATTCGAATTCCACACACTTTTGCGTCACCGTATGCATGCAGATTTCCTCCCCAAAACACTCATCTAAATGTGAAAAAAAAAAAAATGAGAACGCTGCACCACTTTTGCGTCTTCTGTTCAGACCGTCATCGTATAAACGTAGCCTTAACCCCTTTTGTGTCCAGTCCAATTAAGTGTGCACAATTTTGTATGTTTGTAGACAGTTAACTTTGGTAGAGATTCTGCAGAATGCCTGATTTCCCACTGTAACATATGTTAGCAGTCGATGGCTGATAAGCTCTATTTTTTTTATATAAAATTATAATTTTAACACATTTACAGTCTACTACACACTGCACAGCTCTAACAAAAAAAATAGTATAATAAAAGTTTAAAAAATAAATAGAAATGATTTTTAAACATCCACTGCCATGTTTCATTACAAACCTTTAAAAGAGCACTTCACTCAGTTTGCACAGTGCCTAAAGTCTTACATATATATAACAATATATTAACATTAAATCATTATTAACATCAATCATGAACCAAATCAAAAGTATTAACATTTATATATTAGAGAATGGAATTAGCATTGAACTGATAATAACAGATTACTCATAAACACATCTACAATATAATCTATAAACCTACAGTCTATGCTAAAAACTGAAGTATATTTTTGACCACATTTCTCTGTTAATTTAGACCGTCTCAACAGAACTCCTTAACGAACTGAAGACGTTTGCTGATATTGCGACAGAGCAATGTAGCAGATTACAGGTAAAATTCAAATTACAACAAAAATTTACCCCTCATCAGCATTATATAATTAAATATATGTGTGTCTGTTGTTCTTTAGGAAATTCAGTCAACATTGTGTGAGCTGACAAAAGCACAAGAGCAGATGAGGCAGGAGAGGGAGAGCTTTGCTGTGGAGGCTGCTGATCTGGAAAAGGCTCTTAATGAGGCAGAGGCACTCCTTTTGTAGAGAAAAAAAAAAAATGTCACTTGTGTATGTTTTTAAAATTATTGTAATAAACATTTTGTACACCTTCTATTGAGAACTTGAAATTAATATAATTATGAAGGAGTAGACTGTTTATGTTTGATGCCAGAATTTGTAAAGGAAGGGATGGTGAATTTAAGGGTGTAAGCTTAACTTGGATTTAAAAATAATAATAAACCCTCATATAATATAGTACAAGTTGCATACACACACTAAATAGTACATATACAGCAATTAATAATATGTATTAATAATGAATAATATTTTGATTATCGTTATCTGGACTATATAGACTCCAAAACACATACCTTTCATAACAAAGACTGTGGCATTACTTAAATGGATGCACTGATCTAGTTTTTTTCTGTTCTGATACTCGATATCAACCTATCCTAGGGCAAAGACTAAAAATATTGTTTATTTTCTTTGAGCACAAATGGTGCATGGTTAACTATTACCTAAATGTGTTATGAAACTTTTATAGTAACCACAGAACAGCTTTGGAAAAAACCCAAGTTCAATAATACAAGGTGTTTTGGGCCAGTAAATTGTCTTATTACACCAGTATGCAAATTTTCAATGTTGGCAGGGATCTCTGGTACCAGATCTTATCGGGGCATCCCTAATTATTAAATAAAAATGAAATGAACTATTTGTAAATCATATCCAAAAATATTTATCTGCAAATATTCTTTAACTAGCCTTCAGTCACCATATTTCAGTGTGTATTAGATTAAAGAAAATGCATAATAGAAATAATTGTTTGCCAGAAAGAAAAAAAAAAAGCAGGTTTATAAGTTTACTAAAATAATTTGTGATTGTAGGTCACTAAGGTCACTCTGGCTTGGGTTTAGTGCCGTAGTTGTCGTAAGGGTTGAAGATTTCATCCAGGTTTGTCTTGAGAGTGCTGCTGCTGTTGGTGCTGGCGCTGCTGGGGTCATTACTCTCCACAATGCGGCTCATCTTGTAGTAGTAGATGAACAGACAAAAACCTGCAAGAAAGACATTTATACTAAATCATGTCTGCAAATGTTAGAAAGTAGTGTAATATGGGCCCTTTAAATGTAAAATTCTTAAATGCTATGTCATATTATAAACCATTTATATTGTAACTCTGATTTAACCTTATGGTGATGTGTTTTTAAATATGATTTTCTTATTTGAATCTTCAGGGGCAGCTGTTCGGTAGTGAGTTAAGCATTTGTTTATAAAAAACAAACAATAGCTGGTTCCGTTGGTCCAATTGAGCATAAAATAAAGATTCGTAACTCTTGACTGATTCCAGTCGTACATAAAATGAGTTGTGTGTGTTTTATCCATCAGAATATAAATTGAAAAGTTACAACATCAAGAATTATCACAAAATGAAAATATACAATTACCCTTGCTTCACTACAAACATGAAACCACAGATGCGACTTTACTGTCAAAAATATATCATCACTTCACAGGAATTATTTATTGAGCAGAAGAAACATGAGACTGAGATGCCAGACTTTTGCGGCGCATATGAACTGATTCAGTTCTGGTTTAGTCCAGTTTTAGTCCTGGTTCAGTCCTGGTTTAATCTGTGTGTGGTGTAAAAGTCCGGCATCTCGATCGATGTTTTTTCTGCTCTGCCTGTGAAGTAATGACATTTTTTTGAGAGTAAAGTCATGTCTGTGAATTCATATTTGTACTGAAGAAAGTGAAATCGTAAATTTTCATTTCGTGGTTGTAATTCTTGATGTCGTAATTTTTCAATTTGTATTCTGATGGATAAAATATACACAGTACATTTTATATACATTTTATGGCCTCATTCAAGAGTTTATGAATATTTACTTTATGCTCAACTACAGACAAATATGCACAGATTTCTATCCTGTGCTCACGAATCTTTCTGAAAGCTTTCTTACTCCATAGTCCATCCTCTGTCAGTAAAAGCATGTGTACTTTTGGAGCAGAAATGGTCATAATTAAAAGTGTAAAAAAATGACAAAAAACTAAATTATGATTGTGCATTACTAGGAAAAAATAATGACCCAGCTTGAATGCAAATACCTTGGAATGAATTGAAGATTGAGAAACAGTAGTAAGCAGGAACACGGAAGACTCCATAGGCAAAGAAGGCACAGCTCCAAGTCACGCCCAGAATACAGCACAGGCCCATGATGATGGTGATCTTCTGGCAAGTGGAGCCGCTCTTCACCTGGGCAGCTTTCTGGGTCTGCCTCATACAATACAGCCAGGTCAGCATGAGGATCAAAGTAGAGAAGGTGAAGAGGAACACCAGAGCATAGTAGCCGATGTTGACAATGTAGTGGACGTCATTGTCAAGGATCCAACACCTACAGGGAAGGAGGAAGTGAAATAGTTTACAAAATACATTTAAAATACAGCAGTTGGTCCACGGTATAAAGGTCTTGTATTACACAAAATGTATCAGATGAGGAAAAGAGGTAGAGCTCATCACTGGGTCATAAAAAAAGTTAAAAAATAGCAGTACAGGTGCTCTACAAGGGTTAAACTTCTGAACAGAAAGTTACCCTTATTGAAAAATGTAAAAGTGGGCAAGGTACCAACCCGAGACACTCTAGATAGTCTTCGTGATTATGCCCTGACAAAGACCGTCTTACGGGTCAAAACGCATTGGCATCTCTTCATGTAATAAAGGACTTTTAATATATTCAGTGTCTCGGGGTTTGTACCTTGCCCACTTTTACATTTTTCAATAAGGGCAATTTTCCGTTAAGATTACACAAAATGTATTCTTCTGAGCCTTTAGCCATATTACACTGTTGATGTCATGTAGCGGTAGTCTTTTTTTTTTTTTTTTTTAAGTTAACAGCTGCCTTTTACCTTTTAGTTCAGTAGAGATTGGCAATTACAGGGCTCAAATTATCCAAAATATTCTAATGAAGGTGTATGGAGTTTAAAAACATAGTGGGGCGCTTCCGGTATTATCACATGACATCCCAAGGTTAGGTTAGGTTAGGTTAGGTTGCTTTATTTGTACCTGTAGGTAAATTTGTTTTGCAGATTTTGAGAGGCAGGTCCCATGATATTTCACATTTCATTCATCCATATTATGTGCAACAAACATGCATTAAAGCACAATTACAAATAAAGTGTTACAGAGCACCAGTGCAGAATGGTTTTGTTCAATAAACAATTAGTTAAATTCATCCATTACGCTTGGCTAAAACCACAATATTAATTTTTCCAAGATAAATGTACTAAAATTGACAGATAAATAGATTACAATTTATTGATAAGTACGATAGCAGCTGGAACGAAGCTCCTTTCAAAACGATTCATTCTAGATCTTGGGACTAAAGTGATTAAGGTAGAAGAGAAAGTTTTCTGTTTTTGTTAAACATGTGAATGAAATGGCAGTCTTATTACTTGTTAATGCTTTAAAAATGAAATCAAAGTTGAATAGAAAAGCATCTGATGTCCGATTTACTTGTAATATTTTTGATAATAATTAAATCTAGACATCAACAGCCCTATTTCTCTACAAACCATTGTGTACCTGCTTGTGCCCACGGAGAGGTTATTTCTTTGCCTGCAGTGTTCCAAAGTATGGCATTAAACTCATCAATCTCCATAGAGACAAGCCACCAAGCCAATTTACAGGTGAGATCTGTGAAGCGGTGAAACCACTCACAGTAGGAATGCATGTTTTTAGTGGCATTTTTGAGCAAGAAAAACACCCATAACTGAATAAATGCATCTTATATAAGTTTAATACCATTTTGTGGAACATTACAGGCAAAGTAATAGCATCTCCAACCTGAAAAGTTACACAGTGCACCTTTAAGAGAGTAGTTTTGTGCAGTACTCATTTTGCACTGAAGGGTTAAGTAAAAACAAGTTACTTTATCCTTGCGGTGGACCCATGGAAAATTAATAACATAAGGATATGCAGAAAAGTGACTTACATGGACGCACTTGTTGCAGTATTTTCAGTTCTGATTGTCATTTCTCCGTATTTTCCAAGACCCAGCAGGGTGATTATGATTATACTGGGCATCACTGAAAAGAAAAAAAGACAAAAATCATGATTACTTCTCTAATATTATATGTATGAATAAAGGGCTGTTTTCTAATCTGGTATAATGTTGTTTCCTCATCACAAACAGACCTGGAGTTGTGTTTTGTTTAATTCAAACATGTTTAACACGTAAACCCTGCATATTTAGAGTTCTTCTCTCCAACGGACAACACTCTGTTCCACCTTGTGATGTCATGTGGTAATACAGGAAGTGTGCCACTGTGTTTTTAAATGTTTTTGATACTCCTTCACTAGAATCATTTGGATGATTTTAGCCCTGGAAGTGCCAATCTCTACTGAATAAAAGATAAAAGAGATAAAAGGCAGCTGCTAACTTGAAAACTACCACTACATGACATCACAAGGTGGAACAGAGCATTTTGAGCTTTGGAGATGTAACAATGAATAAATGAATGAAACAAAACACAACTCTAGGTATGTTTTTTGAGGAGGTAACAGCATTATAACATGGCTTAAAGCTCACAAGAGTCAGTTTTGTGTAATAAAGGTCCTGTATCTTGTTCTTGACCTGTAATAATGACCTAGGTCAGACATGTCTAACTCAGGCCCGGGGTCCGAATTTGGCCCGCAGGATCATATAAATGTGTATTAGAGCTGCCCGCCGGCTACAGATAGACTATACAGACAATATTTATTTAAAATTTAGTTATTATTTTATACTATGCTTGTTCTGGAGTCAATGTTTAAGCAAAACTATTATGAAACATTTATTTTAATAGGAAAACTTTTAACATTACATATCTCGAAAGAAGAGAAAACATGCAGATGTTGTTGAAATTTTTCAATAAATATTTAGTTTGGCCCACGACTTAATCCAAGTTTTAAATTTTGTCCCTCTCTGAATTTGAATTTGACACCCCTGATCTAGGTAATATGTTTCTTGAAATGCAACAAAATGTATGTAATATTGATGCATATAATTCAATTTTGTCTCTTGTCAAACAAACTGAAATCATTACAACTATGAGGCCAAAACGTACTTGAATCATAAACACACAGATTCCATACTGATCTATATTTGAACTCACCCCAGCTGAAAACGGCGACTTTAAGTACGTAGCGTTGGATCTGTACTTTCCCGCCGGAGTAGAGCTGCAGACAGAGGTGGAAGGCATGTGCCGCGAACCAGGTAAAAGTGGTCAGCATGAAATAATGCATGGAAGCGGCCATAATCGTACAACCAACAGAATTTTTGGTTTTTGCCACAAAGTCATTCACGAGGAAAGAGAAGACGAGCAGGAACATGGCAATCACCAGGTGGATGAGGATAATGGTGGAGTTGCTAGAATTGCCCCTCCTGTGAAAAACAAAACAAAACATAGACTTAGACTTAGAAAATCTTTACTGATCCACAAGAGAAATTATTTGGACACAGTAGCTCACACATCACAATAAGTATGCCATTTTCTGATCAATGTTTCCTCATTAAAAACATACCTGGAGTTAGGGCTGCTCGATTATGAAAAAAAAAAATCATTATCACAATTATTTTGGTCAATATTGAAAACATGATTATTTTTTTTTAGTTACACGATGCATTTAATTGGCATTTCTCTCTCAAAAAAATCACTTTGTTATTGATAACTTATGCAAAACTTTCAAACTAAAAATAAATATAGGCTATAAATGTGAACCTTAGAGCAATTTTGCGATGTATAAAACATAAAATGAATAAAATATATTTTGAAAAACATAAATGTATCCAAAATAGACTATATATCCAGCTGTTCTACAATCTCTCTATATAAAAAATCCCAAAATAAACAATGTTAAGCTTTCATTTCAGCTCGATTATATGAGTTTGGAGATCGTTTGACACACAAATCAAAATCACTATCAAAATTCAATTAATTGCACAGCCTTACATGGAGTTGTGTTTGGTTTCATTCACACATATTAAAAACACAAACCCTGGATATTTAAGATGAAATGATGAAAGGATTACGCAAACATGTGTGAATGAAACAAAACACAACTTCAGGTTTGTTTTTGAGGAGGTAAAACCATTATAACATGACTTAAAGCTCAGAGGAATACATTTTACGTAATATAAAACCTTTAAAGAATATAATATCATTTGAACTTTAACTATTCAACACTAGTAATAGCAAATGCTGAAAAGTAAAACCTGAAAAACATAGTATTTAATGAACAGGAGTTTGAGTTCAAAGATCAGTAACGTTATGAAAGTCCACAATGCAAAACAGAACACCACAGAATAGGCTCGTGTTGTACAAAAAGAGGAAGCTGGCTGGAGCACATTTGCATTGACATTTTATTGGCCACAAAAACGTTCCGTGCGTTGCTCATAGGGTAGAGTAAACCTTTTATTCAAATCTCTCATTTTCCGAAAGCTATAACCAGCAGTTTGTTTTTGAGTTCATATTTACATTGACAAGCACAGGTTCTGCTTTTTCATCAATGAGCTCAATTAGTCTTAAGTCCTTATCCTACAGTGGCCTGACTAGAATATAGATAAGATAAATATTTATCCTAGTCAAGTTGAGAGGTAAATATATAAACTGTATAAGCGTCACTATATTGGTGACTCTGTACTTAAAATCGTGTTTTACCTCTGCTTCATGTAACAGGAAGTTGTAAATTAATTTAAAGTAACAATATTCTCATTCAGATTGCTGGCAAATATACTTAGGAATCCGTGTATCATTCGTTCATTCGTTTTTCAAAATAAAGTAAAAAAATAATAAAACAAAACAAAACAAAAAACACTTTTCTTCATTATTTGTCTACAAAACCAAAATGGAAAAATGGATAATGGCCGTTTCTCATTTCTGTGACTTAAACTGCGATGTCGGACTGAACCAGGACTAAATCAGGACTAAATCAGGACTAAACTAAACTACTAACTAAAACAGGACTAAAACAGGACTAATCCAGGACTGAGTGTCAGGACAGCCCGGAGGTGTGTCCGCTTAGACTGTCAGTTGATCAGGACTGAGACCAGGACCAGACCGGGCCTGAACCAGGACTACACCAAGGCTAAAACAGGACTGAGTGTCAGGACCAGACCAGGACTGAAACTGGAACTGGGACCAAGACTGACTGGTTTACTCCTGGTTTAATCATGGTTCAGTTTTGGTTTAGTCCTGGATTAGTCCTGATTCATTTCTGGTTTAGACCTGGTTTAATCCTGGTTTAGTCCTGTTTAAGTCCTGGGATCAGTCCTGGTTCAGGCTCGGTCTGGTCCTGGTCTCAGTCCTGATCAACTGACAGTCTAGGCGGACACACCTCCAGGCTGTCCCGACACTCAGTCCTGGATTAGTTCTGTTTTAGTCCTAGTTCAGTCCATACGCGGTGCAAAAGTTATCTGTTTTTTCCATTATTCATTTAAACACAAAATCGAAAACTGAAAAAACAAATCGTTATCTACTTTTCTATTTTAGTTTTGGAGACAAACAATCAAGAAAATAGTTGTTTTTTAATTTTCTTATTTTTGGTTTTATTTTGAAAACCAAATAAACAAATGGTACACTTTTTGTGCATTAACATGTCAAAGAAAATATTATATAGCCTATAAAGAAATTATTTAATTATTGCATTCTTTTGTTTATTGTAGTCTTTCATAATGCATTCAAAAGATGCATGATTTTAATTCAAACTTGCAATTAAAAAGTGACATGAGTGTTTTTTGTAACACCAAATCACAACATAATTAGTCTTCTTTAACATGCAGTTGTGAAATTATAATACACTAAAAAGGTACAGTATGTAACATTTTGGAAGAACAAGCAGGTGAAGCTCTTTAGGTTAAATAAGAGTCAGGTTTATTTTTTGTTTTTTTCAGGTTTTCAGTGCAAGAAACAACCAAAATGGACTAAACATGCTTTCATTTTAGTCAATTTTTAGCCCAGAAGTTACGTACTGTGGCTTTAAAGTGACCATACTGTTACTAGAGAACCACTTGTGAACATATTTGTGCACTGACCTCATGATAAAGTGCATGAAGAGAATGATGCCCAGAAAGAACATGGAGACGCCGCAGCCGACCCGAGTGATGGTGGTCAGGGTGTTCAGGTCGAAGCTGCTGAGGGTTTCATTGAGGGGCGTCTGAAAACAAAAACTTTATGTTACAAAGCTAGAGGAAATGTCCGGTGATAAAAGAGTTAAAAAAGAAATAGAAGCACAGGTGTGTAACATAGTGGTGAGAGAAGGAAGGTCAGTAGGTCTGGCAGCTGAGAAGTGGAGACAGAGCACAAGGAAGCGCAGATATAGATATAATTTAAAGTAGTAAAAACCAGAGGTGGGACCAAGTCGTTGTTTTGCAAGTCTCAAGTAAGACTCAAATCTTCGACCTCAAGTCCGAGTCTCGAGTCACGGGCCCATAAGTCCAAGTCAAGTCCAAGTTATTTCAAGTCTTTAAAATATGAAGTAGTTTTTATTTTTTATTTTTTATTCTTTATTCTTCACTATATATAAAACATGATAAGGTCTCTTAAATTAGCAACATGGAATGTTCAGGGAATTGGTAATGTAATAAAGCGTAAAAAGATTTTGACTCAGTTAAAAAAACAAAAGTGTGATGTGGCCTTTCTTCAAGAGACTAAACTATCAGACATAGAACACAAAAAATTAAAAACGGAGTGGGTGAGCAATGTTTTCTTTTCATCATATTGTCAAGCAAAAAAAAGAGGTACTGCTATCTTAATTAATAAAAATATTCCTTTTATTTTAGAATATGAGGAAAAGGATCCCGAAGGACGATTTATCTTAATTACAGGTCACATTTTAAAAAAAACATGTAACTTTCCTTAATGTTTATGCTCCTAATATAGATACTCCTTCATTTATATCTCATATAATATTACTGTTTAATCAGCATTGTAAAGATTTCGGCTTTTTGGCTGGGGACTTTAATTGTATAATGGATGCTACTATGGATAAATCGTCCGTTGCGTCTATATCTAATCCTTGTGCATCAAAAATTTTGTATAACTTGACCAAAGAATCGGGGTTGTTCGATGTCTGGCGGCATGTTAACCCAACCACAAAGGATTATACATTTTACTCTCACCCACATTGTTCATATTCAAGACTGGATTATTTTTTTATTCCAAAAACATCATTTCATGCTGTTCAGGCATGTCATATTCAACCAATTGTTTTATCTGACCATGCTATAGTGGATTTAAAGATTAATTTGCACCTAAATATTCCGAAGACATCGATATGGAGATTTAATACTTCACTACTGCAAAGTGATGAATTTAACTCTTTTTTGCAGGGAAAAATTTTAGAGTTTTGGGATAACAATAAAAACAGTTCTATTTCTCCCTCTGTGGTTTGGGATGCTGCCAAGGCCACTATACGTGGATATATCATTTCATATTCTTCATATCAGAAAAGAATGTTACAGTCATATAGGGAGGGTCTTGAAAAAGATGTCCGTAACTTGGAACAAATACATAAACTTTCTCCTACTCTTTCAAATCTAAAACCCTTATTAGCAGCAAAATCCTTGTTAAGTCTTGATCAAACCAGAGAAGTTAAAAAACAATTACTTTTAACAAAGCAGGAATACTATGAATATGGCAATAAATCAGGTTATCTTCTTTCCCACCAACTTAAAAATCAAATCAATGATCGATCTATTAATATGATTAAGACAAATGATTCAAATATTTCTTATGATTTTGAAGTAATAAATAACACATTTCAGAGGTTTTATAGTTCACTCTATTCTTCAGAAATTACAAATCCTGATATTAATAGTTACTTAAGAAATCTTACTCTTCCTGAAGCTATAGAAGAGGATGTATCAACACTTAACTCAGAATTTACTCCAGAAGAAGTCTGGGCTGCTATTAAGGCATTACCAAATGGAAAAAGTCCTGGCCTGGATGGATTTTCCATCGAATTTTATAAGAAATTTTGGTCTGAAATCAAACCAATATTAATGGGAGCAGTTAACAACATATGGACTGGTTCAATTCCACAATCCTGGAATTGTGCATCTATTTCTCTATTAAGGAAGAAAGGGAAAGATCCCCTAGAATGTGCCTCCTATAGACCTATAAGTCTGCTTAATGTAGACTATAAAATTGTAGCGAAAGCATTTGCACATAGATTGGAGAAGATTCTTCCTAAACTTATACACCAAGACCAAGCAGGATTTGTGAAGGCACGATATGGTTCTGACAATGTGAGGTGTGCCCTTAATATTATTCATCAATTAAACAATAGCAAAGAACCAGCCTTGATTTTGTCGCTTGATGCAGATAAAGCATTCGATCGTGTAGAGTGGCCTTTTCTTTTTTCTGTGTTGGAGAAATTTTGTTTGGGATCAAATTTTGTTAATGCAGTTAAGACCTTATATGCACAGCCCTATGCTCAAGTTAATACTAATGGATTGCTTTCTAATAGATTTCCAGTCCAACGAGGATGTAGACAGGGATGTCCCCTTTCGCCTTTATTATTTTTATTGTTTATTGAGCCCCTAGCCCAAAAAATTAGGTCCAACACTGAAATAAATGGAATTTCAATAGGTGGAAAATCTCATACCATTTCCTTGTTTGCCGATGACATTCTTTTGTATCTGTCAAATCCAAGTAAATCCATTCAGTCAGTCTTAAAATCTATTAATGAGTTCAGTGTATTATCAGGATACAAAATTAACCTCAGTAAATCTGTTGTTTTACCTTTTAACATCCCCTCTGCAGAATTGTCAAAGCTTCCATTTCAAGTTACAAAAAGGGCTCTTAAATATTTAGGAATTTATTTAACGGCTGACTCAAATAATCTATTTGATTGTAATTATATACCGGTAATTGATAAAATAAAAGAAGATTTAGCCAAATGGTCATCATTACCAACATCTTTTTTTGGTAGAGTTAATGTTATTAGGATGCATGTTCTTCCTAGATTAAATTATTTGTTTCAGAATCTACCTTGCTACTTGTCAATTAATTTCTTTAAAAAAATAAATACTATTATCTCATATTACATTTGGAAGAAGCAACATCAGAGAATTAAATATGATACTCTTACCAAACCAAAACATTTGGGAGGTGTATCACTTCCCAATTTCCGACTATATTATTGGTCGGCTCAACTTAGAATGATGACCAGTTGGTTTTTAAAAAGAGAAGAATCAAATTGGGTTGAATTGGAATCCTTTACATGCAGACCTATCAGACTGGAGGATTTTTTATTTGTTAATAATGCATTAAATATAGACAGGTTGAGTAAAAATTATATTCTATATAATACATGGTTGGTGTGGAAAGATATTAAAAAATATTTGAATATACCATCAGTTTTATCCATTCGATCTCCTTTAATTTTAAATCCTGATATTCCTGAACAAATTAAGGGTATTGGCTTTTCAAATTGGGTTTCTGCTGGCATTACCAACTTTTCAGACTTGTGGTCATTAAACACTATAAAATCTTTTTGAACAAATCAGAGATGAATTTAATATTCCTGTTAAGGATTTTTACAAATACCTTCAAATTCGAAATTTTACTTGTACATTGTTAAAAGAAAATAAATTTAGACTCAGTCTGTCCAAGTTGGAATGCACAATGATCTCAGCTGTCTCACTAAAAGGAAAAATCTCAGAGTACTATACAATTCTTTCAAACCATAACACCAGTGCATATGACTTTCTGAAGCCGTTGTGGGAATATGATCTGCGTATAACCTATAATGAAGAAGAATGGTCTGAAATTTGCAAAAAAATATTTCCTAAATGTATACCTATATCAATACATGAACAAAATGATAAATTATTTCATAGATTTTATTATACCCCAGTGCGTCTTCAGAAAATGTTCCCTGACAGCTCTGATCTTTGTTATAAATGTCAAAAATATAAAGGCACTCTAGTACATTTATTCTGGGAATGTGAATATATTCAACAATTTTGGAGAGATGTCCATGCTGTTACCCAACAGATTACGGGAAAAACTTTTGTTATGTCACCATCATTGTATTTGTTAAATCTTTGTCCTGACAAACTTTTTGATAATGTTACTCAGTCTATGTTAATGATTATGATGTCATTGGCAAGAAAATGTGTTCTTTTGAAGTGGGCAACCCCGCATTTACCTACACTGGACTTATGGTTAACTCAGTTATCATCAACCATTCCCTTGGAAAAATTGACTTATGAACGAAATGGCAAACAAGATATGTTCTGGAAAATATGGACACCTGTACACATATATTTAAATATGTAATTTATACATTTATTATTATTATTATTTTTTTATTTTTTTTTCTTAATTTATTTATATATTTTTTAATGTATTTGTTATGGGTGAGTGTTTGACTGTGTGCGTTTATGTGTATGTATGTAAATGTATGTCATTTGTATATATTCATGTAATTATGTTATTTAATTGTTATTATTATTTTCTGGTCAATATTATTATCATTATTATTATTATTATTTATTTATTATTTTTTTTTTTCCTTTTTCTTTTCAGCGTCTGTTAAGGGTGGGGGTGGGTGTGGGGAGGTTGAATTGGGGTTTGGGAATGGGGAGGAGGGGGTTTAAATGTGGCATTTGTACACTTGTATATTTTGTGGCATTTTTGTGTGGCCGTAAGACCACAATATTAAAAAAAAAATCAAAAATTAAATAAAATATATATGAAAAAAAAAAAATATATATGAAGTACCAGTTGTGGTTGGTCCTCAACTCTGGAAAGCTCTGCCCCTCCATGTTTGAACAGCCCCCACAGTGGAGGGGTTTAAGTCTTGTCTTGAGACCCACTTTTACTCTCTGGCTTTTAACACAGTGTGAGTTGTGTGGTCCTCTGTGTTTTTTATTTATTTTATTTATTATTAATGTATTTTCTTTGGTTTTATTTATTTATTGCTATTCTATGATTTTGCTGTTATTTTATTTTACTGTTTTTTTTTATTTATTTTAAGACTAGTATGATTATTTCAGTAGTTTATTTTATCATTTTATTATTGTTGTTATTATTATGTATTTGTGCAGTACTTTGAAAACTGTTTGTTTGTGAAATATGCTACAGAAATAAAGTCGATTGGAATGGAAATATAGTGTAGATTTTTGCCATTTATATCACTTTTAAACTAAATTGTACTTAAAAAGTCATGGTATATTTTATATGAGTATTTATATAAGAGTTGTAGAATGCAAATTTTTCCTTTTTAAATGTCTTATCAAGATTTTTGTGTGAAACATTACAGTCAGAACAGAAAGAATTAAGATTTAAAAGTGCTACAGTTATTTTGTCATGAAGGATCATGTTCTGTGTAGTTCCCTCTGTTTTGCTGTATTGTACTGTATGTTACTGAATATTACTGTAGTACATTTAAAGATACCACATCACAGTACTTCAGTTACATCCAAAGTAACAAACAGAGAAGTGGGAGCGACATGTTCCAGTTTGATCTTGTAAAATTAAGCGCAGCATGTATCAACTGTAAAGAGAAAAGTATTTTCTAAAAACATATATATATATATATATATATATATATATATATATATATATATATATATATATATATATATATATATATATATATATATATATATATATATATATATATATATATATTTTAGGAGAAGCATCAAGTCCAAGTCAAGTTCCAAATCATTGACCTTGAAGTCCATGTTGGGTCCCACTGCTTAGTCCATTTCATCAAGTCAAGTCTCAAGTCAGGTAAAAATAATGACTCAAGTTTGACTCGAGTCCAAGTCACGTTTTGCAAGTTTGAGTTCTTTTTTTAATATATTTTTTTGGTATTAAACAGACAATAAAAAATACATTGGACATAAATTTAGGGAAGAATGAATAAAAAAGACATAAATAAATAAGCAAATAAACACAAATTTTTAAATCTAATTAAGAGAGCCAAAAAAAAAAAGGTTTGATTATTGAGGAGGAATGAGTTATAGATTCAAGTGCACCATTTATAATGAAATGGATAAAATAAAATTATCCAATGAAATGAATTAAGCAGAAAACATTAAAATCATGATATCATTAAAATACATACCATTAAAATAGCGAAAAAGGTCATGTGAGTACACCTGCACGTTATATTAATGCCCTCGATGACTGTCTCGCAGCCATCATTACTCCAATTTGGCATACTTCCTACAAAAACAAAACATATATTGATGGCCATTTTGTGTTTTTTTTTTTCTTAAACCTTTTTTGACAGTAAGTGCTAATGTGTGCATTGTGTCAACATGGTGCTGTAACTCTTAAACATTCCACCCACAGAGATACATGTAAAACACCCCCAGCATGATGGCACCACATGTCCATTATTAATAATATTATTTTCATCATCAGTATCATCAGGAGCAGTGGTGTTGTGGGGATTTTTTAAGTGGGGGTGTGTGATTCGTGACTGAATCAGGGGGACTAAACCAGGACTAAACCAGGACTGAACCAGGATTAAACCAGGACTGAACCAGGACTGAACCAGGATTAAACCAGGACTGAACCAGGACTAAATCATGTCTAAACCAGAACTAAACCAGGACTGAACCAGGACTAAATCAAGTCTAAACCAGGACTATATCAGGACTGAACCAGGACTACACCAGGTCTAAACCAGGACTAAATCAGGATTAAACCAGGTCTAAACCAGAACCAAACCAGGACTGAACCAGGATTAAACCAGGTCTAAACCAGAATTGAACCAGGATTAAACAAGGTCTAAACCAGGACTGAACCAGGATTAAACCAGGATTAACCAGGTTTATACCAGGACTACACCAGGACTGAACCAGTTCTAAACCAAGACTAAAGCAGGACTGAACCAGGATTAAACCAGGTCTAAACCAGGACTAAACCAGGACTACACCAGGACTGAACCAGGAGTAAACTAGGACCGAACCAAAAATAAACCAGGACTAAACCAGGTCTGAACCAGGATTAAACCAGGTCTAAGTGAGGACTACACCTCAAATTGTATTTTTTTTTTTATAGCAGCGATGTGTGAAGTACAGACCATTTATCTTGAAAAGAATACATTAAAATCCCTTTAAGAATGTTGTAGTACCATTGCCGTTCCAAGAGTGACATGTTGGCGTTCCGTTCTGTAAGAATAAAAGATAAACATCATAATATTATCAGAATCCAGCACATTTTATTCCATTTTGCTTTTCAAAACCTACGTAGTGAAAATTCTTAAAGTTGATGTTTATTGTATCAGTCAGGTTTTTGATAACAGCTCCCATCTCAATTGCTATAACTTCGTCGCCCAAGACAGTGCTGTTACACTCATCCTAAAAAGAGCATCATTACAACCAATGAATGAATGAATTGATTGATTAATTAACTGAAAGTACAGATACAGGTGCAAAAGTATTCTCAAGTAAAAGTAAAAGTATTACGTCAAAAATCTACTTAAGTGAAACTACTGAAGTACCTGCTTAAAAATGAAAAATGAAAAACAAATCATTATCCGTTTTTTCATTTTGGTTTTGGAGACAAATAATGAAGAAAACTGTTGTTTTTTTTTCGTTTTCATATTTTGGGTTTTATACTGAAAAACAAATGAATGAATGATCCTCCCATTGGGACATGCCCAGAACACCTCCTGAAGGAGGTACTCAGGAGGCATCCGGAACAGATGCCCAAGCCATCCCAACTGGCTCCTCTCGACATGGAGGAGCAGCGGCTCTACTCCGAGCTCCTCCCATGTGACTGAGCTCCTCACCCTATCTCTAAGGGAGCGCCCAGCCATTCTGCGAAGGAAACTCATTTCGACTGCTTGTATCAGCGATCTCGTCCTTTTGGTCATTATCCAGAGCTCATGACCATAGGTGAGAGTAGGAATGAAGATTGACCGGTAAATCGAGAGCTTCGACTTTTGGCTCAGCTCCCTCTTCACCAAAACGGTCTAATACAGCGACCGCAACACTGCAGACGCTGCACAGATCCACCTGTCAATCTCACGTCCCATCCTCCCCTCACTCGTGAACAAGACCCTGAGATACATGAACTCCTCCACTTGAGACAAGGACTCTCCACCCACCCGGAGAGGGCAAGCCACCTTTTTCCGTTTGAGAACCATGGCCTTGGACTTAGAAGAGCTGATCTTCATCCCAGCCACTTCACACTTGGCTCCTGGTTCGATGAAGCCATCAGGACAACATCGTCTGCAAACAGCAGAGATGAAATCCTGTGGTCCACAAACCGGACCCCCTCCGGCCCCTGACTGAGCCTAGAAATTCTGTCCATAAATACAATGAACAGAACCAGTGACAAAGGGCAGCCCTGGCGGAGTCCAACATGCACCAGGAACAGGACTGACTTACTGCCGGCAATGCGAACACAGCTCCTGCTCTGGTCGTACAGAGACCGGACAGCCCTTAGCAAAGGGCCCCGGACCCCATGCTCCCAGAGCATCCCCCACAGGACACCACGAGGGACACGGTCGAATGCCTTCTCCAGATCCACAAAGCACATGTGGACCGGTTGGGCAAACTCCCATGAACCGTCGAGCACCCAATGGAGAGTGTCTAAAATATACTTAAGTAATGTACAGATACCTAAAAATTGTACTTTTACATTTGTAGTTCCACCGCTGCTGGTCTAATAATAATATTTTAGAGTTTGTTTAGTATTTTCTTACCTTGGCAATATTAAGAAAACGGAAAACTGCAGCAAATGGTTCACTTATATTCAAACTCTTGGCCAGCTCAAAAGCTTCTTTAGACACAGTTACAGATCGAGAAAAATTAGAGAGAATGTTTTTCTCTTCTAGAATCTGAAATACATTAAAACATAAATAGCATGATTATATTTATGATTTTACTCAACATCTTTCCTAGTTCTGCTAAATAAGGGTTTAAACTGTCAGAAAAATGTCATCAAACCAAGTAACAATTAGAAAAACATGAAAATATGCATTTTAAGGTAACTTCTAATAACCTTTACTACATTTACTTATTATTTCTGTACTAGATGTAAAAGTTTCATACTGTACATGCTGATTTAACAAGTACACTGAATTAATATAAGCGATGGATGTGGATTTTAAATACTGTCCATTGCGGGACAGTGCTGCAAGACTTTCTACAACCACAGTGGGTCATTAATAGAACTAATGGAATCTTTTTGATATGTTCCCCTGTACAAGAAACAACAAGCTGTAGTCTTTCAGTTATTCAAACCCAACTATAAACTTAAAACAGTTAACTATACTGAGTAATTACAGATTTGGTGCAGGTTTTGTGTGTGCTGAACAATCGGACATATTTTTGTAATTTACTGGGACAAAAATTACTATTCAAATTTGTCTCTAAAATGGGTTAAAAAAGACTTGGACTCACATTGAAGGTCTCGTTGATTTTGGTGTAGCCGAAGGATACCTCCTCCATGTCCGCGGGGTCCACCTGCTTCATTAAAACTCCAGTGATGCTTGGTCCCATCATCAAGGCAACAGATGACTCACTGATGTTATTCACATAATCAGCGGTGAATAAATTCATCACCTCGCTGTTGAAAATTTTCAAAAGTGAAGTTAGTTTCATAAGTCAAGTATACTGTCTGTGGACAGCTAAACATGTCCAGTTTTACACCCACTTTTAATATTGCCAGCCTTCACAGATATGTTCTAATAAGATAGGTACAGTCTTAAAAACATGAAAAACAGAACTTATTTACTTTAAACGAGTTGCACTGGTCCAAAGTTACACGCTTATTTTATGCCTTCCAAGCATCCTAATTATTTCCTGTGTTGTACTGATGAAATTATAATGGCTCCCAGGGATCAAAGCAGCACTTTTTGAAACTGCATGCGTTTGGTTTAATTTTTGATTGTTTTTATTACACTGAAACACACATAATACATGTGTCCTTACTGCGGGCTTGCATCTTCACAAACCTGATCTTACTTGGCCTGGAGGAGGGGCCTCCACCTGCTTGTCTCCATGGAAATGTTGTCCTTTTGGCAATAATGTTCTAGCCAGACAGGCGCCACCTAATGCCTCGGCTCAATTTCATTTCTTTCCAGCGACTAGGTCAGGAATTGAAAAACACTAGATGGTTTGCAAGAACCCCGGAAGTGCGAATTCGGGCACCAGTCAATCAGCAAAGAGCCATATATTCTGTGTTGGTAACGATTCCCGAGATCGACAATTTAAAGCCGGAACAAAAAGAATGTTTGGGGAATTTTATCAGGGGAAAGACGTTATTGCCCTTCTTCCTACAGGTTTTGGGAAAAGCTTAATGTACCAGTTAGCCCCATGAGCGGCGCATTACATATGTCACGACCAAATAGCAGTGATTGGTAACATTTTTAAAAAGTACCCGGCTACCATCCAGGGAAAGAATCCTAATGCTGAGAGGTCAGACAGTTTCCACGAAGTGAAACCGACTGATGAATCAGGCTAATAATCTTCCACTGTATAACATAAAACTTGTCAATCTCCATGGAGAAAGTTCTGAAGTATGATTTTAACTTCCCATTTGCCAACTCCAGAAGAAAAATGGTAACAATGGAATAATGGTAAATAAAAACTACCTGCTGTGACCACTGCACAGTGCCAGGCTAGCTATAATTACTTATTTCTAACCCATGAATAATAACATATTATAACACACACAGAGAGACACACACACATATATATAATGTGGACTTACTTAGCTAATTCAGGGTCCAGTGGTTTGTCAGTTTCAGTTGGTGGGGCCATAGGCAAATTCAACACTGCTTCAGGTTTTTTTATTGGGTTGTTGCAGTTAAAACAAGCCCGTGTGCTTATGTTCACAATAAATGAGTCGTCAATGTCTGGATCTAAAAAAAGAAACCAGAACAGTTCAAAACTTTTTATACTATTTAATACTATTTGCAGTATCTATTTTCATATTTCTAAAGCCTGCACAGATAACAGTTTTGAATCAAATTAAAACTACACTGAATGAAACAACAACTGTCACAAAGTATTCTGTTTCAAACTACTGAACAAGACATGGTGTGAAATGAGAATATGATATTGATAAACATACAGTTACTTTTGCATAGGCTGGAATTGTAGGCGGCTTTGTCACATTTGAATCCATTTGTTTGAAAATGACATTCTTCTGGGAGTGAGGACAGGGAATTTGTATCTAGACACAAAACACAATACAGTTAAAGTGAATGACAAAAATACAGTTGAATTAGGACTGGAATGTTCTCAACAATATCCATACTGCAGAAATTACTATTCATATTTTAAGAACGTAAATGTTAAGTTATAATACGTTTGATTTTTATTTGCTCACGTATTGTATTAGATTTTAAACTAATAAAATCGTATAAGATTTTAAGCAGAGGTAAAAATGTTCAAATCAAGTACAGCTTTGCTCTGATAACAATTGTAATGCTGGTTTAATCTTAATTAGAAAGACACTGGATATGATGGTCAGGTTGTTTATGTTATAATTTGGTGTTTTCAATGCTCAAATCCAGTTGATTTAAACCTAAAATGCCTCTCTCTGATCTGAATGGTCGCTACCTAAACCCTTGCACCTGCAGCCATCATGCATCAGTGCTAGTGCAGCCTCTGCAGCTCATTGAGTGAATTCTGGAGTTTCTGAGCTTTCACACTTTTGAGGTGTGTGTCCTCTATATGTAGGTTTAGGCACTGGCAACCCAGGTTCACGTGCAATTATAATACAGTGTAAGACCACAGTTTACATCCTGGAAAGTGAGACAAAGCCTGTGCATTTACTCCCAAACTGCATTTAGGGAGTAAGTGTTAAAAATCCCTATAGTCGTCCAGGTAAAATCCATGGCAAAGGAGAAATTCAGTTTGTCACCTGGACAAAAGTTTGTTTGGTCGAATACGTTTCGCAGCTCATCCAAGCTGCTTCTTCAGTTCTGGTCAGGCGCTGGTGGACACTGCCTTATATCTGTCTGCAGAGAGGAGCTAACTACAGTGAAAATACTCTGAAACTAACACACCTACTTGTTTACAGTTTCTGTTAGTTATCTAGGCCTATTGAGCTGCACTGAGTGTGGGGTCTTATAAGCAGAAACATTAAGGGTCATAATGGAGCTTTCACACTTCTGGACATGACCTGGCTACAGCTATTGTTCTCTTGTTTGTTTTGATTTAGGTTTGAGGGTGGAGTTGTAAATAGGAGATAGATGGTGTCTGAGACAATCTGAATTTCTGCTTTGCCATTTAGAAAGTAAGTATGCAGGCTTTGTCTCACTTTCTATGTTCAAGGGAGTAGCCTTGCACCAGTGATGTGCGCATACGTATACCTTTTATTATTTATTATATACAGATCCTGACCAAAAAATCCGAGAATTCATATATTGATTTGGATTTTTTGAACTGACTAACTGAGTGGCTGAAGAAATAGATGACAAAATGATAGGGATGTAACAATATGTAAATCTCACAATACGATATTATCACAATATGCATCTCACGGTTTATTTATTGCGATATTTTGAAGAGGCTAATATAAAGATAGAACAGTTTTCTGATTTTAAAATACCTTGACAAGATTTTGGTGTGAATTATTACCATCATAATCCTGAGAATTCAAGTAAAAAACATATTTCTTCATGTTGTCTGCACTAAAATGAATCATGAGATATGTAGTTCCCTATGTTTATAAGCTGTTGCTACTATAAAACCATGCACTTAAGCAAAGAAACTTGTAATCCGATATATTGTGACAGCCCACGATATTATTGTGAGACTTTGGACGATGTGATGTCACGATATTTCGGTTATTGTTACATCCCTACAAAATAATATTGATTACAGTGAAGACAGTAGTTTTGGTGTATCACATTTTTTCCATCAAAATATTTCCCATACATAAATGAATACATATTGTTCATAAATATTGACACCTTACCAGAGAAATTGACATGGTTACTGCAGTTCTGTCCTCTCAGATGGTAGATAGTCAAATGTTTGCGGGTGAGCTGTTTTGACAGAAGCAGAGAGCCACTGGCATGAACTTCAGGGATTCTCCATTTCACTGTCGGATTAACATTAGATGAAGACACAGAACCAATATACTATGTACAGTTTATGTATGTGTATTTTTATTTTGCTGCACTTACGTTTACATGGGAACGTTTCATGTCGGACGGATATTGTTGAAATTTCTCCTGAAAGTTTAGAATACTTTTATGAACAAATTCAACATGAATTCACTGTGGCTAGGACTTTATATACATGATTTACATAACGTGATTTTTAATAACATGATTTAAAATGTATTTATATAACCTTATTCACTACAACAAACATTACAGAAATATTCAATCATTGCATAAACTTTCTGATGGAGGGTTTGTCAAATGCTCTTCTCCACGGAAATGTTTTGCTTTGTCTGGAATTTTTCACAGCTTGGAGCTAAACCTGACAATTACCTGACAATTACAGGTCAGACCTGTGGAGAGGCGACCCCGCTCACTGTCAGTATGCCTGTTTTTTAGGTATTTTTGAGCTGTAATTGGATGGTAGAGGTGTTTAATGTCATAATGTGGAACATTCAAGGCAGAGCAGTGACATTTCCACAGAGACAAGTGCAAATTACTGCCATGGCTTGTCAAATGAGTTCTCAAAAAATGCAAAACAATAATAACAAGTACAATCGAAGAGAGCAACCTGGTCCTCCATGAGGCATCCGTGGGGTCAGTTCATCACCACAGAAGCATCTTATGACGAGCCCAGCTCATATGACATGATTGTTATATCCACAATGCAATGTGTGTATCTGTACAGTGCCCATGAACATTTGTGTGATATTGGTCACACATGAGAATGTCCGTGCTTACTTTTTCTGAGATTTTGAGACCACTCCCGTTGCTCTAGCTCGATCCTTTGCGGAGTTATGACCAAAAACACATATTTGACCTTGGTTACCTTGACCTTCAAGTGACCTTGACCAGTTTCAACCTGTAACATCCAGTGTACCCAGGTTATGTGTGTGCCAACTTGTGTGATGATTGGGTGAATATTTTAGCCCACAGATGGTGCCGAATTTGTCGAAATTACCTATCCTTTATAATGGCGTGACCTTTCAATTGACCTGTGTGACCTCAAATGACCTCAGATCATCACTAAACTTTTTTTGCAGCATCGAACATGGGAGCTTAACCCACGTACTAAATTTGGTGACAATCGGTCCATAAATGGCGGAATTATCGCAGGTGGACAGACACACACACAGACAGACACACAGGATGAATACAAAACCTGGTCAATTCTTCAGGGACCAGGTAATAATGGATTTATATAGCATCTTTTATGACACCTGAAGTGCTTTACAGTGATTTTTTTATTTTTTATTTTTTTTTTTCTATATTGTTTTCATTTTTATGTCTTTGTTCATTTTCTTGTGTCTTGTGTCTGCCTAAAATTGTAGCTCGGGGAGAAATAAAGTGCCCAAGTTCAAGAAATTCTAAATAAAAAATGAACTGAACTTACCACTGCCATTGCAAAAGGCTAAGGTGGAGTTGTTTGTGATGAACAGGCTTGTAACATTCACCACGACAAAATACATTTCATTGAGGCTCGTGCAGTTTCCGTCCAAAATTTTACCTGGAGAGAAAAACGGCAACATTAAAATACAAATATAAGAGATAAGGAAATTATTTGGACAGAGCTGCTCACACATCACAATATATTACACTTACAAAGAGCAAAAACATAAATGGTAGTATTAATAAATTCTAATAAGTAGCAAAAATAGCAAGAGACCGGTGTCAAATAAGCATAATTATATAAATGTACATGTATAAGTAAAAATAATATAGTAATACAAATAAATTTCAGATATATACAAGAGATCATAAGGAGAAACAGTGCATAAAAGTGAGATGAATGTAGTCCTCTATCTCTCACTTTTTGTTGAGAAGGAGCTCCACTGTCCCTTTAGAAGTAATAGTATTCGTAGGTAGTAGTAGTAGTAGTAGATTAAGTATTTATTATTATGTTTTTGTAGTTTGGAGGATAATGGACTCATTTTGTGGAATGAATACGTGTAGAAACAGTAGTCGTAGTTTTAGAAATAACAGTTGTAGTGGTAATATTGTAGTGTTGACGTATTTGCTGTACTTTTTGTTACTTTAGAAATACTTATAAAGAATACAATTTGGATTGGCAGATTATATAAAGTAAATAAAACGACTCTTGTATCCACATTGCAGACATCTCAATAGTAGAAGTAACTTTTGAAGCAGTAGTAGAGCTGAAGTATATTTCAGTATTTGTCACTTCTGAAGTAATTATGAGGGATAATATTTGGCATGGCGCATTATGTGAAATTAATGAAATTAATGCATGGAGGAGGGTCATTTGCTGATTTTTTTAATTGCAAAGAAACTAGGCAAACAACAAAACAAAAATTTTTAGTTTAAAATATCAAAAATCTTGCAGTTAAAAGTTTTGCAAAATTGGATACATACCCACAGCGCTGCCACTTCCTGGAATAAAAAAAGAAATGTATTTTGTTATGATATACCTGAACATGATATTGGCATTGAAATAAATTAAACGTTAAAAAAATATATAAATAAAATAAAAATAAATAAAATAAATACATAAAAAAAAAAAAACAAAAAAAACATGTAAACTGGTAAAAACAGGTAAAGTAAAAACAGAAAATAATGTACCACCGCTATGGGCACTGGGTGGATCTGTGGATGTGAACAAAATGGTTCATCATTTTCTGCTCTTTCACATGTTACAGATGAAAAAATGTAGCTTTTTTTTTTTCAAATACAGCAGAATTCTCTTTAAACTTGAAACTTTTTCTACTTCTTATAGCTTATACCAAAATCTATAATAGTTAAAACATTAAAAGTTGATCAAAGTAAAAACTTGAAATGACTTATACCAGAGTTGTGAGCTTTGTGAGTCATGTTTGTGGACGACTGAGTTGTTTTCTTGTTCTATTAAAAAGCTACTTCCTCAACATCTCAACATCTGCTTTATTTTTTACATGAAAATGAATTAATTAACTCTTCATCGCTCTTTGAGTCTGTCACAATAAAGCACAAACATTCTTCATAAAGTGAAGATGATGCAGAAGTGTAGATTAAAAACAGAAAATGTCATTCGACTGTTTGTGCTGTATGTTACTGAAACTCTAACAAGACAGAATAGAGGATTGAAATGTGTGAAGTGTTTTTTGTTATTTATGCTATAACTTAAGATTTTTGTGTGTTTTTGTTTATTAATAAATTTTAATAATAATAATGAATCATCTCACTTGAAAATATCTAAAATAAAGACTTTAAATGGCAGATTGGCAGATTATCCACATTGCAGACATCCCAATAGTAGCAGTAATTTTAGCAGTAATAGTAGTTGTAGTAGCAGAGCTGAAGTAAAGTTCAGTATTTGTCACTTCTGAAGTAATTATGAGGGATAATATTTGGCATGGCGCATTATGTGAAATTAATGAAATTAATGCATGGAGGAGGGTCATTTGCTGATTTTTTTAATTGCAAAGAAACTAGGCAAACAACAAAACAAAAATTAGTTTAAAATACCAAAAATCTTGCGGTTAAAAGTTTCACTAAATTAGATACATACTGTCAATGTTGCCACTTTCTGGAATAATGTATTTTGTTATGATATTCCTAAACATGATATTGGCATTGAAATAAATTAAACATAAAAAATATATATATATATATAAACAATAAAAACATTTAAAATTAAAATTAAAACATGTAAACTGGTAAAAACAGGTAAAGTAAAAACAGAAAATTACGTACCACCGCTATGGGCACTGGGTGGATCTGTGGATGTGAACAAAATGGTTCATCATTTTCTGCTCTTTCACACATTACAGATGAAAAAAAATGTAGCATTTCTTTTTCAAATACAGCAGAATTCTCTTTAAACTTGAAACCTTTTCTACCTCTTATAGCTTATATCAAAATCTATAATAGTTAAAACATTAAAAGTTGATCAAAGTAAAAACATAAAATGACTTATACCAGAGCTGTGAGCTTTGTGAGTCATGTTTGTGGACGACTGAGTTGGTTTCTTGTTCTATTAAAAAGCTACTTCCTCAACATCTCAACATCTGCTTTATTTTTTACATGAAAATGAATTAATTAACTCTTCATCGCTCTTTGAGTCTGTCACAATAAAGCACAAACATTCTTCATAAAGTGAAGATGATGCAGAAGTGTAGATTAAAAACAGAAAATGTCATTCGACTGTTTGTGCTGTATGTTACTGAAACTCTAACAAGACAGAATAGAGGATTGAAATGTGTGAAGTGTTTCTGTTATTTATGCTATAACTTAAGATTTTTGTGTGTTTTTGTTTATTAATAAATTTTAATAATAATAATGAATCATCTCACTTGAAAATATCTAAAATAAAGACTTTAAATGGCAGATTGGCAGATTATCCACATTGCAGACATCTCAATAGTAGCAGTAATTTTAGCAGTAATAGTAGTTGTAGTAGCAGAGCTGAAGTAAAGTTCAGTATTTGTCACTTCTGAAGTAATTATGAGGGATAATATTTGGCATGGCGCATTATGTGAAATTAATGAAATTAATGCATGGAGGAGGGTCATTTGCTGATTTTTTTAATTGCAAAGAAACTAGGCAAACAACAAAACAAAAATTAGTTTAAAATATCAAAAATCTTGCAGTTAAAAGTTTTTCAAAATTGGATACATACCATTAGTGCTGCCACTTTCTGGAATAAAAAAAGAAATGTATTTTGTTATGATATACCTGAACATGATATTGGCATTGAAATAAATTAAACGTTAAAAAAATATATAAATAAAATAAATAAATAAAATAAAAATAAAATAAATAAAAACACAAAAAAAAAACATGTAAACTGGTAAAAACAGGTAAAGTAAAAACAGAAAATTATGTACCACCGCTATGGGCACTGGGTGGATCTGTGGATGTGAACAAAATGGTTCATCATTTTCTGCTCTTTCACACCTTACAGATGAAAAAATGTAGCATTTCTTTTTCAAATACAGCAGAAATTCTCTTTAAACTTGAAACTTTTTTTTACTTCTTATAGCTTATATCAAAATCTATAATAGTTAAAACATTAAAAGTTGATCAAAGTAAAAACATAAAATGACTTATACCAGAGCTGTGAGCTTTGTGAGTCATGTTTGTGGACGACTGAGTTGGTTTCTTGTTCTATTAAAAAGCTACTTCCTCAACATCTCAACATCTGCTTTATTTTTACATGAAAATGAATTAATTAACTCTTCATCGCTCTTTGAGTCTGTCACAATAAAGCACAAACATTCTTCATAAAGTGAAGATGATGCAGAAGTGTAGATTAAAAACAGAAAATGTCATTCGACTGTTTGTGCTGTATGTTACTGAAACTCTAACAAGACAGAATAGAGGATTGAAATGTGTGAAGTGTTTCTGTTATTTATGCTATAACTTAAGATTTTTGTGTGTTTTTGTTTATTAATAAATGTTAATAATAATAATAAATCATCTCACTTGAAAATATCTAAAATAAAGACTTTAAATGGCAGATTGGCAGATTATCCACATTGCAGACATCCCAATAGTAGCAGTAATTTTAGCAGTAATAGTAGTTGTAGTAGCAGAGCTGAAGTAAAGTTCAGTATTTGTCACTTCTGAAGTAATTATGAGGGATAATATTTGGCATGGCGCATTATGTGAAATTAATGAAATTAATGCATGGAGGAGGGTCATTTGCTGATTTTTTTAATTGCAAAGAAACTAGGCAAACAACAAAACAAAAATTAGTTTAAAATATCAAAAATCTTGCAGTTAAAAGTTTTGCAAAATTGGATACATACCATTAGTGCTGCCACTTCCTGGAATAAAAAAAGAAATGTATTTTGTTATGATATACCTGAACATGATATTGGCATTGAAATAAATTAAACGTTAAAAAAATATATATAAATAATAAATAAATAAAATAAATATAAAATAAATACAATACATAAAAAAACATGTAAACTGGTAAAAACAGGTAAAGTAAAAACAGAAAATTATGTACCACCGCTATGGGCACTGGGTGGATCTGTGGATGTGAACAAAATGGTTCATCATTTTCTGCTCTTTCACACCTTACAGATGAAAAAATGTAGCTTTTTTTTTTCAAGTACAGCAGAATTCTCTTTAAACTTGAAACTTTTTCTACCTCTTATAGCTTATATCAAAATCTATAATAGTTAAAACATTAAAAGTTGATCAAAGTAAAAACATAAAATGACTTATACCAGAGCTGTGAGCTTTGTGAGTCATGTTTGTGGACGACTGAGTTGTTTTCTTGTTCTATTAAAAAGCTACTTCCTCAACATCTCAACATCTGCTTTATTTTTTACATGAAAATGAATTAATTAACTCTTCATCGCTCTTTGAGTCTGTCACAATAAAGCACAAACATTCTTCATAAAGTGAAGATGATGCAGAAGTGTAGATTAAAAACAGAAAATGTCATTCGACTGTTTGTGCTGTATGTTACTGAAACTCTAACAAGACAGAATAGAGGATTGAAAAGTGTTTCTGTTATTTATACTATAACTCATGATTTTGTGTTTTGTTTATTAATAAATGTTAATAATAATAATAAATCTCACTTGAAAATATCTAGAATATAAAATTGAAATGGACGTTACCACATGTTTAGCCCATAATTTATGGTTAAGCCTAGAGACAGACCAGTATATTGTTTGGTCAGTATATCGGGTCAATATTTACACTTTTTAACATAATGGAAATTGGTCTTAAATCTCCAGCAGAGGCCAATATTTTTGTTCAGGTCAGCCAGCTGTCTATAAGAAAGTATAAAGCTTCATTTGAACACTTTAGTGCAAAGGGGGCACTACACAAAACATAACTCTAAACTGCTCTCTTATCCAGTTTGTAATAAAACAAGGTCATGAATGTAAGATTTAGGTCTGATGCAGTAGTAAAAATCAAGTAAAAAGCGAAAAACAAAACTTGATACTGTCATTTTCACAGCTCATACAACTCACCAAAAGTTTAAAAAAGCACACATTCACTTACCCAAACTCCACAGTAGAAATATGGACATAATCCAAATCATACAGCTTTTGAGTGCCATTTCTCAGTTTTCCTCAAGCATGTCCTTGTTCCTAAATATAAGTCAAATGTTACCATGTGAAAGAACCTTACAAACTCACTAAGCAGAGAACAGAGCTGGATTATAAAAAAGACTCTCTTGTATCGGCTCATCTGTTTTGCATATAGCTGCTCTGGGCCCAAAGTTTGTCTTGCAAATATATTTCTGTAAGCCTGCACCACATGAAAACAAGATGTTGATTAGAGGACAAATTTACATTTGCTAGGAATTACCATCTAATATTACAATATAGTTTTAGTGTTTTATATTTTATTCCTATCAAAAAAGTGAAAACTGCTGAAACTTGTAGCTAATCTATATTTTATTTGAATGAAATATGTTGAGTTTCTGTTTATTTAAAGAGCCTTTGTTACACTATCTTCTTGATCTTTGTTATACTGTATGTTATTTCCTCCTCAAAAACCGACTTGGAATTGTGTTTTGTTTCATTCACACATGTTTAACACACAAACCCTGCATATTTAGTGTTAGAGTTATTAGAGTTATCAACAAAACACAACTCCAGGTATATTTTTGAGGAGGTAACAACATTCTAACATGACTTTAACCTTTAAATAATGATTCATTTGGCAAGGCAAGGCAAGTTTATTTGTATAGCACAATTTGTACATAAAGTAATTCAAAGTGCTTTACAGAATAAGAAATATATTAAAATCACAATAAAAACAAATCAAAATATAAATAACCATTATAAAATTAAAGATTAAAATTAAAAAAGAGAGAGAGAGACATTAATTACATAAATTAGAGAGAAGAGTGCGGAATGAAAACCTTTCAGTTGTATATGTGGCTAAACAGAACTGTTTTGAGCCTGGATTTAAACAGCGTCACAGAAGAGGCCTGTCTCACATCTTCAGGAAGACTGTTCCAGGTTTTAGCTCCATGAAGCTGAAACGCTGACTCCCAGTGTTTAGTCCTGACTCTGGGCACCATCAGGAGGCCGGTTCCTTGAGCTCCTCAGAGTGCGAGATGGTTCATATGGCACTAACATGTCACAGATGTACTTTGGTGCTCAGCCATGAAGAGACTTGTACACAAGCAGAGCTCCTTTAAAGTCTTTGAGCCACAGGGGGCAGTGCAGAGACCTGAGCACAGGTCTTATGTGCTCGTACTTCCTAGTTCGAGTCAGGACCCGAGCTGCAGCGTTCTGGATGTAGTTTGAGGGGGAAAAAAAGAGAGAGAGACAGAGAAACCTCACATCATCAAAATGTCCCAAAGGTCTTAAAAATCCAGTGGTTTAAGCAGGTGAGCGCTCAGGTGTGCCCGGGGTTTGGCTGTGTGGATCAGCCTCTTCTGAAGAGTCTAGTCTTATATGTGCAAAAACACAAATAAGAGCATTTATTAGAGCACTGCATTGCACTTTGGCTCGTCACGAGTGTTACAATGGATGTGATATAAAAGGAAGCTAGAGTAACCACGGATACTGCTGTGGCTATAATTATAGCCATAAGAAGAGTACTTAACAAAACTGGACCAAAACTGAACCAGGACTAAGCTAGGACTAAACAAGAGCTAAACTAGGACTGAATCAGGACTAAATTGGGTATAGCGCTCTTCCCTCACAGCAAGAAGGTCCTGGGTTCGATTTTGGGGCGGAGTGGGGCCTTTCTGCGTGTGTATGTTCTCTCCGGTTTCCACTAAAACCACTAAAAACATGTCCCCTGTGGGGTTAAGACTCCCCAGAAAAAGATATTCTAAATCTCAGTGGGACTATCCTGGGTAAATAAGGGTCAAGTAAAATAAACAATAAAATTAAGAATGAACCAGAACTAAACTAGGACTGAATCAGGACTGAACCAGGGCCACTAGATTGTAGGAAGAGTACATTTCTAATAGAAAATAATAGTAAAAAGTAGAAACAGGCCAGAAATGTCATTCAGTGAAGATCTTAAACTGTTAACCAGTGGTAGTTTTGAGGCCTCCTTAAAGCAGGGAACTCGAGTGAAACAGAAAGGCGGTGGGCTGGGTGTAAATAAATAAAACCTAAATACAGGCCTACAGTCCCTGACAAAAGTCTTGTCGCTTATCCATTTTGTAGAAACAAAAGCTTATAACCTGACTTTAAATTAATCGATTGGTTTTAGAAATGTCTCATATGAAAGCTAAAACCCTCCCAAATTATGCTCAATAAACTAAAATAAATTTGCTTCACTGAAGAAAGATTGATCATTTAATGAACACAGAAAGGTCAGATTTTGGCAAGACAAAAGTTTTGTCGCCTACAGAAAATTGAATAATTTACTTCAAATACAAAAATATGTTGCATAACGTCAGTGAATTAAGTCGTGGTGCTGTGAGATCCATATTTAATATCTTGTATGACTTCCATGAGCTTGAAGGACTGCATCCATGTGGTTCCACAATGATTCATACAATTTGTTGATGAAGTCATTAGGAATAGCAAAGAAAGCGTCTTACATGCCTCCCAGAGTTCATCAAGAGTCTTTGGTTTTGCCTTCCATGCTTCCTCTTTCATTCTACCCCAGACATGCTCAATGATGTTCATGTCTGGTGACTGGACCGGCCAGTCCTGGAGCACCTTGATCTTCTTCACCTTGAGAAACTTTGATGTAGAGATAGAAGTATGCGATGGAGCTCCATCCTGCTGCAAAATTTGACCCCTTTTATGGTTGGGAATGTAAGAGGTAGCTAATACGTCTTCATATTTTAGGTTATTGATATTGCCTTCCACCCTGCAAATGTCTCGCACACTCCCAGACTGGATGTAACCCCAGACCATGATTTTTCCGCCACCAAACTTAACTGTTTTCTGGGTGAATCTTGGATCCATGCGGGCTCCAGTAGGTCTCCTGCAATATTTGCGGCGGCTGTGATGTAATTCAACTGAGGATTCATCTGAGAAATCCACCTTCTGCCACTTTTCCAGTGTCCATCCTTTTAGCAGGCTGTGGGCCTTGGCAAATGCCACACGTTTTTTTAATTGCCTTTTGTTTAGTGCTGGTTTCTGTGCACTGATTCGACCATGGAGGCCATTTGGAGACAGAATTCTACAAACTGTTCAGGTTGACACAGGAACTTGAGGTGACCAGGCCTGGTGGAGTCTGCTGCAGTGGAAAAGGGGCTGGTCTTGGATTTTCGAATCAACAAACGGTCCTCCCGAGCAGTTGTCTTGCGGGGTTTGCCGGACCTGGGCTTGTCAAAAACATCTCCAGTCATTTCAGATCTTTATCTTATTCTTTGTACTTGACGCTGAGACACTTTGAAGGAGTCACCACCTCAGCAGTGGATCTGGTCTTCAGCCTCTTGATAATTAACGCTTTGGTCTCAGGGTGGACCTTAGGCATGTTGTCAGAGGTCAAGTTGCAGTTGATGTGAAGGTCTGGTGTGCTGGGGTTCTTTTTATACACACCCACTAACTGATTGATCAGTAACTGACCACAGGTGAGGCTGTAATCTAGGATTGGACGCATCATATGACAAGGCGACAAGACTTTTTTCTTGCCAAAATCTGACCTTTCTGTGTTCATTAAATGATCAATCTTTTTTCAGTGAAGCAAATTTTTTTTAGTTTATTGAGCATAATTTGGGAGGGTTTTAGCTTTCATATGAGACATTTCTAAAACCCATCGATTAATTTAAAGTCAAGTTATAAGCTTTTGTTTCTACAAAATGGATAAGCGACAAGACTTTTGTCAGGGACTGTACATTAAAGGGGCACTATGTAACTTTTCTGAGCTTCCATCACCTGTTTGTGCCATGAAAATAATCTTGGTTAATCAGAAATATTCCACAGCCTGGTACAAACTAATCAATCTTTCATTTACTCAGTTAAAAGATTTTGCATGGCTAAAAAATACTTGGTTTGGTGGAGTCAATTGCTTGTCTCCATAGAGTAAAAAAAAGACAACATCTCTAGGTTATATATTCTATTAATATTCTATATTAATATAATATTCTAGGTTGTCTGGGATCTGGAATACACACTTCTTCAATACTTTATAAAGATGTGATTCTGGTCAGCATCACCCCCCTAGTTCAGATGGCTATAATTCACAGGTGGATTAGCCAGTCAGGGGACTGAAAAACACCGCGTGACCACTGAGTTCTTTCACATGCATCACTGATATAAACCATCTCATTGGAAGCAGTGTTGGGGGTAACATGTTATAAAAGTAACAAATTACTGTAACGCAGTAATGTAAGGCATTACAGGGGGAAAAATTTTAATATTTTACTCGGTACAAATATCAGTATCGTGCGTTACAATGCATTTTTAACCTGGACTGAAGTGGTGGGTTTTTCTTCATACAAATTCAACAAAATCAACACGATATCAGCAGCGGTGAAACACCGGAGATGCGCCCACGTAGACCGTCAAGGTGACTGCGAGCGAAAGGACCGGTGCAGAACTCCACTCTCCACCGGGCTAATCTCAGTTGATGCCCAATCAAGCCTTGCAGACACCCTGTTCCACAGGCGCAGGGTTCTCTCAGGGGCGGTCCTAGATTCAAAGTTCTAGTCCAAGATTAGTCCTGGTTTAGTCCTGGTTTAGACCTGGTTCAGTCCTAGTTTCGTCCTGGTTTAGTCTGGTTTAGTCCTGGTTTGGTCCTGGTTTAGTTCTGGTTTAGTTCTGGTTTAGTCCTGGTTCAGTTCTGGTTTAGTCCTGGTTTAATCCTTCCTGGTTTAGTCCTGGTTTAATCCTTCCTGGTTTAGTCCTGGTTTAGTCCATATACGCCACAAAAGTTCAGCATCTTCACAGTTATTTTGGTGAGTGTAACTTAAAAGTAATGCAATAGTAATGTAATGCCTTACATTTTAAATGCAGTAATATTGTAACAAATTACTTTGAAATGACAGTAACAAGTAATAAATAACGCATCACAATTTTAAAATAACTTGACCAACAGTGATTGGAAGACACTGTTGAATAAAGCTCGACATGCGATGGAGGGAGCAGTGACCAGACTAATTTTCCTCCGTATAAAAATGTTATCAAATGTTTCCTGCTATCTTTTGGGCTGGAACATTCTGGGCAGAGAAATGTCATATGTCTGAATATATATCCATTGAAACAAGAATCTGACAGACCCTCCACCAGAAAAGTTACACAATGCATCTTTAAAGTACTGAAATAGCTGTTTTTGAGTTTCGGAGATGCAGACAGACTAATAATAAAGGATAACTCAAATGTGAGAATGAAACAAAACACAATTTAATATCGTGTAATATATATGATCTTTAACTGATTTAGATTTAACTGATTAATTAGATTAGTTTACTTACCAATGATAGTATACTTACCTGCTTTTTAACTAGTGTACTCCCTAATGTGTCCACTTGAGGACGGTAATGTGCGTTTTCTCTGGAACTCAGCGCTAAGTAAAATAGAAGAAACAACCCGGAAGTATCCATTCACCCTTAGCCCGATGAAAGCATGAACTAACGACATTGACAAGAACAGTGAGTAATAAACACAATATTTGCTACTGCGCTTAAAAATCACGCGTGCACAGACGTTTTCTGCAAAGGACGGATTGATCAAGAGTAGCAGACTAGAGGAATATCCAGTTTGATTCCACCTCGGCCCTCTGACTCTACAAACTTCACATTTCTTACAGTAATACATTGTAAATAAATAAATAAACAATAATAAATAAATAATAATAATCATCACACAGTTACAGATTTACTTGCCCATTTTACTATGTATCCGTTTTTTAACTATTATTATTAGGGATGTAACGATATCTAAATCGCTCAGTACAATATTATCACGATACGCATCTTACGGTACGATATTTACTGCGATATTTTGGAGAGGCTGATATAATTATAGATAGGATGCTTTTTTGCTTTTAAAATACCTTTATTTCTGTCATAATCCCAAGAATTCAAGTAAAAAATATATTTCTACATGTTGTCTGTGCTGAAATGAATCATGGGATATGTAGTTTCTGATGTTTATTAGTTGTTGCAGCAGCTGTAAAACAGTGCATTTAAAGGGAAAAGGAACTTGTAATTCGATATATTGTGACGCTCCACAATATTATTGTGAGATGTTTGATGATACGGTATCACAATATTCCGGTTATTGTTACATCCCTAATTATTATTTAAGTAAAAAAAAATCTTTTTGGTTTATCACATCAAATTTGACATCACTTAAACAATCTTAAAGGTCCAGAAATGGGTTAGTAATTTTGTTGTGCATGGAAAAAATCATTATCATGATTATTTTGGTCAATATTGAAATCATAGTTGTTGCACAATGCATTTATTCAGCATTTCTCTCAAAAAGAACACTTTGTTATTGATAATTTACGCAAAACTTTCAAATTGAAAATTGACAGTTTACCCTCTAATTTCACACTGTTTTCAAACTGTTCTTGTACAATATAACTACAATTGTTAACAATGAAAGAGAGAAAATTGGTATCAGGGTCTATCTGTGCAGCTGGGTTAGTTGTGTTATATTCATTTTATGCAGAAGTGTCTAGTTCCATTTGTGTACGTCTGCAGCATGTTCATGTCATTACTTTTCCTTAATGCAGTCTGTGTTATTGATGTATTGTGCATGTAAGGTGTAGAGAGTCAAAAGTTACCTTGATACCATTGGGAGCATGATCAGTATTTATCAAGATCTTCAAATCTAATCAAATTCTAAGGTACAAATATCTGTACCTTTGACCAGTTTTGTGATGTATAAAACATAAAATGAATAAAATATACTTTGAACATGAAATAAGAGGCATAGAAAAACATAAATGTATCCAAAATAAACTATAACTCCAGCTGTTCTACAATCTCTATATTTAAAAATTTAAATAAATAAACTTATTTATACAAACAATATCCCAAAATAAACTTTGTTAAGCTTTAAATCATTCCAACTTGATTATAAGAGTATGGTGATCGTTTGACACGAAAATCGAAATCGCAATAAAAATTCAATCAATTAACTGCACAGCCTTATGCAAGACAGAGTCGTTTAATACCATACTGTGGACAATTGAAAACATTAACATTTCCCTGGAGACAAACAGGCTGTGGACCCTCTTGAGAAAAGTTGAAAAGATAATTATATTAATCGTTACGATAGTTTATTTATGTTTATGTTTTCAATGATTGACAAGCTTGTAAATTAGTAATGTTACTCCTTGGCAGTACTTTTTAACACCTATATTTGACATTAAGAGACCAACATCCCTGCCACGATCATTTTAGAACTATCAACATTTTTCAATATTTTTAACCATGTCTTTTTGTTTAGGACATGTCTGCAGGTTGTGCCAGGTGGCTGTTCAACATTTCAACCCAAGCGATGAGAAGTAGCAGCCCAGTTTATCTGTATTCCTTAGTGAGAAGTACCACATGCAGCGGCAAACCCAACGTCTTTACAACCTTCTGGAGTCAGTCTAAGTTTTGCACAATAGCAGAGGATCCTCAAGACACCCCCACAGCTAAGAAGAAAAAGAAGAGCAGTGGACACAGCGATGGCTCCATAAGCAGCGTTGGCAGGAAGATCCCCCATCGTCTTATACGGGTTATAGGAGAGAGCGGGGACAACATGGGGACAATGCACCGGTCTGATGTCCTCCGAATGATGGACGAGCAGGGGCTGAAGCTGGTGCTGCTGAGCGAGAACCAGGAACCCCCCGTGTACAGGCTGATGAGTGGAAAGCAGATCCACGAGGAGCAGCTCAAGCTCAGGGAGAAGCAGAAAGCGAAGCCAGGTCAGTTCATTCAGTAAGAACAGACTGGACTTGTGCTTGTTTGGAGCGTGTTTGTTATTCCATTGGTTTATGTCACGCTTCTGATCAAAATAGCATTTCACTGTTAGGCTGGTGAAATCATAAATAATTCATAATTGAGAAATGCGTGGGCAACAGTGGAGAATGAATAAATATACTTGTGTTCCTACATGTTGGCTTAAAAACAACACTATTTATTATCAAATAAATTAAGTGGCTTAGTGTTTAAACCTACCAAAGGTTGACAAGGACTTTTACTTTTGGACTGTATGAGCCATTGCAATCAATATTTCAGCTCCTGGACACGTTTTAAATCTGTAGCCTAAGCCTGAATAATAATCTGCAAATATATAGATTAGAATATAAATAGAATAGATGGTAAAAAAGACTGAGTTGGAGCGAAAATTTTGGAGCCAATCTACTCTTTATACAAAAAGTAAAACTATCTGTATACATAGTAGGGATGGGATGAGACACAATTTTCACAAGACGAGATACAAGATTGGGTCCACGAGAAAAGACGAGATTTTAACAGAATCTCTATTATATTGGTAATTTTCAGATTCAGATGTATTTGATTTCATATTTTTGTTTCCATTCTAGTACTGCTTTTTGGAATTGTAAGAGACGTAACTCGCCAACACGTGACCCTTTTTTGTCCAATCCAAATGTAAACACTTGGGAAAAAATCTCACAAGATAATTTTGCTCTTGTGTGCACTATCTTGTGACAATTTTGTCTCACGAAATCTTGTACCATCCCTAATACATAGCCATTATTTATACTGAGAGATACTGAATCGATGTTGCCAAGCTGACCAAGAATTATTATTATTAATTATTATTCTTTGGGACACTTACCGTCTTTAAAATGGACTAAACTCTTTACTCTATTGACTCTTCCTACAGCACCTATCCAAGTAAAGGAGCTCACTTTCTCTTCTGGCATCGCAACTCATGACCTCGCAACCAAATTAAAACAAGTGGAGAGTTGGTTGGAGAAGAAACACCATGTCAAAATAACCCTTCGGTCTACTCGCAATTCTACCGGCAACACGGTCAGGAGCAACAGGCAATTTAAATTCTATCACACAACATCACACTTTACTTACTTTTATCTCTCTCCAATAGGACTCTCATTTGGAGAACTTAGTGCAACAAATGGAGGTCGATTTTGGATACGTGTCGAAGCCAAAAGTGATCCGAGATGGTCAGGCGGCGATGTGCATCCTCAGGCCCCCTTCAGCCAAAGAACTCGCTCAAAAACCCAAGAAAAAGCAAACCACAGAGTCTAGCCCAGAATCTGCTTCAGCAGACGGCTCAAAGGACACAAGTGAGAGTTCTGTACAGCAGTGACACTATGGGAGTGAATAGGGATGGTTTATCGGTTATCAGTGATGAAGAGGATTTTGCTAGATATCGTTATCGAGCTGTATTGAAAATTTTGCCGAATTGTCTTATTGAAAGGACTCATGAAAATTTTATCCTATGTACAAAAGTGAACTGTAAGTTTCATTTGTAAATTTCACTATAATTGAACATACATTGGGTTTGCTATGGATTTTAAAAGCTTAATATCGGTACCAGCAAATATCGGTCACAACAGCAAGCAAAATCTGAAATCTGAATCTGAAAAAAAAAGATGAAAAATCCCTAGATCAAATACTGTGTGCGGAGAAATGCAACTGCACTTGGAGAATTATGAAAGTTACAAGGGACGCTGGTTTAAAATGAAAAGCACTTATTTGTATTTTGTAACAAGAAGAAAGTTTTGAACATTGGTGTAATCATAAAATGGTGGTGTAGGTTTACTTGGAAGAATGGTGAATGTAAATGTACTGAATACACATTGAATCTGAGCATAAGAGCAAAATATGTTTTTTTTCTTTTCACTTATCACTGATACCGATTATTAAAATGAATAAATAAAAACATATTTTACAATCTCACGATGCTCGAGATAGAGGTGTGAACTGAAGTCTTTATCTATGCAAGGTCCACCACCTGCTCGTCTCCATGGCGATATTGTTGTTTTGCCTGGAAGGTTCCATGATATGAATTCAGCTTGCCTATCACCATGGAGACAAATACTAGTGTCAATTTACTGGTCATATTGTTATAGTATTCAAGGAATTTTTCAGCATTAAGAACTATAATTCAATGAAAAGTTGAAGAAAAGTTTTATGCATATTCCAGGCGAAAGCAATAACATTCCCATGGAGACAAGTAAATAAAAAGGTGGAAGTTGAAAAGCTGCATTTGTACATCCAAAAATGTATCTAATGTAATTCAAAATTTAAGTGGATTTGCTGCCTAAAGTTGCTGGTGTGCCTTGGTATTCCATAAAAGGAGCACAGACTAGGAAATTGTATATTTCAGCTCAAAACTATGTTAGACTGCAAACTGATGTGTCTTAATAACATTGTAAAAAAAATCACACAAAAAGCAACACAGATGTTTCTTTGCTTTATTTTCAAGATATCACTGTTTTGGTACAAAATAAAGCAAATTTGGCATACAGTTACATTCACTTGTCACAGATAAATGTGTCTTTAGGACTTGTTAAACGTCAAGTCAACACTTTATCCAGTCCTGTCTCAATCAGCAAAGATACTGTCTTAATCCAAGTGCCAAAAATATACTCCGATAACCGCCATGAGGCCCAAAAATAAAATTTATTCCTAGATTGTGTTAGAAAAACAGTAACAGAAGCAGCATAATGATAACTAGCATGCAAGAACAACATGTGTCAATAAGCCTCGAGAACTTTGTAAGAGGAGAAAGGTTTGACAAAGTGATAGTCTAAATTCCCACAATGAGGACACTGCTGAACGTTGCTGTACTCTGAAAAATACTGCATTCCCACTCGTACATCCACCACTGGCTTCCCGCAGTGTTTACAATTGAGACGGGCCTAAAGAGGAAAAGAAAATGTGAAAACAGAGTAATTACTAAAAAGTATTGCCTTTACAATCTTACAATAACAGGATCTGAAAATGTTTTATGTGTGAACTAAAACTTCTCATTTCCAAAAAAACAAAACTTATAGAGAGCAAGGTAATATTTTTGAGTTGTTTAAGAGACTGTGACAATGAAATAGGAACAATGCCCATTGCCAATAAATATGTACTTTTTCAGTTTGTTTATTGTATAACACAATAAAAAAATACTTGTATTTCTACTCTATTGTCCTGGTATGAAAATTTATCCTCAAAATTGGACTCATGCAACAACCAGTGCCTTAGATCGACCTGACAGAACCAGGAGGGGACTACGGTGCTTGATTTTTTAAAAATTTGTCAGCTAGTTGATATCTTGTAGACAATAGTACCCACGTTTGTCATTTTTTTGTCACGTGATGCACAAGACATCATCTGATTAAATTTGGTGTCAAAGAGGGGGTATTTTACTTCTGTGGGGTATTAACCGCTTAGACATAACATATTTATATCACCGTGTTACCTTTTACTGTTCTGAAAATGCCATATTTGCCAAAAACAATATATTAACATGTTTTATAAGTTTCACTTTTGTTTTTGGCATCTGAGTCCCCCCTTCCTCTGTCCCCTCATTAAGTCACTTCCCCTTCACAACGCTATCACAGCACAATCAGCAGCATGCATCCGGTTAATGAAACTACTGCACATCGCATTATGTTTGTTAAGTTGCTCCGTACTTTTTTGTATCATGTTTTTGTATATTTATGGAGAATTGTCCTGTGGGAGGTTTAATGATGTAGGCTTGTGAGGTAAACATTGGATGAACTCATACTGCTAACCATAAGGAGTAGGGCTGGGTATCATTAAGAAGTTGCCGATACGATACATATCTTAATATAGTGAACTTTCGATTCGATATTATATTTCAAAACAGTTCGATGCGGTTCTATAAAAAATAAAGGCTACATCATGTCAATGATACTAAAAGTCTTTGTTAAACCACTTCTTGAGAAAAGTGAATATGAAACACACACATTTTATGCATCAAAACAATGAAAATGTCAAATGTGTCACAAAACGCATTAACACGATCATCTGAGAGAATAGCATGCAAAAAATAGATGATAAAAATAAAAATGGGAAAAGACACGTTATAACTCAAATAAGACAATTGATACTAAAGCTGAGTATCATTAAGATCATTAAATCTTGGCTGTGATACTAAAAGTCTTTGTTAAACCACATCTGGAGCCAAGTGAATATGAAAATTTTAATCCTCAAAACAGTGAAAATGTCAAATGTGTCACATTAACAAGTTTCCTTCCACTAAACAAGCAACAAAACCATAGCTCTGTAACAAAATAATTTAGTAAAATATACCAAAAAGAACTCGATATATCTATACAGCAGCCCACGATGTCGATACTGTATCATCACATTAAACGATACAATATATTGATATTTCGATATTTTTGCACACCCCTAATAAGGAGGTTATCGCTAAAATATTCAAACATGCATGAACGACATCTAAAACCTCTTCAGGCATATAGAAAGTAAAAAGAAATTGATTTTGCATAGTACCCCATCTTAAAGTATTGATTCATAATTTGAATATTGGGTAAAACTAATTATCAGTTTCATTAATTGTGGATTTACCTTTCAAATACTGACGCTTAATGTAATTCTAGTGTACCTGACAACATGGAGAGGCTGCCAGTATGTCGTAGGTGTACATGGTGCCCAGTTGGTGCCAGCTCCCGTCCCAGCGTGACTTGCATTTGATACAGACGATCTTATGGACTCCTTCTAAACAGTCCACACAGATGGCATAGAGGTGCATAAGCCTCCCTGCATGAGAGAAACACACAAACATTCATTTAGTTTTGGCTTTTCGCCTCATGTTTCCAAGAATGTAGCTGTAGAATGCTGTAGGCTTCAGTACACACAGGATCTAAACGTAATCTTTACATTTTATCATAGATCATAGTCGCTCTCAGTACCTTGTGGAATTTGACAACAATCTTTATAATCACCTCAATCCCAAATTTCTTCAGCTGTTTGGCTTTGAAATGTTCAGTATTAAAGTCAGCTAGATATGACAAAAGCTGCATCAATAATGTACTTGGTGTGCTGAATATCAAGGACCTTAATGTACATATCAAAGGATAAGGTCAAGATCAAAACACTGCGTGCGTCCACAGCTTACATCTACAGAGACCAGGCAGACATGTGTATATCCACACATGCATTAACAGTTTTCATGTGTAACTCTAATAATAAGACAGGATAATAATTAGCTCCAGACCCATTTGAGCAAGTGGTGTCATTACATTCTAAAAAAACCTGATAAAAATATAGGGCTACAGAAAATACTACTCATAATGAAGACCACTTTACACACTGACACCAGCCCTCACATGAGTTTCCCAGTAATCCCTTTTCTAAATGAACCATACTGGACCATATTACCTTAAGATTTGATTTGGGCTTTTTGTGTATTTACCAGAGGTGGGACCAAGTCGTTGTTTGCAAGTCTCAAGTAAGTCTCAAGACAGGCAAGACCAAGTCGAGTCTCGAATCACTGGCCCATGAGTCCAAGTCAAGTCCAAGTCGTCTGCTTTGAGCTTCAAGTCATTTCAAGTCTTTAAACAAAAGTATTTATATAAGAGTTGTAGAAATGCTATTTTTTCCTTTTTAAATGTCTTGACAAAATCTTAATGTGAATCATTACGGTTAGTGCTTACGTTAGTACGGATTTAAAAGTGCTAAATAAGAGTTATTTTGTCATGTAGTTCTTTGTAGTTCCCTCTGTTTTACTGTATTGTGTTGTATAATACTGTGTATTACTGTAGAACATTTGAGGATACCACATCACAGCGCCGCATTTATGAGCTGTAAAGAGAAAAGTATTTTCTAAAGCATATTTTTGTCGAAGAAAAATCTAGTCTTCTCAGGCCTAAAGTCCAAGTCAAGTCCCAAGTCATTGACCTTCAAGTCCAAGTCGAGTCCCAAGTCTTAGTCCATTTTATTGAGTCAAGTCTCAAGTCCGAAAAAATTGTGACTCAAGTCTGACTCGAGTCCAAGTTATGACTTGCAAGTCCCCACCTCTGGTATTTACTAGTATATGATAAAAGTAGGCCTGTCACAATAACAAATTTTGTAGTACGATATATGGCTGAAGTAAATATAGATGATACACGATAATAGTGAAACTAATTCATTTCTCTGACACAGTAACCCAAGAGCAGGTTTAAACCACAATAACTATTGCAAATGTGAAATATTGTTAAAATATCGACCTGACAGAAGCAAGAGGTGATTTCAGTGCTTTTTTGATTTAGCATATTTTCAAACCAGCTGTTTGATACCTTGTAGACAATACAGTGCCCACCTATGTCATTTTTTGTCATGTTTGTTGTTGCAATTAATTAAAAGTAATGCAAAAGACATCATCTGATTAAATTTGATGTTAAAGGGGGGTATTTTACTTCTATGGGGTATTAACTGCTTCGACATAATATATTTATATCTCCATGTTACCGTTAACTGTTTTGAAAATGCTATATTTGCTGAAAACAATGTAGTAATATGTTTTATATGTTTCAGTTTTGTTTTTGTCTCGATAACAAATTTTGCAGCGTGATATATTGCTGAAGTAAATATAGACAATACATGATAATATTGAAACTAATTCACGTCTCTGACACAATAATCCAAGAGCAGGTTTAAACCACAAAAACAAATGTGCAAATATGAAATATTGTTAAAATATCATGAACTACAATAAATAAATATTAGAATTTAACACTTAAGCAGAGAGTTTGGACCTGTAATGAGTCATAAAAGCTATTACTGTAACTGCAACTTTATGTATAACACAACACAGGTTGACCAAAGTGCTACAGAACATAATTAAAAACATTAAAACAATAAATGTATAAAAAGAGAATAGAGACAAAACAATCTAATACGATGTCAACATCTCTCAAACTGTGTTGAAAGCCAAAGTGAACAAGTGCGTTTTAAGAAATGATTTAAAAACATGTACAGAAGAGGGATATCTAATGTGCAAAGGCAGATCATTTCACAGTTTTGGTGCCACGGCAAAGGCTCTGTCCCCTCTGAGCTTTGGCTGGTCTTTGGTACAATCAGACCTGAGAGATTGCACAGGAGAATAAAGACGACTCAGAGAGATACAGCAAGGCCGTAAAATCTGAACACTTAAAAAACAAATTCAAGCAGTTCAAAATGGATCCTGAAGTGCACGGGCAGCCAGTGAAGGAAAGGATAAAATGGGGGTGATGTGCTCATATTTTCGAGTGCCAGTTAAAAAACGTGCAGCCGCATTTTGGACGAAATGCAGTCAGGAAATGGAAGACTGACTCACCCCAAAATAAAGTGCGTTACAGTAATCCAGTCGTGTGGTTACAAAGGTGAATCACTGTTTCAAAACGCTGACATGCCAAAAGGTGCTTAACTTTAGCCAGCTGCCTAAGGTGGAAAAAGCTGGTTCTTACAACAGAATGAATTTGGTAATCAAGTTTAAACTGTGAATCCATCTTAAAACCAAGTCCCAAAATCTCAAGTTTAGAAAAAGGACTGAGGTTTCTCAAATCAGCCAAGGTGACTCCAGCACAACAAGGTCCAAACACCATCACTTATATTTTAGAATCATTCAAGTGCAGAAAATTTGGGCAATTAATTCAACCTTTTATGTCTTAAATCTTACTGTGTAGCCAAAAAATAACCAAATATTTTCTAGTTGTGCAAAGAAAATGTACACACAATTAATACTAACCCCAGCTTTCACATATTTAATGATAAATTGATATAGTAATTACCATGACAGGCCTAGTTAAAATGCAGATTAAACACATGATTCACACATTTTAATCTGTCTTCATATAAATACATTGTTTCCTAGTACTGTTTGTTGCATAAATAGCAATTTTTTCCCATGAACTGCCAGTCTTGTGAGTGCAGTTTGGGTCAGAGGTCAAATACAGAGTGATACATAACTACTAAGAATTTCTTTAGTTGATTAAAATAATACTGATATTGTACTTATTGTAACATTCATTTTAAGGCTGTGAATTTCTGTGAGTATCTTATTTCCACCTCTGGTTTTTGAACACATGAAATCTTTCTCAAACTACTGTTGTGAATATTTATGAATGAGCCCTCCAAACTGACCTTGTAGGTGACAGGGCACGTCGTACTCAATCTCCTCATGTCGGGACGGGCTGAGAAAGAGCGTCCCGTCCACCAGGGGGAACTGTTCGAACACGGGCAGAGAGCGCAGGCACAGGGCGCAGTGCACCATGTTCCTCTGACATGCACTCAGGGCTGAAAGGATGAACCTAAAATATGTGTGTCAACAAGGTGCAAATAATGTCAAAAATACATGCAGAATTGTTGTTTCTGTTTTGTAATTATTTGTTAAAATAAAAAGGTGAAATTCTGCATCATTCACTAATAATACCAAAAAATGTTTCTACAAAACAGCCATGACTCAAACCAATCAGTGGGCTAAACTACAGTTAATATACTCCAGTGTTTAACTACCAGTTTAAAGATGCTCTGTGTAACTTTTCCAGTAGAGGAACCACCACACTCTACAGTATGGACAAGCAGGTGACACCACCAGGCCAAGTCAGATCTGTGGAGAGGCAGTCCCAAGCACAGTAAGAGGACATGTTTTTCAAGGATATTTGTGTAATAATTAAATAAATTTAGTTAAATAAAGGTCAGATATACAAATATAATGCCATACTGTGGCGGTTTCCACGCAAAGCAATAACATCTCAATGAACCTGGTAACCAAACCAGAAACGTTACACAGTGCACCTTTAACTTCTATAAAATTTGTGTTATGAATCAGTCTGGAATCTGTCTTGTCAAGATTATGGTCCAGTAGACAAATACCTTTTATTTAATTTTGGGAGATTGATTTAGTTATTTTGATCTTGGGGGTCAAGAAAATTCCAAAACAATAACAAACTACTGTTGTCATAGCTGCCCTGGGGTAGACTGACAGTAGCAAGGCTGCCAATCTGTGCCAATGGCCCCTCCGATCACCACACACCACATTCATACAGGCACAGATTCCAACATCACTGCTTTTTTAAAAGTCAAATAAAATGTCAGTGTTAATGATGATGATGGGCATTTGGCACTGTATCTAATGAGTGACATTTAGTGCTTGTGTTATGGGTGACTGGTCCCACCTGCGCAGCTCCTCCCCCTGCCCTGCCTGTGCATCATCCTCCATCCGGACGTGGTAGGTGTTCAGCTTGTGCCGGGGGATGTGTGCAATCAGCTCTGACAGGTCCAGCCGCCTCAGGAACTGCACGGGGTGTCCACCATGCCCACCATCGCCCCCGGAGCCCAGCCTGTGATGCAGCGGGAGGGCCAAGGACATAGGGATGGGCAGCACAGATCCTGCGTCCAAATGCCCCCCTCCTCGCCCCAGCGATACCAGTGGGTGCCTCCTCTGGGTGTCCGAATGCTGCACCGCTGATCTCAGGAACTCCCCAAGCTGTCGTGGCCCTCTCGTACCTGCCCCCTGCGCCGATGCCGAGGTCGGGGAAAAGCAGAACCCCGTCGGAGGGGACTGTCCTGGGGAGGATTCACATGGGGATTTTGGAAGTGCTCCCCCTACTGCCTGACCCCCGACTGCACCTTTCTCTGTAGAGTTCTGTCTCTCCATGGATTGTCTACGAGGCATCTCCTGACTTCTTTGAGGAACTTTACCTGCAACTGGTAGCTTAGCTTTCTTGCTGTCATCCATGCCCCCCTCACCTGACCCAGCAGCCGCCCCCATCCTGCCAAAACTCCTCTCCGATGGCTTCTTTTTGTGAACATCCTGCATGCGCTTGACCTGGTACCAGTCTGTGTCCTTCTTCAAATGGCCTTGTCCGCAGCGGCAAGAGCAGAAGCGAAATGCCAGGTCGTAGCCCTTTTTGGTCCACATGTTTTGCCTGCACTGTTTCTCGTTCCAGGAGCGTGCACGGCCGATGCAGTTGAACTGGACCAGGATGGAGCTCTCCCACTCGTAGAAACACTGCAGGTGCATCCAGTTCCCATGGGGACATAGCTCGTTGTTGCACAGGACGCGCTGGTAATCGTCCTTGTCCATGTCTATGGGGCGTCCCAGACTGCAGCCCAGGGGGGTCGCACACTGTGCCTCTGTGAATAAAAACAGAAAAGTGATGCAACTTGAATTCAAGGCTCCCCATATGTAATACCCTACCTGTAATACTGATGCTGAATAGGAGTCGCAGTAATGGGCTACTAACAGGGGTAATAACAACATATTTGGTAGTAGTAATATTACCAACAATGAAGTTAGAACTTACAGGTAATTTTACCCTTGTCAGGACTACATCACAACCTATAAGCTTATTGTAACATGATCATTAATTGTCTGTAGACAAATTCAGATTAATTCTTACTTAAGGTCACTCTCCTCACACCACCATCTTTGCAGGATAATTGAACGCTGTTAAATTTGATCTGAGAGTGCTTCAAAGAAAAGTCAGGCACAGCACCAAGAAATGGTCAAGGTGTGCATAAAATGTGCGTCAGGCAAACGCAGCCGCACCCGCATAACAATGCTCATAATGACAAACGAGTTATAAGGGTAGCACTGACAAAGATCATGAACTTGTGTAGAGTGTTGCACAAAAGAAACAGCCCGTTTGTGCACGGTACTCGTCACTTCTAAACAAACTGTGCTCATATTTTTGGGGACAATTACTGCCAACAGGGCTATGCACATGCGTTGTAAAATGTAAAATGACTGCTACAGGTAAGCTAACAGGAAGAACACGACGCACCACTTTTCCCCAATGGGCTGCTAATCAGAAATGCCTGGAGAAAGTCATTGGGCATGATAGAATCGGCACCAGCGGCTTTACATTTTTGTAAACCCCGAACACACCTAACTAAAGCTATGTGTTCACAAGGTGCTGTCGCACCAAAACACGCAAAGGAGCTGGCGCATGCAAATCACTGTAGTCTACTCTAGTCTGCACAGTTTGGGTTAGGCCATAAAAGGCTAGTGTAACAGAATGCTCATAACAACGACTAGGTAAACTCTCCAGTGCCTTAAGTCGTGCGCTCCAAACGGAAGCTAATGCTTTGATAGTTTCTAAATGAACTTTGAGGCGGACTGGAGAGAGACAAGAGAGAGACAGCAGTGTTGTACGCACTACAGTAGCACAGACAACACAAAGCTCCCCGTGGCAGGAAGACAGCATCACCAAACTTCTCCATCCGTCCTGTCTGTGTCGTCTTACCGCTGGAGCGCTCGTTCGTGGGCGCAGCAGCCGCCGTCGCGCCTCCTGTTGCGGCCGCACACGCTCCGTTCTCCTGCTCATCCCCGCTGCTGTTAGTGCGCTTGCTTTTCTTGCCTTTGCTGGTCTTTTGGTTGGGCATTTTACGCTATTCTGGTGTCAGTGTTATTTTCGACCTCTATGAGCTGCTGTCAGCGCCTGACATGAGTGTGGAGTCCATTCCTGCAGAGCTGCCTCGGATCCCTGCAGGCTTGTGTCCTTGTCGAGTGCTGCGGGCTGTTGCAGGCTGTTGCTGGAGTTTAGGGTTTTGGGTGGACCCCAGGTAGCGTTTTGTGCAATGGCACTTAGAAGAATTAAGCTGCAATAACCTTTAAGATTGAAGGCGTGTCCGTCTCTTGTTTTGATTCCTGCTGTTTTCTTCCACCCCCTGACGTCACACGACACGCCCCCAATGAGCTGCTTTCAGTGGGCCTGAGGAAGTCATGAGAATTTCAGCTTCTTTCAGAATAAACTTTATAAATGTACTTTATAATTTCTACTATTTAAATAAAACTGTTCTTTAACTGGTTAGGGTCAAGTATTTCTTAGAATCAAATGGAAATTCTAATTTAAATCTATATCTAACACGTGATTCAAGACAGTAATAATGAAGTTATTACAATCTCTTCTGATTTGATAATTGCAGGTACTTTCCACTGTACATAAAGGCAGCACAATAGACAAAAAACATAACATAATTGACAAAGCGTTTTTAATGAATGACACCGAGGCTTCAATTTTACCCAAGTGAGATGTTTTATTCCTTGGATTTCTTACAATCATTTGCTAGGTTTATAGGACTGACAGTAAAGATGCACTTTGAATGGTTCAGGAAAAACATTGAGGTTTCTTTGTCCCCACATATACAACAGTGAGCATCATAAGCAGTTTCTGTTAAATTATTTCATCTCCCCATTTCTGTTATTTAAGCATGCATGCACATTAGCAATTAGCAACACAGCAGTCCCAGTTGTATATTACAGGAGTAGAAAAACACACATACATGAACAATTTGAACTTCTGGTCAAAAAAACTACCTCATAAACACCTTTCCAGTGTTAATAGCAATGATGCATGATTTGTTTGCTTTTACTGTTTGCTTGCTGTATTACCTTTTAGTACAGGGATTAAAAGAAAAAAAAAAGCTGACGTATAGGCAGCAAATTTGGACAATGGCAAATAAAGCAAGATGCCAGCACATTTCTGAGTAAATTGAAACATTAAAAAAGAAAACAAATGGCACCTTTAAAATTTTTATGAGCATTAAATATTTGGTCATAACATTTTGGTCCTGAGATTATTTGGCACCCTGTATTGGAGAAGGAAAATTACACTAATCTGGTCTAAAAAAAACTAAGTCAAGCCAGAGTATACCTGACAATGATAAGAAAGCCACTGACTACAAAGTAACAAAATACTAAAACTTTAGCATTGTCCTAATTAGATCTAAATTTACTAACAAACAGGTCCAAGTCTTGAGGTAGGAAAATCCCTGTAAAAGGCAGATGGTTCCGGATATGTAGTCATGTTACTGATATTGTATTTTTAAGCAACATGAAAACAACAAAGTAGGAGGCACTGCTGATAGTGATTGTGCTTCATACCATTTTTACAATGTGGATCTTATAAATTACTCAGCTTGTCCTGGTTTATAAGAAAAAAGGCAGTTGGTTGTGATATAGCCCAAGTAGTTTAAAATGTATTACAAAAAGTACTACATTCATCTGTGTATTATTGTAAATCAGAAAAAAAACATACAGTACTTTGCAGCCATTTTGGTAGGTGTGAGAAATAAATACTGCTGTCTTTTAATAAGGTTTAGTTTGAAATGGACAAAGAATTCATTTAGCTCTGGTTCTGTACAAATACGAGGCACCAACTTTGAGAAAAAAACAAATCATTTGTTTTAGTAACGTGAGAGTACATTAAAAAAATTTGTTGCTCAACAAGAAGAGCATTTACCTGAGTAACCCCAATTAGAAGATCTTCAAGTTAGGAAATGTTTTTTTTTTATTAGCTTGAAGTCACCACTTTTTGCTCATTTACTTATTCAAAAGCCTGTCTACCATAGTTTTGGTAGCAAGCTGAAAATGTTTAGGTGGTTTGTTTTTATAACTTGTAAAAGAAATATGTCTAAACAAGTAGAGAACTAAGAAGCATCTGCACACCAACTGGTGCGACCACCTCAGCCCAGCACAGGTTAGTTTGTGAGTTTGTTAGTTTATGAACAGTGCCAGACCAACAACAGCAGAACTCAGAGATTGATCACTGAAGTAGTTGCTTAAAACTGTATCTATGTCAAGTAATAATTTTAAAGGGGTAAGACTAAAATTGGTTAGATGGTAGAGTTAGGAAAACCCAAAGTGGTCATCATGCTTGCAGCAGGATAATTTCCACATTGTCATGAACTCCCTGAAGAAGCAGTTCGCCTTCATAACTGACCACTTTTCTCTTCTTGGCAGCTTTCAGGGTGCCCACCAGAGCCTCGAAGATGTTAGCACATCTGTCATCACTGAACAGAACGCCAAACTTCACAGACATCTGGCCATTAGCATCTGAAAACAGACAGCATTTAGCATACGCAGTATACGTAAAATTTAGCCCATACACTATGCATTAATGTTATCACACTACTTACATTTCAGGCTAGATTTTTATATCATTATATAAAGAAATGTCTAAATATTATTTTTTTGTGTGTTAAATGGCACTGATTGAAAGTCTGTTATTTGTGTTCAATATCAATCATCATCTCAATCAATATTGAGATTCAAAATTCTATATATATATTTTTTTCTTTCTAAATAATAAATTGATCAATGTGAGGGAAAGAGCCATGATTCATTTTTTGACATATCACCCAGCCTTACTTTCAAGCCTGAAAACATTAGACTACATCATACTCGGTGTAGTTTCTCAGTGCTTCTTTCTCTGGAGCATGCTGGATAATAAGACAGTATCAGGTTGTGGGCTGACTCACTCATTTGGCCAAGTCTCTGGATTTCCTCCACCAGCAACTTCACTTCATGATCTACATTCATTATTCCCTGAAACAAACAGAATTTACATAATTAAAAATATATAATACGAATAACATGATGTAGTCTTTTATTAGACACTGCTGTTTGAGATCTTGTGATGAGGCCAAAACAAAAAAACAAAAAAACTGAAAGGCATACAACAATGCAGGCTACTGTGTGTGGACACTGACAAAATTTTCTTCTAGACATTGGATACATTTATATAATGGGATAACATTTATGCAGCAGCGTGGAGTATTTTTTATTAGAGAAATAAATTAATCCGTTTTTATTGGGAAAATATTTGGAGTTATTAAAAAAGAAAAACAGTATCAGAGTTATAGTAGTAGTGGGAACCACTCCTGCTGTCATCTTGTTCCTCTTAAAGTTATTGCAAAATGCATGCATAACAAAAGACACATCTTAAATTCAATTTAATGACCCAAGAATAATATTTAGTTTGCCATAAAACCTTCGGAGTGATCCGGCATACACAGTGCCGCATTTCCTGCACAAGCTCCAACATGCACTTCATTATCATGAACGCGGAAATAGACGCTCCCTGCTAGCTTTTAGCCTTTAAATGCTCAATCTGAACCAACTTTACACCAAATTTAGAGATTGGTCCACAACCGGACCTTTGATTTATTTATAGGTTTATTTTTCACGGGTTTTGCCATGTCAAAGCCGCTTATAATGAGCATAAAACACCGATGCTAGCTTTCCATTTGAAACAATTAAGCGGCACCGAGTTGTCCAATCTTTTAAATTAAACAAACACATCGTCCATATCTCCGAAAAGCCAAATGATTGAATGCACACGTGAACACATCTGTTTAACTTACTCTCAGTGTTTTCGGTTCTTTAGAAATAAATAAAATATTACTTGAAAGGTTCAGCAAAAGAGCGACTGAAGGAAGAACACCACCGGCGAATGAGGCTGCGCGTTCAAACGGAATCGGAAATCGAAGACTTATACCCAAAAAGTGCACTTGACTGTGGTATTATTTGGCCGATTTAAATGTTAGAGGACACCGTGCTTATGCTGAACGTGACTACAAGATATATTCTTATGGGACTGTGAATAAATGTGTGATTTATCTTGAGTAGATTTTCCAAAATGGTCTCGGGGTAGCTGATTTCGGAAACAAGTGAACGCAGCATTAAAACACATCTGACTTCATTGTGACACACTGGCCCATATATGGACAAGTGCGTTTGCTCCTTGCATCAACATAACGCCTCCATTGTACAAATAAAGGAGAAGAGAGGGTGGAATGGGATTAAAAACAGAGCAAAGATGATGTACTTTATTCACATGTACTTCTGAAGCTCCAATAGCATGTGGCTTTGGATCTGTTTACTCATAGGTTAAGCATTACTGAGTCCAATCATTGCCAACCTGGGGGTCGGGACTCAAGTGCCCAGAGATTGTCAGTGTTCTTTGAAAAGGGCCAAACTAAACTGTATGCACTGTAATTATGGAATTGTGTGTTAATTTTAAATTATAAAGTATTTCATAATCAGTACTGTCCTTGTCATTTCACCAGAAAATATTAATATTTTCCGTACAAGGCAGTAACATCACAGGTAGAATAAGGATATTACAGATGCAATGTTATTCACGGGCAAAACGGGGTCGTTGGAAGTTAGAAAAAAGTTTGGGAACATAGCCTGTGGTTGGGAACCAGTGTTTTAGTCCATGTTTAGAGTTTCATTTTAGCCCCATTTCAGACCTCTTCAGTTGTGTTTGACTAGCCCTGGTGGTACTTGGCAAGCAAACTATGTAGGAGGCCCAGGGTGAAAAGTTTGTGAAATGTTGCAGACATTTCAGAAATGTTCCAAACATTCAAAGATGACACTTTACAGTTTCACATCTTATTCACTATAGTTAAAATCTACTGCTGAACCGCTTTCCTGTGTTTCTGATTTTTCTTCATTAAGGGCTGCAGAAAATACCTAAAACAGAGGGCCACAGATCAGTGATGAGTAAAGTGAGTCATTCACAGAGGTGCATTTAACACAGCTTTGGCAAAGTCGATGTACCAATAAGGCTTATCCCATTAATTATGGTAATGGTAGAATTATCTAAACATACAGCTGGCTTTTGGGACAATTCAGCAGGGGGGCATATTCTTGAGTGAGGACTACACAACCTATTTACTGTTCTGTTCAGTACACAACAGATTAAAAGCTATATGATATGTGGCTAGCACTCACACTTCACAGCAACAACCCAAAACATAGGTAAAATGGTCCAGCTCAGGTAGTTCTGACCAAGCCTGACTCAAGATCATGATGGGTCCCCAGGTGCATCACTGTGCACAGATGTCCCAGTGCAGGACAAACATCCCTATGGAGACAATGAAGTGCACCTTACCTTAACTTGGAGATAAATCAATGTTGGAATGAATTTTGAATTTGTTATAGATATTTTGGAAAATAGCAAATAGGCCTAAGAGTATAAACCAAAGTAACAGTCGTACACAATTATGGAAAGAGGTATTTGATCTTGGGAGAGCCTTTGGGGTGAGAAGTTCTATAGACTTACTAAATGTTGTTCATTCCAAGTTGAATTCTTACCTTTAACAAACTAAAAATATTAACAATACATATTAAGTAGCCTATTAATGACTACTAGGTTTTGGTCTAGTTTGCTCCTTTATTAATCATTTGTTTATGAGTCCCTCATAATGACAGAACGACTCTAGGTTAAAGTGCATCCTTGTGGCTGTAACGTGGGAGTCAAAATCATTTTCCAGCTTTTGTTTTGAACTCACTCATCCGGGTCCCTGTACGCGCTGACTCGGATCGGAGCCTAGTGACATGATAAATTGTAAATTTACCAATAATCAGCAGTGAACATGCCGGAAGTGTGGTCAAATTAACGTACACATAATAACTTCTTTTCACCTCCACGATCATTTTCCTCACGTGGTTAAAACATGCCTAGCCTTAAGAGGTACTTATTGAATCTTTATTGGAAACGTCAGGATTTAAATTTTACTCTTTCCCTTAAAGAATGCTCACACTATCAATTTTAAATGTGCAGCTTAATGATGATGATGATGATGATAATAACGATGTGTGTTATTATTAATATTAATATTAATTATTATAAATAATATAGCGTTAGCATTAGCATTCGCGTTATTTATTGATTTATTTTTGCTTTCTTTTATTTTGAAGGGCCAGACCGGAAGCGCCGCTGTGACTGCGCTCGGCTTGACTTCGGTTGTAGGAATGGCGGCTGTGATCACTGTAGGAAGCGACTACAGACCCTGAAACTTTACTTCAAGCGGCCCCGCAGAGGAATTTGGTTGAATCGAAACGCTGGGCGGCCATCCTACTGCGGGAACCGGGGGGAACAAGTGCTTTTCTTCACCAAACCCAGCCGACATCCGCAGTGGGGGAGCGGGCGCACTTTCCGACCCACAGTTAGCTCATTCTGGAGCAGCTGACTTTGATTCAAGGTAGCTTTAGCTCCTCGCTGCTGCTCCACTAGCCACCACCAGTCTACCTACAAGTTCACAAGTGATCCACCACACCGGGGCATCCCTTATTTGCATGCCTATGAGGTGGATCGCTGTCTTTATTAGAGGATACAGTGGCGTCCTTGGGCAAGAAGTCAACACTTTTGTCCAACGCGAACCTTAGCTCGTCAACTCAAGGCTAGCTAAGTTGAGAAGTCTCGCCCATTTTTGGATACTGCTCCGGCCACTGGCTAAGGGCTAATCAACAGGGAAATCCGCAGGTTTTGGAGCTCGCTTGGTACTACAATGGAAAGCCTAACCCTGAGTGATGTTGAGCAGAAGTATTACTCGGATCTGTTCGTCTATTGCGACACGGACAACACCAAAAAAGTGGCTTCAAACGGGAGAGTTCTTGACCTTTTCCGGGCGGCCCAGCTTCCCAGTGAAGTTGTCCTGCAGGTAAACTACTCCTAACATGTCACAGTTTATGCACGGATGTTTTGATCTCGTTGAGCCGTGCAACAAAAGCTGCTTTTTACTGATACGCGATCAACTTGTTTGGCTGTCAGGGCTGAGCTGTCAACGCGTACAGCTATGGGGTTAGCTTTGGTGATTAGCATTACTGCGCAGCAAGAGACACACCTCTTCTGCTTAGCTTTAGTAAAAAAGTATCAACATCATTTAAAAATATCGTGTCTATTAGAGTGAGTTCTGGCGTTATCAGAACACAAATCAGCGTGTTTGTTATTGTCAAGGGCATTGGGCTGATTAAGGTTAAATACAGAGAGATAGTAGGGTTAGCAGCCAGTTTTCAACACTCAATAACACAAGCATTATTTTATTTTGGATGCATTTGAATACATATCTGGCATAGCAATGATTTGACCACATGAAACACGTTTAGCATGCTCTACAAGTGTCTAGAATTTATGCAACACAATTAGGAATTGCTGGATAGAATGATAGCCAGTGGAAAGCAATGCAAGGCTGTAATTGTTCCTATGTGCAGAGAACATGCTGCTACCTACTCTTTCCTGTCCTCTCCCACTACTGGCATCAGCTCCCTTGTCCCTGGATCCATTTGGGCTTATGTGTTGGAAAAATAGACGATTGAGGTTAGGGTTGGGCACTTGAATAACAGATAAATATGGCAATAAATTAAACAATACATTAAGGCTTTCAGTTAACACAGAAATTCTTTTGATTAATTGCACAGCCCTAATTAAGTGTTTTCTTGTAATAAATTATAATGGCAATGCTCTACAACTACTTCCTGTGCATAGTTAGAACGCTCTGATTCTGTGGTATGATTACAGCCAGTGAAAAATCGATTGATACGTTTTCAGATGCTACCCAACTCCATTTGTCGTTATTTAAAAAGTTAATAAGTCCTCGTTCAGATTGGTATAGTCCCATTCGTCCTGATTTAATAATGCTTTTTAATATTTCATAGTCTCATTGTAGACCAGGGATAAATGGCTAAGATTTTCGGTTGTAATCCAGTAAGCCGGTTGTTTTTGTGCTTTGTGTGATAAGTGTTCAGTCAGTTCCTGTATTGTTTAAACTAATAATATCCACTTGTGCACAGCGGCCCGTTCTCGAGTCTCCACATCTTTCAGCAGGCTAATATTTGCAGTTTGTGAGTCAGCATCTCTTTCAAGGTCAACAAGGCAGCCGTGTGTTATAAAGGGAGTATAATAAAGGACTATTATAACTGATGGAACTGCACTGTGATTTTCTAACGCGTGCTGCCTGTGTGTCATGTCGAGGCAGGCTCTGCTGTGTCCCGGGCTTTGTGTATACATACGCTTAGTCAGAGTAAGCAGAACAGAGCCCAGTCAGCTGTAGCAGGCATCTGGACTCATAGCTCACTTGAGTGTGGCAACGGTCATATTTCTGAGTATTTTTGGGTACTTTCTGTAATAAGAAGACATTAGTTCCTGTATCGTTTGGTGATCAGGCAAAGCATAACAATAGCATAACAAGAAATAGACTCGTTATCAGGCTCAGACAGACTGATCCACAAGGGAAATTACTTGGTCATGGTAGCTCAACTTAACAAATTACTCACTTGTAAAAGGCAAAACACACAAAGTAATTCAAAGTGCAGACATACTGAATGTTACTAAAGGGTAAGGATCATTTGTTTATGATTACTTCTAAGAATAGGAAAACAAAAGTGGTGCTAGAATTATATTATATAACAAAATTGTCTAAAATTGTGATGGAATTCCAGTTTTAGGTAGGCTCATAGTGCAATAGAAGGAAATTTAGGCATGATCTCCAGTTTATAATAATGTATAAAACGTACATATTGAGTACATATCAATATTGATTAATCTGAATAATTGTGACTAGTCAAGTTTTAAAATAATCGTAATTGTATTTTGATTAAATCGTTAAATCGCTGGACTATACAGACAGCAGTTTTAAATTCAATGTTTAAAGAAATGAGCTTTATTCATACATATTCTCTATCTACAAACCTTCATTCACCATATTTCAACCTTTAAAATAAAATACAATAGGAATATTTTTTTTTCTAATGATTATATGGAACTAATCAAAATAACAGCTGACTAGTCAACTGCTAAAGTAATCCTAAAGCCTAAAAAGTTGTTCCGTTGTTCATTAAGATATGTCGATTTAGTGAACTTGTTTGAATGCAATACTATCTTAAACATCTGTTAGAGTTATAATCACATCTAAGCTTACAGTATTTTCGCCTCTTGTCCTTGTGCAGATCACGGAGCTGTGTGGAGCCACTCGACTGGGACATTTCGGCCGGAGCCAGTTCTACATCGCTCTGAAGCTAATCGCCATCGCACAGTCAGGCCTCCCCCTCAGGGTGGAGAGCCTCAACTCGGGTCAGTGCAGCTCTTATAGGACATGTCTGCTGTTCATCTTTGTGGATCCTAATTGTTTGTGTCAGTTTTTTTAGAACTAGCAAATGTAATATAGAGAGCATAGACCTCTGCAAAGGCACATGTCTTATCTCGCAATAGTAGAAATGTAGTATTCACATCTTGAGTCATTGAGCCATAAGAAAAATATGCCACAGTGAGTGAATGATTGATTAAACATCTTAACAATTTTATCTGTAAGTTTAGAATTACACATGGCAAAGTAGGTCATAGTAGTCTTTTATTATTACTTTAAATATCCTTGTTGCTGCCTTATGATTTATATTTCCATCCTCTTTAGTAAATAGTAATAAGTGTGCAGCAGTTCCCCCTATAGCAGCGTGGGGCCTTGTTTGTTTATGTGACTACTCTTGAGTAAATATAGTTTATAGCCTCCGGTTTTAACTGTTGGATACAAATAGTTTACATTGTCTATGGTGATATAAAAAAGTGTCGGAGGCATAACATTGCTAAAGTTTCACAGCCATTTCATAATAAAGTGTAAAAGGGAAACAAATGTGTTAGTTCCTCTCCAGAAATATTAGTACAGTTCACATATTGTTAAGCACCATAATGGCGACAAGTAGGCATAGAGGAAATATACTCTCCAAGGCATTATTGTTCTCACAGACAAGACAAGTTTTTCTCACTGAAATCACCAATTAGTGTTTGGTTAAGAACAAAAATGAGCTGAAGTCCTGACAGGTGGATTGGAAACAGCTCTTAGTTAACACACATGTACATTCAGATAACAAACTGTTTGTACAGTGGCTCAGTTGGACACATTTACTTCAGACAAGCTAACAGAGCTGGGGCTGTTGATTATAAACTAGGGCTTGGCGATATGAAAATAAATTTTCTTTTTTTTTTTCACAGACTGGACAATTAATTTTCAAAATCTTGATTATTAAAAACCTGAATTAATCAAATTAATTTGATTAATTGGCATGCCCAAACACAAAGATTTTACCTCGTCCAAGACCTGAAAGGATTGAGTCTATTAATCACATTTAAAGCTCCCATTCTGTCATTAATCAGATTTCTGTTGAAGTTTTAATCGCATTTTGAACATTTAATGTTTTTAAAAAAGTGAAATGCTGTTGGACAGGTCAGTTAAAAAAGGCATACTCTGACCTACGATATAAAACTTTGGACTTGCTGTGGTCTCACCTCTTTTATATTGCTAACTTTGCTATAAAAAGGATTAAGTCCACGGTCTGAACCTCCTCCTCTATGTGCAGTAAAGGACCTCCCATTACCACGGTTTGTCGTCGGTAAGAACGAGGCCGAGGCGAGACATGCTGCTCTGTACCAGGACACTGACGGTCAGGGCCTGTACCCCGGCTCTGCCACGTCTGTAATACCACGACCTCCAGGCAGGGGACACCCAAACAAGAAAGGACCCCCAACCTCCACCTCTCTGCCTGTTCACGAAGTCATCCAACCCCACGGGCCGCCCTCCATAGAGACGCAGGTATATTTATAACACATGAAAAATGCACATGGAATACAGATTAAAATAGGGTCTTTGTTGTGGTGGCTAAAGCGGAGCTGATTTTAATTATATTTGATAACCGTTGTCATAAATGATTATCGTCATCCTCAAACAGCACAGAAGTGTGTCATTTTCTAAAAATAAAGCACTGACAATAATCGTGCCTTTAGTATTTATAACCCAAAACATCTCTTTTATTTCCTGTTATATGGACATTCTCATTCATTATCTTCATTATCTTGTTTAATGTTGTGTTCAGTGGTGACAGTTAACCTTTAAACCATTCAGTCACAAGTTTGTTTGTATTCTGCTTAGTATATAATTGTTAGTATAATGAGTTTAACATGTAGAAGATCACTGGTTTAGAGGAGCTAAGAGTTCATGAGGTGATATTCTACAAAATCGATTATTTTGAGCTTTCTACCATGGTATAATCTTGTTCGCTTATCAGAAACCTGCCTGCAGAAGTTTTAGTTGTTAACCACATGAAATCTACTTGTGGTTAGCTGTAAGATTCTGTCCAATGCTCAGCCCACAAGCCTATGTCACCCAAGCTCCCACACGACAATTCTCCATAAATACACAAAAGCATGATGCAACACTCTACACAACAACTTGACAGCCCTGATGCAGTATGCAGCAGCAGTAGTGGGATGCACACTGATTGTGATAGTGTGGTAGCGGTCTGAAGGGGAGTGAAAGGGAGAGGGGACTCAAAAAACAAACAAAAAAGCATCAAAAACTAGGGATGCAACAATATCCAGATCTCACGGTACGATATTTATTGCGATATTTTCAAGAGCCTAATATAATTGTAGATGGAACGCTTTTTTGCATTTAAAATACCTTGAAAAGATTTTGGTGTGAATTTTTTCTGCCATAATCCCAAGAATAAAAAACATATCTCTTTATGTTGTCTGCTCTGAAATGAATCATGGGCTATGTAGTTTCCGATGTTCATAAGCTGTTGCTACTATAACACCATTTAAGCAAAGGAACTTTGATATATTCTAACAGCCCACGATATTATTGTGAGACCTTTGACGATACGATATGAAATATTTCGGTTATTGTTATATCCCTATCAAAAGCTTGTTAATACTTTGTTTTTAGTGAATATGGCATTTTCAAAATATTGAAAGTTAATGGTTAATACCCCATGGAAGTGTACCATATTTTCCGGGCTATTGGGTGTGCTCTTAAGCCTCCAACCCCATCAAAAAATGACTGTGCGCCCTGCAATCCAGAGTGCCCTATACACGAATCCACTCGGGTGTCCCAGCATGACTTCACTAAACTACAAAGCCGCACGCAAACACGCATTGAGCAGACAGCGACTGCACAGCAAAAAACAGCCGCAGCCACACTCATCACTCCATGCGGACGAGGAATGGAACGAAGGAACGAACCGAAAAAGCGAGTGCAATGTGCCACTTCTAGCCACAACTGAACAACTGAGTCACTGCGAACATGCCAACAATCCAGCGGTCCCAGACAGCACCCTCCCTTCGCGCCACAATTGAACAAAGCCGAGAGTCACCGTGAACGCGCCAAACAAAGTCCCACTGACCCATCTAACAGTTGTGTTTTGTTTAAAGTCCGGTAGTTTATTTGTGAAAAAAGTTTGAACATAGACCATTTAATGACAGTGCGCCTTATAATCCAGAGCGCCTAATAGTGTGGAAAATATGGTAATATAAATATGGTATTTCTTTTAGTTATATTTCTCTATTAGAAAGTAGTATTTAGGTGTTAAAACCCCTATATATCATGTGGCTGTACTCGCTAAAACCAGTTCTTGGTAAGGCATTTGAAACCTCCTTATTGGTTTCTGTGTTTAACTTGTTCTGTGTGTTTAACCTGTCTTCAGCCTGAAGCAACGTCCCCGGTGGTCTCCCCTCACCAGTCTCCCCCCTCCTCGCCTCTGTCCTGGAGGAAACACAAGCGACAGCACAGCGGGGGCAATATAGACAGACAGCAGCCAGTGCCCACAGCAGCAGGAGCCGTGTGGACACAGTTTAGAGATCCACAGTCAGGTAAAATTCTAGAGACCTTCATGCTGGGACTGGATTTTAATTTTAGTTTAAAATGCTTACAAGTTTTCATGTTTTTCTTATCATTATTTGGTTATTTATTCATTCATTTATTTATTTATTTGACAGGGACAGTGCATATTAATGATGATCTGTAATTTAACTGTAAATATGATTATAGCAAAAGTGCCAATTTCCATCTGTTGTCCCTAGACAGGTGAGGCAGAGAACAATACAAAATACAAAACAGTAACAAAAAGACATAACACAAAACAGTAAAAGGCCAGTTTAAAAGTGTTCACAGACTTGGTTTTCCCAGCTTGATTCATCAACCGGTTTCACTTCATAGAAACCGTCTGACCTCGCAGCGTTAGAATTTGTTCGCTCAATGGTAGGCTGGACTTTTTTCATTTAACCAATTGCTGCTATTTGGTCCTGACGTATGTAATGCACCAGTAACAGGGCTAAGTGGTATATTAAGCTTTTCCCAAATCCCGAAAGAAGAAGAAGGGGTTTGGCTTTAAATCCTCAATCTCTGGAATCATTGCCAATACAGATTGTATGGCTCTTCGCTGATTGGCTGGTGCCCGAACTCAATAGGTGGCACCAGCCTGGCTATGGTTTTCCTTAATCCACAGTTTAAGGTGCAGTTTGAATGACAGATTTGGACTTTCTGTTATTGTCAGTGGCAGACTGTTTGAGTAATCAGTCCCTTTGACAGACAGCTCACAGTCCCCTCGAGCTGTGGCCCTGGTTCCCATCCCACTCAGACTTTATCTTGATAAAGTTCTTCATTTATCATAGTTTTACATCAGTTAAGTGACAGTTTGTGAAAAAAGTAAATACCTCTACACCTATGTGGTCAACACCAAAAATTCCATCTGAAATGCAGGGACAACTTACCTGCAAGGAACACATTTTTCTCTTAAACCATTTAACAAAGTAAAGGTGTTGTGTATTTAATCACATCTTTTGTATAATTTAAACATATTTTGGTCCTTTACAGTATGTTTAGTTTTGGAATTACCTCTACGTATGTCATATTTGCTGCTCATGCCCAAAAAAATAAATAAATGAAATGATCTGTCTAACCTTCCATACGCTCTTGAAATGTGTTTAGTAAGTGAGTAACTGATTCCACTCCCTGGTTCTGTTATTTCAGTGGCGGTCACGGGTCCGGTCCCTGGAGATGGCATCTGGTCATCCCACTCTCCCCCACTTCCCTGTCAGGAGAGCTGGGTTAGTTTCACCGCAGACACGCCCCCCTCCAGCACCATGCCTGCCATCCACCCCTCGTCAGTCCAGGTACGGCCAAAGCACACCTTCTATATTAAATGGCCTATTTCTTATCTCCCCTGTAATGTTGTTTACTCATTAAAAACTAATCAAATCAACCTGGAAACACACTGTTCTATCTTTTGAAATCATTAATTGATAATACAGGAAGAATAACTTGGAGCTACAACTACTATTTTAGTCTTGTTCACTTCTTCGCTCCTTGTGGTGCACCAGAAGATCTTGGAGACATCCTGTGGCAAAAAACAAGCAAACACAAAGATAAAACATCAAAATTGAGGCTAAAAATTGTTGTTAACTTTTAAAACTCAGTCTTTTTTGATGAGTTAACAACATTCTACCATGACTCAAATCAGACAAGGGCCAGTGTTGTGTAATATTGGACCTTTAAGAGGCTTGTTTTTAATACTGGCATATGTGACAAAACAATATCACTAGAGGGGACAAATACAATTCTTATTTGGGTTGTGTGTCTGGTGGTGGCAGTCTCTGGTTTCCCAGTGTCAAATTTCTAAATACAAAGGACTAATGGTTATGCAACGCTTTGAGATGGCCAACAGCTGCCCGTCGCATCATGGGTATTATAGACGTGATGACAACCGAAAAAATGTCATATATGGTTGAATTTGTATTTCTCTGTCTCTTGTTGTACGTTAGGAAAGCACAACGATACGCACAGTGGCCTCAGCAGCAACGACCAATGAAATCCAGAGACAGTCCAGTGCCTACGACGACCCCTGGAAAATCACAGAGGAGCAGAGACAGTATTATATCAACCAGTTCAAAACCATTCAGCCTGATTTAACGGGATTCATACCAGGTAGACAAACACACAAGCATTTTTCTGTACAAACTATAATAATGTTGTTTTGGGTGTGTTGTGAATAATAGAATGTACTCCATTTCTTTATGTTTGTAGGTTCAGCTGCAAAAGAGTTTTTCACTAAATCCAAACTACCCATTTTAGAGTTGTCACACATTTGGTAAGCCATCGTTCAAAGTACAAATGTTTTCCACGTATAGTATCTAGAATGATCAATAATTGCTCAAATAAATGTAATGTTTTTAAATAGTTTTTTTGTGTAAGGTGCACCATTGTAAATTTTCTTGTGTGGGTTCCGGTGCATGTTGGTAATTAGAGATTAAATTAGTTTGCTTGGAATGTTCCACAATATGGCATTTAACGTATCTATTTTGGGTTTATTCAGTTGCTAAATAAAAACATGCAATTTTAAAAAATTTTGGTATACAAAGTTTTTAACAACCTCTCTCCACTTCCTCTAAAGGAGTTTGTGAAAATAAATTCAAATGGGGTAAATCAGGCTGAAAATGGAAATTGGCCACTATAATCTTTACATATTTACACTTTAAATGTTCTTTTTTTTTTTTTTTTTGTTTTTTTTAATTTTGCAACATACAAAATGCACACAGGCATTAAAAATATGCATTCTTTTTGTGAGCGGGGTCACCTTTCAACGGAGCAGACCTGCAACTTCAGACATTGCCTGGAATGTTCCACAGTATGGCAATAAACACAGTAATAATCTCCATGGAGATGAGCATCTGGTAGACCCTCCATTAGAAAAATTACATAGTGCACCTTTTATATAGTAGTAAGTGTCAGTTTATCGCTCTATTTTTTAAAGTCGAAATACCTTTTTAAAAATATCTCGTGTACTATATCTTCATTTGTTGTAGTCTGAAGTATTTGTCAAGTCTCAGTGATGGCAACAATAAGGTCAAATTAAAAGGCTGCTCATACATTTTGAATGAGCTCCGCTTGGTTGTGTCTTTCCAGGGAGCTGTCAGACTTTGATAAAGACGGAGCGTTGACCTTGGATGAGTTTTGCGCGGCCTTCCACCTCGTCGTGGCGAGGAAGAACGGATACGACCTCCCCGAGAAACTGCCTGAGAGCCTGATGCCAAAGCTCATAGACCTGGATGACTCAGCAGGTACAAGCCCCCTCCCCCCTCACCCATAAGCCCTACTGGAACTGCAAAACCAGCACATTTAGACTCAAATCTGGGAGATGGTTAACTCAGATTTGTGCCAACTGTGTAAAAATGTCCTCACCTGCTATCTATCTTTGTATAGTTCATAGTTATAAGTGAATGTCTTGCACTTAAATACTCTTCTGTTGCCAATATTTACCATAATTTATCTATTTTTTATATTTTAACAAAACACCGGTTTTGGAACCACGCTAACATCCCTAAGTATTTTTCTACAAAGTTCACTTAAATTTTTTTTTGTCATTAGATGGGTGCCAACTTTAACGCAACATTGAACCTTTATTCATCTCAGTTGTTGTGAAACAGTAGTGTCAAAATTAGACTGCTGGTGTGCTGTTAGCATGCTAGTTGTTGGGCTCTGGCAGTTGTTAAATGTGCTTATAGACTCATTGCAATGAATAATTAATAATTAAGTGAGGAATAACCTGCATAAAGCTTAAAGGTGCATTGTGTAACTTTTCTGGTGGGGTCCGTCACCTGCTTCTTTCTATGGATGTCATTGCTCTGCTTGGAATATGCCAGAGTATGACATTAAACAGCTCAATTACAGGAGTTTTTACTGCTCAAAAATACTGCAAAAAAATCTGCACTGACATCCAACATCCGCACTGCAGTTCTTTGAAGCTCCCAAATTTTTAGGTTTGGGATTTGCAGATTTGAGAGGCAGGTCCTACATTTCACATTTCGTTCATCCACATTATGGGCAATAAGCACATATAAAAACACAATTACAAAATAAAGTGTTACAGTGCTCCAGTGCAGAATGGTTTGTTTCATAAACAATTAGTTAAATTCATCAGTCATGCTGTTATTTCAATGACACCACAATGTGACGTTTCGTGGCTAAGTCCTTTTTCAGATTTCAGACTGTCTATCAGTACTGCTCAAAAATACCTAAAAAACAAAACAAAACATGCATTCTGACTTCTGAATCTTTTGTCTCCATGACGATGGAAAGGTTTAATACCATACTGTGAAACATTCCAGACGTCCATTTGACGGACCCTACACCAGAAAAAATTACACACTTATAATGAACTAGTTTTGTGTAGTATTGTAACTTAATAAGGTACAGAACCTTGCTCGTGAGTATAGCTAAACATAACTTGTGATTTCTACCCACAGAAGTCCCAGAACCAACCGCAGATGTTGTATACTCGGCCTCTCCAGTCGAGGTGACCCCCAACAAGTCTCCATCGATGCCTTCTCTCAACCAGGCCTGGCCCGAGATGAACCAGAGCAACGAGGTTCACCATTTTTACTTTCACACAGACACAGAAACAATATTCTTGCCTCGCTTTTTGCTGTAATCGCAATTGATTCATCTTAAATTAATTGCTGAACATCTCTCGATATCTACCCATCTTCATTTTTAACTTTAATTCAGCATTTTATATTCCACTGTAATATGATCAGTCGGTGTGCACGAGCCCCAAAATTGTCACAGATTTTTTTGTATCCGTTGATATTGTGACGTTACTCGGCGCCCGCTGATAACGTCACATGTCGAACCCGTGGCTCGTGCTGTTGATGTCATTGTGTGGTGTCACTGCCCTGGCTGACTGACCTGTTTTCTCTCGCTGTCTGTGTGTCTCCTGCAGCAGTGGGAGACGTTTAGCGAGCGCTCCTCCAGCTCACAAACTCTGACCCAATTTGACTCTAATATTGCACCAGCTGACCCTGTAAGTCAATCACATCGCCTGCATGGTTTCACTATTAATGCAAATATATTAACCAGCTCTGGGCCATTTCTCTCCTGTTTACTCTGCGCATGACACTTTGGTTACCACAAAAATATTCTATAGTCCTATTGTTAAATTTATGGTTATGTAATTTATACAGAACCTAATACCTTTCTCGATTTTTGCCCCAAATTTATCCTTTTTAGTTCTACAGAACAGGTTGCTACTAGTGGATGCAAACTTAATTCAAATTATGTGGTTCATATTATTATGTTGGTCTAAAACTGGAGCTCTAAAATGGAAGTATTTCAAATGTATACCCTAAACGTATCCATATGTATACTGTAGTAACATTTTAAATACTTAAAATAAAGGCTGAAGTTATCACAGTTTACTCATATGAATACTTGAAATCCAAAATATACTGTTGAATTATTAATTATAACTGTATCCATTCTGAGCATTATCTGTGTGTATCTCATTCAAAATCTGTTGTACCAGGATACAGCCATAGTCCACCCTGTCCCTATCCGAATGACCCCCAGTAAAATCCATATGCAGGAGATGGAGCTGAAGAGAACGGGCAGCGGTAAGTACTAGAGATGTAGCACTCCTGTCTTAGACTTGACTACCATATTTTCCGGACTATAAGTCGCTGCAGAGTATAAGTTGCGCCAGCCAAAAAATGCATAATGAAGAAGAAAAAACTTATAAGTCGCAATTTTGCGTGGAAATTTATTTTATAAAATATTAGAACAGACGTTTCATCTTGGAAGGCAAGTTATAGTAATAAAAGAATAGAGAACAACAGGCTGAATAGGTGTCTGGTGTGTTAACGTAACATATGAACAGCTGTAGATAACTATAGCATAAACAACAGAACAAGTTTACGAAATCACTTAATCCATTGAATTCTTCATCCTCGGTGTCACTTCTGAGCAACTCCTCCAACTCCAGCTAAATCTATATTTTAGTTTTTTTGTTTTCTTCATTGCAGTAAGAGAATCCTCTGCTTTTCGACAGTTCTCGCTCACTCCAAACTTTCTTTCTGCTGCTCAAGTACCGTTTTCGGCTGCATATTTCACTGCTTGCAGCAGGACAGCAGCTCTTTCTGCAGTACTGGCACACAAGCCTAGAGCGCTTTCTCACAGCTGTCATTGTGAAAATAACAAACATGTGAAATTATATATTTTAATATATAAGTTGCACCAGAGTATAAGTCACAGGACCACCCACAGCATGAATAAAAGTGCAACTTATAGTCCGAAAAATACTGTAACTTTTACTTCCAGTACTGAGATATGGCTGATAACTTTGGACTGGACTGAGACTTGTATCATTTGAGGGACAATGTCTTGACTTCAAGCTAAAGGACTCAGACTGACTTTTGCTTTGACTTGTCGATATATCACAGAGGTTTACATCAAGTCCAGTATCAAAGTACTAGTATGTGTGTCATTAGTAAGAGCACTGGACATGTCTTTGACGAGGCTTAAGACAGTGCTAAGTGACTCAGACTGTCAGGACTTGCAGAACTTGGACTAAAAATGTGTTCATCATCTGTAATAATCGCAGGCATTGTGCTTTAGTACACATCTTTTTTCACTATTAAGTACAAAGTAACTTCAGTAGAATGCTCAGACCACACACAAATGATGATAGAATCTTTTGCCGTGTAGATTTGTGTGGGTGGTTGTTCAGATGCTGGTAAATGAGTAAAAGGTCGCCGCTGCTTCCTGTGACTGTTGCTGCTTTGGGCTTTATGTAATTATGGATGTAATTAACATCTAATGCAGCTGGGATAGTTCTCCAGATTGGTCTGGGTCACACTAGAGCAGAGAGAGCCTCTTGACATTAAACAAAGTAGATTTGAATTGTTTTAGCATACACACGAGCAAGATTAGGGTTATCTCTGACATTGTTACTAATATACAATTGCATTTTGTTTTGTTTTTTTAGATCACAACCACCCCACCAGTCCACTTTTGGCCAAACCTCCTGAACTGAATGAAGAAACCAAATTAACTGCATCTATGAAGTTTGTAGCAGCCAACGCCGTGGGTGAGTTAAGATCCTTATTTTTTATTATTTTTTGATAAGCCTTTTAACAATATGTTTTATTATTTTAGAGATATTTTTTGTTAAGTTTTAGTTTTAAATTATTTTTGTATTCTTAAGGTGATGGTTATAGCAGCTCTGATTCCTTTACGTCGGACCAGGAGCCGATCACAAGACAAAGGTTGGTACACTTGTTGTTTTAGCGACATTTAAACTCTTCACACTGAAATTAACTAGAGCGAAGATTCATCCACATTATGAAGAACATACCAACCTTAACCTTTGACCCTGTGTGTAGGTCTCAGTCGGGTAACTCCCCAGAAGCGCTGAAGGTGGTGGCCCCTCCCCCTCCGCCCCCTCGGCCTCACGCCTCACACTCGCGCTCCTCGTCTTTGGACATGAACCGCACTTTCGCCGCTGCCTCCGCCCCGGGACAGCAGCAGGCCAACGCTACAGCTTTCCCCCCCGCCGTGCCTCCCAGACCCCTGCCCACACAGGTACAGCGCTCGCCCCTATATTGACTTTAAGTGAAGAGCTGTTGGACTCATAAAATTTGAGTTAGAAATTTCACTACTGCACCAAGGACATCTCTGGCTCAGTCCTTGTTATCTAGCTTACATCCTCAGAGGTATGATACTCCCTACAGTGAAAGCATGGCCAGACTTCAATGGGCGTATCACAAGTAGAGGTCCGTAAACACAAAAAGCAGAAATGGAGTATTTGTCTGGACTTCCTGAGGAATTAAAAACATATTGGGACAGAAGATGATTCACGCAAAGTGGGTGTGGGTGTACTTATCTTTCCAACAAAACGGATTGTTAAAGTAGTTTAAGTCTAGATTTAAAATGGTAAAAAGTACATTTGATAATTGTGGTCTGAAAATGTATTGAGGAAAGTATTGCGAAAATCAGCCAAAATGCCTTTATAGTGAATGAGTCTGGAATTATATTATATATATCAGAAGTAGACAAAGTACTGTATATGTATTTGAATTTGAATTTGAATTTATTTGTTTGGAGGATAAGCCCCTTGAGATGTGTCACCATCTCGTTTTCAAGGGGGTCCTCATAAATAAATACAACAACAAAAGACAGATACAGTAGGGCAGACAGTAGGAGACATAAGTTCAAATAAGCATCAAAACAACAAAATCAACACAACCACAAACACACACACACACACACACAGTCACACTCACTCACGCTTGACTGTTTCACCCATAATAAAACAAATTTGAAAGAAAAAATAAAAATAAATAAATAAAATAATAATAATAATAATTACACACACACAGGATACAACAAGATAAACAACAAAATTCAACAAAGTAATCAAAAACAATTACATGGGTTATGTAAATGTTGAACCAGAACATTTTTAAATAAAGGGACAGAAGTTAAAGCACGAATCGATGAGGGAAGATTGTTCCAATCAGAAGGAGCTTTATATTTAAATGAGTGTTTTCCTATTTGTTTTTTGACTCTTGGGACAACAAAAATATCTGATCTGCATGACGTAAACTATAAGAGGATCTGAATGGAATTAAATACTGTTTAAGATATTCAGGATAACTGAGATTAATACATTTAAAAATAAATAATAACCAGTGAAGTTGACATCAGAAGGACAGATTAAGCCAGGACAGTTGGTGATACATTGTACAGTGATGAGTTCTGAAGGGACAGCGGAGAATGAATCTGCACAGACTGTTATAGATAATGTTGAGTGGTTGGAGAATAGAAGTTGTAGTATTTTGATAAATGATATCGCAGTAATCTAAAATGGGAAAAATTAGTTGTGAAATAATCTTTTTCCTAACAGAAAAGCTAAAACAACTGATGGACTGATAAAGTAATTTTAAGCGATATGGAATTTTGTTTGAATGAGAGAGACGGGTCAAGCCATAAGCCAAGATATTTAAATTTATCAACTGCTGTAATTGGTGATGAATCGGTAAATGTCAAATTTATATCATTAACAGAAAAAGGACGGATTCGTTTCTGGAACAACATGAAATAAGATTTAGATTTATTAAGAAGAAGTTTGTTATACTGTAGCCATAATTGAACAGTATTAAAATCATGTTGAATTGAGGACTGAATATCAGTAATATTAGATTTAGATGAATAAATAACTGTATCATCAGCGTAGAGTTGAATATCACAGTCTGTGCACGCAAGGGGAAGGTCGTTAATAAAAATTGAAAATAAAAGGGGACCCAGTGAGGAACCTTGAGGCACGCCTCTCTCTATTATGGAGAAATTTGAAAAGCTGCCTTTAAAGAAAACACATTGTTGGCGGTGATGAAGATGTGAATTGAACCAAAGGAGAGCGGACCTGTCAAGGCCTATAGAATGAAGCTTATCCAGTAAAAGATAATGGTCAACCATATCAAAAGTTTTCGTGAGGTCAATAAATAAGGCACCAGTGAGCATATTATTGTCAAAACCCGAAAAAATATCATTGGTAAATTTTAGTAAAGCAGAAGTTGTTGAAAAATACTTTCTAAAACCAGACTGAAATGGAGATAGAAGATTATTTTTCGATAAATATTCGGACAGTTGATTAAAAATTAATTTCTCATAGACTTTAACAATGCTATTGATAATTGAGATTGGTCTATAATTATTAGGTTTGCTGGGGTCACTCCCTTTATGGAAAGGTATAACCTTTACACATTTCCATGCAGATGGAACCTCACAGGATCTAAAAGACAGGTTGAACAGATCAGCCAAAGGGTAACAAAGAACATGGGATGCAAATTTAATAAACTTGGCTTCAATGCCATCTGGACCAGCGCTACCATGCAAAGAGAGCCCATTTATAGCTTGGTGCACATCAGCCGGGCTAACCATTCCAAAGGAAAAAGAGCTTCCAGTGGTCATCACATTGTTAAAAAATACAGAATGAGGAGGAGACTGCACAGGAGGTGTTTGTGAAAAATGCTGACTAAAGGCATTTGCAATAACATTAGGATCAGTAGTATTTTCATTATTAATAAGCATATTAACAGGAGCACATTCCAATAAGTCATTCATTTGTTTCCAAAATAGTTTTGGATTATTGACATTATTTGTCAAACTGTCCTTATGATAGTTAGCTCTAGCATTTCGAGTTTGCGTAGTACAGATGTTTCTCAAACTCCTGTACTTCTCCCAGTCAGTGTGACTTTGGCATTTCCAGAAGCCACAACTTTTCTAGTGATTATTAGATAAAGGTTTAAATTGTTTAAATTGAATTGTTTTATATCACTTTAATTGAACTAATACATATTTAGATGAAGAAACCAAATTTGAAAGAATATTATAGGTTTAAAATATCAAAATGTCATTCGGTAACATGGGTTACAAGTAGAATCATTTGTGTGCAAAAATTATAAACTTTTCTTTGCATAATTTTAAAACATGAGCATATAAAAGTATTTTCAAAATTAACACAAAAGAACTGCGTTTAATGTCTTAGGCTTTTTGGGACAACTTTACTTATTTCATCAGTGTCATTCGGTAAAACGGCGTTAAAGGGCTACTTTGAACAATAATCTGCGATCTTTCCTCATGTATCTCATGATGATACATGTCACTCTAAGGACCCTGCAGGACTCAAAAGTGTAAACAAGATTCGGCTTTGCCTTTTTAGTTTTTGCTCGCGATGCCTTTGTCACGAGAAGTACAAATGCCACAGTTTTGGATGTCATTCAGTAAATAACACCATCACGTAACAGTCGTATTGTATTATCCAAGTAACAGCCTTCCTTCCTGTCTTCTCCTCAGTCCTCAGTCCCACACACTGGTCACCGTGGCGACACAGACTCTGGCGGGGCCTCCCTCACCACCACATCTCCTCAGCAGATCCCACAGCAGCCAAACTTCGCAGACTTCAGCCAGTTCCAAGCCTTCGCCGCATCAGAACAGCCGTCCAGTTTACCAGAGGTGGACAAGCACTCTGAGCCCGGACCGGTCAGTGCTCTCCTCTCGTATTACCCGCAATGCCCCTGGTAAAATATGATGACTTAATCTTTGTCTGTCTCCAGGTGGATAAAACGATAGAAGGAGCTGGTCCATTGAGAACAGTTAAAAGTGATGGTCCTGCAGATGAGAGAACAACTGTCACTGTGAACTCTGTAAGCTCCTGTTCTGTATTAATGCACACATATTCAGCATGATTTTTCTTCTTATTAGCCTATAAACATACTTTGGAGTACTCTCTTTTTGGCACTGTATTTTTATGTATCATCTTAGCTTAAAATAATGCTTTTGTATTGAACAGTTCATCACTGCATCAGTAATGCTCCCTATGCTAGATTTTGGGGTTAGCACGCCATCTACTGGGAGAAATGGGAATGAACAAAAAACACAAAAAACTATCAACTTAAGCAACATGGCCAACTTGTTAATATAAGCTCTCAGTTTCAGTGAAAGCTATTTGTAGTCTATTTGTAGTCTTCTTTTTCTACCTCCAATATAATAATTCAAAATACCTATACCAACCAAACCAAAGTCACAATATGTTGCCGCTCTCTGGTTTTCATTTAAATAAGATTACATTTCACTTTGTGTTTAATTCATGGTGCGTTTCTGTTTCGTCCCAGGCCAAAGGTGTATCTGGTCCCATAGCGCCTCCTCCCAAACCAGTGCGCAGGAGGTTAAAGTCTGAAGACGAGCTCAGACCAGAAGACGAGCAGCACGGCCCACAGAAGGCCAACGTCATAGCTGCTGTTTTAGCCACGCAGCCCTCCATCCCCAGGTACAACACCGGCTCTTATAGGCTTTGACGTTATACGAATTTTCTCCTCTCAAACTCATTGTGATAATTACTACAGAATCTATTAATTGTTCCCTGACAATATCCCTCTGTTAAAGGAGGCAGGTGCTGGTTTTTAATTGTCAGTTATTGGGTGTGTTTAACTGCGAGGTCCACATCTAATTCTGTCAATACAAGCATTTGATTGGAGGAAGAAATTAGACATTTTTCAGTGTAAATCTGCAATTATTAAGTCTATATATACACATTATACACACACTCGTTCTGAGATTTTTGAAAGTAATTTTTAATAGCTTTAAATTAATTTTATATTTATTTATTTTTATGTATTTTATTCTTTTAGTACTGCTTTTATATGTTCTTTTTATTATTTCTGTTCATAATTTTTATTTTATTTATTAATTCTATCAGCTTGCTCATGGTTGAAACATATTTTTACATTGCTGTATAAAGCACTTTGGAAACTGTCTTGTTTATAAAATGTGCTATACAAATAAAGTTGGATTGAATTGGATTTGATTAAATAATACAATATAAAATGGAACTGAAGATGCCAATTGGTTAAGGTTATTTTTGTGGTATAGCTCTAGGTTATAGTCCATAATAATAATTGCATCTGTCCATTTTATTTTAGTGAGTTCTCTGTACTAAGTATTTATTTAAATGTAAAACCTCTCCAGTAATTATCTGTGTGATTTCAGGTCCGTTGGAAAAGACAAAAAAGCAATCCAGGCATCAATCAGAAGAAACAAAGAGACAAATACAGTTCTGGCCAGGCTCAACAGTGAACTTCAACAACAGCTAAAGGTACAGAAGGTCCCAACAGCGCTATACCATTTCTTTCTTTTGCTTCCTCTTACATGCTGCATCTTTCAGGACCTGCTGGAGGAGCGAATATCTCTAGAGGTGCAGTTGGAGCAGCTCAGACCCTTCTCCCACCTTTAACCGCTGTGAGGCTGCGTCCGCTGTAGTCTATCCAAAACAAAAGACCCTTGTTGTGATTCCCCTTGAAAAAAAAAAATCCGTCCCTGCTGTCCTCCCGGGCCGTACGATACACGTCCCCTCCATTGAACTCAATCACGCACTTCTTCAATCATCAACCCAAAGGACCCGGCAGCGCAGTCGCACCGCCGATGGGGATGCCTCGGGAGGGGATTTCGCAGACAAGACGAAAACTGGCACTTTCTGGCTTCTCACAAAGAGGAGAGGTGAAGGAAAAGAGAAAGCAAAAGTCCTAGCTGAGAATGAACTGGTTACTTAAAGCCTGAATGACCTAAAAAGACAGAGGCTACATGAACGAAAACAATAACATCTTAATAATCAAAACCATTTCTGTAGATTATAGTAGCATAAATGATGTTACAAGTTAGGCATACAAAATTTTATCACAATCTATCTCAAACTGATTGGTACATTTCTGGTTAAAAGCTAGCTCCATGCTGCAAATAACCATAGATCATCTCATCTTATTACTGCAATGTCTTCATAAATCCAGTTTTGCGTTTACAGTATTTTAGTCAGATCACATTTCCGTATTGCAAAGATTAGCTAGAGTTCACGAATCTGAATCACCACTTGCAAATGGCGAATACAAGTACAGTATATTTTGAAATGAAAACCTCTAGATGGGACTGTTAGCTGATATTAATCCAAAACCTGTCGATCAGTCTGAAATAGGTAGAATATACATGTCAAATTTCGGGCCACCTTTGAAATGCCTTTTTGGAGTCAGTGTTCGTATGATGGTCGGATCTGTGCCGTCTTAACCGTGTCTGGAGATACAGGAGTAGTGACTGAATCTTCACTAAATGCCAAATGACTGAACTTTTCACTCTCGCCTCTACGCCGACTGCGTTTTTTTTCCTACCATTTCTTCTCTTATAGGTCTGGAGCAGTACGGATTTAACATGCTAAAAGTATTTCAACATTTTATTTTAAGCTAAGGAGGTTTGACCAATCAGGCATAACGTAAGTAGCGAGATGGTGGGTGATATGAAAATATAAAATGTCACTGAGTTTTGATTCAGTATTGCTGTGCAGTCTTCTTCGCCCCGCCCCTTATTGGTTGGTTCCTGTCATGTTCTGAGTGAGTGACAGGTGGGTTTAACCAATAAGAACAATAAGGTTCATTTGGTGTTCCAATGTTAATTTTTCAGACCAAGAATTTGTTTTCATGCCTAACCTTTTCAACTGCTCACTCATGGTTTTCCTCAGATTGGTCACGTGATGTTGCTGTGACGTGTCCGGTCAGCTGATTTATACAGGTTTTGGCGCCGTCATCCTACTTCCACGGGTAGGAAGACGGCGCCATGTGCAGTCCGACATACGAAACAAGCCCACAGGACTATAAACCGGGACGAGGGGACTTTTTTTACTCTCACACACCTGGGATACTGAGGATCAGGAGGAAGTTGAACTGCAGATGGCGCTGTCGTCCTGCCTCCATTGGTAGGAAAACAACGCCATAACCTTTTTAAATCAGCTGACCGGACACGTCACAGCAACATCACGTGACCACTCTGAGGAAGAGAAGTCAAAACCACCGCTAGTGAGCAGTCAAAACTGTATGAAAACAAACTCTTGGTCTGAAAAAATAACCTAATAACATAAACCAATAACAGTTGAAGTGTGAGTAAGCAGTTAGGTTCACTGAATGTTGAAAGTAACATAAGCTACTAAGTATACAAGATCAAATTGTAATTGACCAAGAGACTAAGAAAATTGGGTAACATTTCATAATAATTACAGTTTAATTAGCCTTAACAAAGCCAAGTCTTACATCAGAATGAACAAATAGTTTATTAAGAATGATTCAGGCTTAGTAACTCCTAAACATGTATTAAAGGGCCTATATTACATTATTTTCTGATCTATGTTATAATGTTTCCTCATCAAAAACATACCCAGAGTTGTTTTTTTTTCATTCATGCATGTTTAGAACACAAAGTTCTTCTCTTAAACTGAAAACACCACCTTGTGATATCATGTCGTAATACAGGAGGTGCTCCACTGTGTTTTAAACTCCTCAAAATTAACTAGAATCACTAGAAGCATTTTGATCATTTCAGCCACAGATGTGCCGATCTCTACTGAACAAAAGGTAAAAAGTAGCTGAAAACTACTGTCTCATGACATCATAAGATGGAACCGAACATTTTGCGCTTTGGAGAAACGTGTGAATGAAACAAACTTGATTCCTGGCATGTTTTTGATGAGGTAACAGCGTTATAACAGAACTTATAGGACCTTTAAGTAGTTACTAAACCTGAATTTTTCTTAATAAACATTCTGTCTTTGTTGAGGTTAATTAAGGTGTAGTTATTATAAAATGAGAAAAGTGTATCATTATTTTTGCCATATCGCCTGTAATACGTTATGCCTGGTAGGTATGAAATGTTGTGTTACCCGTATTACCAACTTGTAAATGGTTTCCGATATAGCCATTTCCAGTCCGGCTCTATGCAAAGGCGAGCGCTCTCTGTAGACCAATCCGCTGGCTCATCGTAGCATCTCTGTGAAATTTTGTATCTCTGCTCTTCCACTAACGCATCACTATACTGTCGATCTCTGCGTCGTCTTGCCTTTGTTGCCGTGGCTTCCTGCGCCAAACGGGAAGCGCCTCTTTTAATCAGTGTTGGTTATCAGGGCAGTTTTAACCCAATAGGCAAGATACGACCCCAAAACGGTTGTAGATGAAGCTTATAGAAAGAGGCCAGTCAATGTAAAGGGGAGACCTGAATGACCCCACTGCACTTTGAACTTTGAACTTTTCCCCATGCTATTTTCTTTGTTTTTCGTGTCCTTGCTTTGATATTTTAACCTGCATGTTCTCGTCTTATTCTATATTTAAAATTACGCTTTACGATACAGTACAGTCTTTTGACAAAATTAGAATATGCTGGAATATTTTTGCACTTAAATTCGAAGTACTTCAAAATTTCAGAACAAGAAATGTAAAATTTTTAAATGTATGAAATTTTCAGTAGGTTGCGTTCACACCCTAGAATTAGATTTTGTAATTTCAGATGGAGGGCAGGGGGGTTTATAGCTTTATTTGCGATTTTGTGGTTCTGAAAGATAACTTCTGATCCACAAATGCTGAAGATTTGCTCCAAAAACACCACTTTGTGAAGCTATAACGAAAAAATAATTCCACTTTTGCTTATTTCTGCTGACAGAGAAGGCATTGAACTTTGTAATAGTTTTTATTTTATATGAATAGACCCAATAATTAACCATAAATCAGTTCAAAAAATCTGCAGGTTGAAATTTAAAGAGCTAAATCTCCTGTCCTCCAGTTCAGTTTTAAAGTTTTGGGATTCTAAATGAACGTTCCCTAATTTTTTATCTATACTCTAACATTTTGTATAAGACTGTATTGTTCCAGTTGCCTAAATCGTCTCATCTTTTTTTTCTAAAGCTGTTTTGTCTGGATCTTCTGTTGTGTCAGTGAAGCATCCATCTTTGAAAGCCTTACTCCCCTCTTAACAAACGCGGCGTTCAGGTGCCCTCTGTATTTTTGACTGCTCTCTTTTTCTCTTCGGACGTATCAAGACTCGCCTTCCGTTCTTCTGCTGTATGAGGGTGTATTGTGTGTGCGTGTGTGAATTTGCGTGCGTTAAATGCTCAGACCGGGACCAACCAAAACTGAAAATCCTATTGGTAATGAAAAGGATTGATGTATGTTTGCTAGCACATGCAGTCCGAACCTTACAAGGCAATCGAGTCTCTATAGGATTTTGACTGGAGAGTGGTCCCAGGTCTTTGGTGTAAATTGTATATGGAAACACACTTTTTGGACTCCTGTAAATTTGCATTAATTGCTGACTAACGGCGAAAGATGAATATTCTATTTAATTGCTCCTCTGTTCCGCTGTGGGCTCTCGATGTAAAACTGCATGGATGTACTGTATCTCTGCAGAGACGACTAGCAGCTGTGTGATTTTTACACAAAAATAAAAACGGCACAATATTTTAAACTTGGACTGTGTTGTTGTTTGGAAGTTATGTTAGGGTTTGATTAAAATTTTTTACAAAGTTTTTTTTTTTTTTTTCCCCCTCTCCTAGCTTTCTCCACTGGGTTCAAGTTCATTTTGCAAAGACATAACATTTGTTCAGGCTTGGGTGTTGCTCCAGTAATACCCTGGCTTTACACTGGCACAACTACACATTTAGTCTAATTCCTCTCTAGACTGCAGTGTCAAACTGTAACACTGGGTGGCAGCAATCACCTGTTTGAAAATTTTTGCATCCTTGGTAAAAAAGTGTCAACATATGATGGCAACTGATGAATCAATATTAATTTGATTTCAAAATAAACTATTCTTTTTTGCAGTAATAGTTTGCATGTGAGGCTTGGAGAAATTGAATTAAATTACTTGATGTTTAGGAAGGCGCAGGGCAGGAAAACACAGGACACAGCCTGGGCCCTGCTCACACTTATAGACAGAGGGCAAAAATAGTCAAATAAAGCACAATTATTAAGATCTGTATAAGTAGAATTAAATACAGTATAGTAAATATGAAGTGTATATCTTGGCTTTGCAAGAAGTGCTGAATGCAAAGATGAAAAGAGTGACATGACATAAGGCCATCTATTAGCCAGGCTGGCGCCACCTAGTGCTTTCACTCGATTTCATTTCTCTCCAGCGACTAGGTCAGGAATCGGAATACACTAGACTGTTTGCAAGAACCCCAGAAGTTGTAGACCACACACTGGCCAATCAGAGAAGAGCTGTGAAGCCATGACGTCAAACTCAAGCACCTGTCTGGGTCCCTTTTGTGATACAGCACAACAGCAAACAAAGCGGTCAAGATGGATGTAGATGAAGACATACATTCAGTGTTGGCAACCAGTCCCAAGATCGAGGATTTAAAGTAGGAACAAAGAATGTTTGGTGAATTTTATCAAGGGGAAAGACGTTATTGCCCATCTTCCTATGGGATTTGGCGCATTACATATGTCAGGACCAAAAAGCAGCGATTGGTTAAATTAAAAAAGTACCCACCGCAACTTGTGTGAATGATTTCTAATGCTGCGAGGTCAGACGGTTTCCACGAAGTGAACCCAGCTGATGAATCAGGCTAGCCATCTGTATGACATACAGATGAGCTTTTGAGCTATCTTGACGATGTGTTGCCTCATTAGTTTAAAATTATTATTTATATTTTTGATTGAGTCGCATATGTTTGAGTAATCCTGTTTTGTCCTACGTCTGAGGCTTGAGTGTGTCAGACATTTCTGTTTTCACCTACCTCCTATCTTCGCTTACTTACTTGTGATCATTCAAATCATTCATTTTTTAACAATTAAAAACACAGAATTGAACCTCTGCTGCTTGTTACGATGAAATGTCACTAAAAAGGCGAGCTTCTCAGTTCTGCAGTTTTGAACAGAAAGTCACTGAACCAGTTTCTATTTTTAAGACTTTTTAAATCAAATTATCGTTTACAAATAACAAAATGTAAAACAATGATATTCATATACAACAGTCTAATACTAAATATTCAAGGTTTATACAAGAATTTCTGTCCTACATCCATCACTGCTAAGGAATGTGCCGACATTAATTACACTTTTACTTCCAGATCTGTCCTCTGGGTTTTGACATTGTTGTGATAATCTGCTTCACTGCATTCTTCACAATCCAGTCTTTCAGTTTAAACTCAGAATGAAATATAACATGTATCGTCTTATGATTCTGGCTGCAATATTGTTTAAGGTCACACAAGGGAACAGTTCACAGATGTGCTCTGGATAACACATGTGTAATTGTGCAATAGCTTTTGTCCCTTCTAAACAAGATAGAAACACGTGCAGATTTGACTTCTTGCTAATTGGATATTTTTCCCGTAAAAAAATTCTAAAGTAACGAGAAATTCTGTTCAGTCTCAAGTCATTTAGCCACTACTACTACAACTGTGAGCCTCCCTCAGGTTTACAAGGCTCTGGTTTAGCGGTTGGAACAGGAGTCATGCTTTAAAGATGCTCTCCTCCACCTTTGGCCCAAATACTTGACCTGGATTGGCCCTCCTCGTGTTGTTTACAGGCGGATGCATTTGAACCAGGGCGTCTGTGTGGCCTTTCTCCCACAGAGCAGCAGAGGTGAGGATGGGGTTAGACTAAACTCATCCCCTGACCAGATGCTCATCAAAAATACCAATGCAGGAAATATCACTTTATCTGTACTAGTGATGGAGTTGCATAGGCCTGTAACGATAACAGATTTTACTGGAGGATTAATTGACCAAGAATTGATTGCGATAAACAATAATATTGACATTTTGAGACCATTTTCAACAAATATAATGACCTTGGAATAAAAATGCTAATACACCCTTTCAAAGATCAATAAACCTTACTTTCTAAAGAACATTTAACAAAAACAACAGGCCTAGTTGCATATTATCACCCCAAGAGACGCAATGGCAATTCTCTGGTAAGATTTGAGCTGCCAACCTTGTGCTTGATGGGCGAACATTTAATTGCATCACTGTCTCATATAAGTAGATGTATCTTATGGTAAATTGATTCTTGTTGTACAAATGTATTATGTCAAAAACAACTGATCAGTACCTGATTTTGTTGTTTCCAAGTGCTTATATATATTGTAAATGCAGTTCTTACAGGGTCAAAATGAGGCTACAGTGTGTTGTCTGTATCTAATTATATTATTTGTTTTGTCCCAGACTAGGAAGCAGTGCATTGTTCTGCCCTGGCCTCTGAAAGTTATCATTCAAAACTCATCGCTGTGAATAATTAGCCAGGTTGGTGCCACCTAGTGCCTCTGCTCAATTTAATTTCTCTCCAGCAACTAGGTCAGGAATCGGAATACACTAAATCAGACATGTCAAACTCAGTCCCGGGGGCCAAATTTGGCCCACGATGTAATTATATTTGGCCCACAAGATCATATCAAATATGTATTAGAACTAGCCCGCTGGCTACAGTTAGACTATAGAGGCATGATTTATTTAAAATGTTGTTATTGATTTATATTATGCTTGTTCTGAATTCAAAGTTTAAGCAAAACTATGATTAAACATTTATTTTAATAGGCAGAGGTTTAACATTATATATCTCGAAAGAAGATAAAACATGCAGATGTTGAAAATTTTCAATAAATATTTAGTTTGGCCCACGACTTAGTCCCAGTTTTTAATTTTGGCCCTCTGTGAATTTGAGTTTGACACCCCTGCACTAGACGATTTGCAAGAACCCCGGAAGTTGTAGGCCAATCAGCGAAAAGCCATACATTTTGTGTTGGCAACGATTCCCGAGATCGAGGATTTAAAGCCAGAACAAAGAGAATATTTGGTGAATTTAATCAAGGCGAAAGAAGTTATTGCCCTTCTTCCTATGGGATTTGGTAAAAGCTTAATATACAAGTTTACCCCGTTAGCAGCGCATCTGCCGTCGAGCAAACGAATCCTAATGCTGTGAGGTCAGATTTTTTCCACAAAGTGAAACCAGCTGATGAATCAGGCTAGTGAATAATTAGAAGCTCAGAATGTATGAGGAAAGTGAGGTATACATTTGGATTAGGGATGCACAGATGTATACCTCACACTGCTTTTTCAGTTTCAATACCGATTCCAGTGCTATAGCTTTAATTACCTGCTCATGCCAGTGCAGAGACAGCATTTATTTCCTTTAAACAAAAGTAAAGTAAGACAAAACAGATTCAAATGTGTGATGTAGCTGTTAGTTGTCTCTGAAGTAACTTACACAGCATCTTTGTTTAAATAAAGGTTCAAACACTCTGAGACTTTCTGGGTGACTATGACCAGTAAATGGTGTTTTTGTGTTTTTTTACTGTTTACTGTTGACCAAACTGTATTCTAAACTTTTGATTCATCAAAGTGTCCACCTTTGGCAGATAGAACAGCTGAACACACTCGTGGCTCATTCTTTCTACAATAGAAATCAAATATTCTTTAGAAAGTTCTTCCCAAGTCTGTTGCAGAAGTTCCCATAAATGTGTGGCACTTGTAGGTTGCTTGGCTTTTACTTTTCTGTCCAGTTCATCCCAAAACCAGCTCAATGGGGTTTAAGTCTGGGGACTGTGCTGGACAGTCCATGTTTTTCAGCTTATCATCTTGTTCTTTTTTCCTGAGGTGATTTTGGCAGAGCTTGGATTTGTGTCTTGTTATTTTTTATAACCTCTGCCTGTTCAGTACTTACCTTTGTACAATTCCAAGCTCTTCATTGGACTTTCACAACTTGAATTGCAATAAATAACTGGAAAAAAATTGGGTGTTCTAAAACTTTTGACCAGTAATGTATTACGTTCAAACAGGATATTGACTAAAACGATACCTGGAAACTGATCCGATCTAGCAAATCTGTCAGTATAAGCGCCGATATTTGATACCTGTATAAGTATTGGTGCATCCCTACTTTGGATCTCTGCAAATAGTCTAAAATAAATGAATTCTTCTTTATAGACTATCAGAATCATTCAATTAGCAGCCAATTTGACCATAAAATTCAAGTCCACCCTCCGTTGTATTGTTATTTTGGGTTATGTAGAATGTTTTAATATCATATGAACCCAAACTGAAGCATTTTCCCTTTGTACTTTGATAACATACATAAAAAATCTGTTTTAATGACTCTATTTGTCCCTTCAGCTCTTGTTTTGCTGTGATGACTAAACTTGTTCCATGACCTCGTTCGACCTTAATGTGTTTTGCTATTGTCTTCTCAGCCCTTGCAGGTATCCAGATGTTATCCAGGCACTTACAGTGAACGCTTGGCTAACCCCTGCTCCGCAACTGGCTCCAGCGGCTCTGTTTCCAATCCTGCTCTGGTGGCAAGGATGTCAGCACATACACACTTATACACAAACACACAAACATGCACAAAAACACAAAAACACAAGTTGGGTTTCCATGCTTTTTGAAGACAGACGTTGACTTACATCCATTCAAGTCAGGAACATGTTTTACTTTGATCTTTCACCATGACACAGAAACA